TCCTGCCCCAAACAAAGAACAAGGAAGAAAAGCAAAGCTGTATAGAAATAATTAGTCTATAGGACCAAAGAAGCATAAGAACCTTCACTTCTAAGACCTGAGATCAGAAGAACTAGATGATACCCAGCTGACCGTAGAATATCCTGGACAGAGTAAGAGAATGAGGAACAAAACCAAAAACCATTTGAAGAGTCAGCCCATGGCCTTTCTTCATCCTTGGAACCTGACCTCTTAGCCAAAGAGTAGACAAGCATATAATCAATAGCACCCAGGAGACATTCACTCTTTAGGATAACCAACCAAAAGAGTAGCATATGCTCATTTGCCCAAGCCTAAATAAAACCCAGAAGGCAAGAAAGAATAAGGCCTGATTAGTGAAAATGAGAATTAGAATTATGATGAAGAAGTGGAAAGAGTGCTTGGAGTGCTTGTAATTAATGTTATAAAACAGAATGTGTATTAATGATTGAATGGGAAGTCAATTTGCTTTATAAACTTGTACTCAAATTGCAACAACAAAAAAAGGAACTAGAAGTTCCAAAATAAAAAAAAATTGAAAAATAAACAAAACCTTATAGAAAACAGAGACTATAAAAGTAAAAACAAACATTTCAAAAATACCCTGTCATTATTATTTTTTTTAATTGAGGGAAAATATTATAACTATGAAAATGTTACTTCAAAAAGGGACAGTCAAGTTCATCAAAGAGCCTGTAGAAGATAAAATACTCAATAGACAACCTGGAAGATAAAGTTGTGACAATCTCCTAGGATCAAAATAGGAGGAAATTGAAAAATAGGATAGAGGAAATGAGAATAATTATAGAATCAGTCCTAGATATCTAACACTTGAATGGTAGGAATTCTAAGAGAACAGAAAGGAGACATTTATAGAGATACAAAAAGAAAAATTCCCAGAACTGCTGTGTATGTGTTTCCAGACTCTAGGGACCACTGAATGATGACTCAAAATATACCCTCATCATAGTCTATGACATTTCAGAATACTGGGAGAAAGAAGAGTATCAACTAAGAACTTCTTGGAGGAGAGAGGAGAACCTATAAGAGTTCAGGAATATGAAGAAATAAGTTGTTAATGAAGATCAGTATAACTTTGAACTTCTCACTGATACCGCTGTGGTGGTTAAGTTATAATGTATTGTTGTTATGTACCACTGAGTCAAAACCAGCTCATAGCTGACCCTGTAGAGGGTTTTCGTAGGCTGTAAATCTCCCAGGAGGAGACTGTCATGTGTCTTTCTTCAGCGGAGCAGTTGGTGCATTTGAACCTAAGTCTTTGATTTGGCAATGTAACTCCTTACTACTAAGCCACCAGTGACTTTAAAATGACCCAGCAACATGATTCCATATCTGAAATTCTGTGTAATTTTTGTTGTATGCCTTCAAGTTGGTTCCAATGCACGGTACCTCTGTGCACAACAGAAGGAGACACTGCTCATTCTTGCACACTCTCACAATCATTACTATGCTCTAGCCCTTTATTGGACACACTGTGCCAACCCATACATATCATTGAAGATCTTCCTCTTTTTAGCTCATCCTCTACCTTTCAAACAAGGGGAAATCTCTAGGGACTGGTCATTCCTGATAACATAGCCAAATTATATATGATGAAGTCTCACCATTCTTACTCTCCCCTCTCTCCCCCTGTTGTTGAATCAGATCTGACTGGCACAGGAGGAGATTGCCCTCCTTCTCCTCAGAGCATCTGGGGGGTTTGAACTGCTCATCTTCAGGACCATTCTTACTCTTAAAGAGTATTCTAGCTGATATTTTTTCCATAAAATATATTTATTCTTTTTTCTAGAAGTCCATTTAGCATTCTTTGCCAAGCTATTGCCTAAAGGCATCAACTATTTTTCAAATATTATTTTTACATATAATTAATATATTAGTATAATTATTATTCATTAAATATGAATTTATCTCAAGGTCTTTTGAAAATATCTGAAACCTAGCACTGGCTGTCTTTAAGAAAGTGTATATTCATTTTGTGTGTTTTAAAAGGTGAAACTATATTATTTTTTAATTTAACAACTTTTTCAAGTACATTGCAAAATAAGTAATACCTTTTCTGTTTTATAGCTACCAAGAAAGTGAGCTCATTTTATACAAATATACTCTTGGTCATTAGTCCTATGAGAGTATAATTAGTTAAGATGATAAAATGTTATTTATTGCATATGATTCATAAAAGAGAAATATAAGTGTTGAAGACTCACAATTACTTTACAACATCTACTAACAACAAACAATTACAATTCTTCATATTTATTCTCAAATATGTATCATGATATATTGTGACATAGAGGGGTTTTGCCTCAGTACAGAATCAACCGTGAGTGGAAGAGGAAAGTTTGAATCAGTAAAAGTTGTATCACAGTGGGAAATTGTTAAATTTTTTTTATATAAAATTATTTTTCTTCTACTCTAATTAACAAAATGGAATGCTATTTTTTCCTGGGATTTTACTCATTTCCATTATTTACCTATTCTTCCTGTTCAGAAAGTGCAAGGAAGGTGAAGTCAGGGAGCTCTGGTAGCCTAGTGGCAAGAAGTTGCACTATCATCTTGAAGGCATATGGTTGGAGGCTGCCAGGTGCTCTGCAGGAGAAGGATGGGCAATCTCCTCCTGTGCGATTAATTGTCTCTGAAAACATGCTGGAGGGTCTACTATGGGTCGGTTGCGACTGGATGGTACACCACCACCACCATGAACCATCACCACCACCACCACCATCCCCACCACCACTACCACCACCACCTCCACCACCACCCACCACCTCCACCACCTCCAACACAACAACATCTGTTCTTCCTGTTCAGAAAGTCCATGGAAGCAGCAAAAAGTCTGTGAAATAAACAATGTATTGAAGTGGAGAAAATGACTGTAAAAAAAATCTCCTTAAAACATTAAAAAGTAAATATGTCATTTGCAGAACTAAAATGTTCCTGAAAAGCCATGACATTTCCAGTTACTTGTAGGCATATAAAAACTGGAAAATAAATAGGGAAGACTGAAGAAGAATTGAATTATGGTGTTAGCAAAGAACGAATCTGTCTTGGAGGAAGTACAGTCAGAAAACTACTTAGGATGGAAGATTGTGAGACCTAATCTGAGGTACTTAAAACATGCCATCATGGCGGGCTCTGGTGGCCTAGTGGCAAGAAGCTGCACTGCAATCCTAGAGGTGCATGGTTGGAATCCACCATGTCTTCTGCTGGAGACGGAGGGATAATCTCCTCCTGTACCAGTCAGATCTGATTTGACAGTACACACACACACACACACACACACAACAAAAATAAACAAACAAAATCCCCCATGTCATCAGGAGGGACCAATTCCTGAAAGGACATCATGCTTGAAGAGCAAAACAGAGGAAACCACTCAAGGCGGCAGATTGACAGAAACACTGCAGCAGTGAGTGGAGTCAGCCACAGCACCCAGGGTGAGGATGGCTAGGAGCACGCGTCGCTTTTTCTGTTGTGGCTAAGATTGCGGTGAGCTGGATCCAATTCAATAGCACCCAACCACGGCTAGTTAGAAACGGAGCTTTTTGTGCCTGCATTCACACTTTGCTTCCAGGAATTAGGCATCGTCTGGGATAACTGAAAAATTAGTAATTTTCTTAGGAGGGAGAGGGTAATAAATACAATCTTGGCCTATCCTTCGAATTTCATCCCAGAAAAATAGTGGTCTATTCTCGGTAATTATACTCTGTCATATTTTCTCATATTACTTCATCACTTAAGAATATTTCATTGTGCTTTACATGATAGCTTATCCTTCAGGCATCATTTTGTGACACGGATTGCAATCCTTACCTTCGCCAGAACTTGACCCATTTTCATCTTGAATCTCCCGTTTCCTTTTACCAGGTTTTGTGCCCCACACAATGCTGTCTTTTTGACTTTCACTCTTTGGGCAAATGCTGTCCTTCTGGTCTCATCTTGTTGCTTGTTCTGAGAGTCACATTCCTTCTGGGTATTCACATTGGAGTGTGCCTTCAACTTGGAATGACTCAGCTGACCTTCAGAAGTGACCTTCGGAGGCAGGGAACCACATGCGAGGTGATTGCCCATCCTTCTCTGGTCAAACAGCTGGTGGATTCGAACCACATGTCTGGGTTGACAGCACAACTCCTTACCACTAAGCTATGAGAGTTTCGATTTCCTGTTATGTTATTGTCGTTTGCTGTGTGTCATCTAATGGGAACTGACTCATAACTGACCATCCAGTGGGTTTTTAGAGTCAGTAATTTGCCCTGGATGAGATAGCCCATCCTTTTCCTGTGGAGGAGCTGGTGGATTTGAACTGTTAACTTTTGGGATTGCAGTACAGTTTCTTACCATTAGGCCATTGGATTTTTCATCCCTTTTCATGTTAGATCCAGCCAGATGCCTGCAAGTTGATGTCTGGGAGTGAATTCTGTTGTAAATTAGAGGGGTAGCTGAGGAACATTTTTTCAAGGATTTTTCATCATTTATTTTATTTATTTATTTTTTAAAAACCCTTTATGTTTGCCAGCTCACTGTTCTCTGGATCTTATTGCTCTATTTTTCTTGTTGACAATGGTAACTTTTATGTAGCTTACCTCTTGAGATGTACAAGAATGAGCATGTTTACCTCCATGAACTGGACAAATGACATGAAGAAAACAATTACAGAAGGGCCAGAGTCCCTCAAAGTCAAGCTTACTTCTCTAGTCATTTCACATGGATGCTATTGATCTGGGCTCCAGAAAGTAAGAAACCAGACCTAGATTTGAACCCCAAAAGCTGAAAGTTAGATGAAATTCCATTGCATTTCAATAGTTCTAAGCAAGCAGTTTGTTACCCTTTATCCTTTAGTGGAATTGATGAACAGGTGGTTTTTCAGAAGATCACTCAGTATATTTAGCTTCTGAAATTTGAGCAACTCACAGTCTGATTGGCTGTTCCTGCCACATGATAATTCAGAGCGCAGACTCCTCGCTGGCTCTTGTCTGGGGTTCTCAGGAGGGGAGAGTTGGGAGAGACTTTGCTGCGGAGGAAATTTATTTGATAGCTTGAAGGTAAGGCCAGCTTATGACTTTTTTGTACTCTTCTTTTAGGAGATCTTACACAACTTCCCTTTCAGTATTTTTCAAAGTTTTGGGGTCATAAGTGGGGAAATTATAGATGGAAATGTGAGTAGGAAAGTCTGTAACTCCATGGCCCTGCCAAGACCCTACTATCATCTGATGTGGAAGTTATTAGAGACTAGTTCTATACTAACAAAGTTACTGCTTGACTGAGCTGGCTCTCTTGTTAAACCAAGTTATTTTTTCCCCTTGTCTTTAATTTATTTCCTCCTAAATATATTAGCTTGAAAAAGCTCTGTGTTCCTATATTTATCCTATTCTACTGGGCTTCACTTGCCTCAGAGGGAGTGACAGTTTCGCTAGCTTAACAAAACCAGTCATGGTGCGTATTGGTTTACATGGCACATAACTTTGGGTGAAGAGACAGCTGTTCCAAATCATCATCTGCTCAGCCGAAGGAAGAATCTTGCTTTCTGGTACTGAGCTAAGAAGGGGCCTTGAGCAGGCCTCTCATGAGTTCATGAATTAGAAATTTAGGACAAAGATTCATAATCCTACATGTACTTAAACCAATGTATCACAATGTTTGTATTTTTCAGGTGTTTACAAGAGCAAGAAATATAAGAGGAAAAGCCATACAGGCCAATGGTGCTTGGGAAGAAAATAGCCCTATTGCCTTGAGGTTCTTGTTTTCCTTTTAAAAATCTCATGATAGACTTTTTAAAAGGGGTTCTTATTAAAAGCATCAGATATAGCACATAGGATATAGCAGGACAATGCCCAGGCCTAAGTCATCCTTTTTAGAGTTTTGACGTTACAGACAAAAAAGTCCAACTTTATTTGAGTACCTGTGTTGACAGCTCTTTTCAATAAGCTTTTTACTTGAAAAGGGTTTTTCCAAGTATTTGGAAAGTTAAGCCCTATTCCTTTGAATTTAAGCCCCTTTCCCTCCTTTACCTTAATTTCCTCTTTAAATTTTAACTAAAAGTTTCATGCAACTTGTTGGAATACCCAACATGTCACTGAGAGAATTAGTGTTTTAGAGCTCAATTTAAAATGTCTTTTCTCACTTGGCCTGGAAAAAAAATTGCCATTTCGAATTGGTTACTTCTTTTTTTTTTTTTAAAGAACAGGTTACTTTTAAATTCTAGTTTATGATATTCTATGATACAGTCAACCATGGAGATAGATTCTAATGCATTTTCATTTGTATGGAATATAAAGTTTGTAGGTGCCACTACTACTCTGGGAAAATGGCAGATGACGAAGAATATGAGGAGGTGATAGAGGTAAGATACCAAAACAAACAAACAAACAAGCAAATCCTCTCAAAGCTCCAAAACAGCACACAGTGACAACAAAGGATTTTATGTAAAGACATTCAAAGCTATGTAGATGAATGAATCATTTGAAAAAGTCTAAACTGTCTATTGTAAAATCCCATTAAAGCATCCAAGAAGGAAGTTTTATGTTTAGTTTTGCTAAAATTATGTGGGATTTAAACAGAAAGGAAATATCACTGTTTCCCCACTTTTGTGTTTCTTCAAACTTAAAAAAAAAAACAAAACCATAAAAATGAACCTTAATGTGTCTGTCTTCTAACATTCCTGCTTTCCCCCAAAGCCATTGATCAAATGGACAGAGGAGATGAAGACTTAGAGCCGACAAGGAGCTCAGCTTCTTAGTGTCTACACAGCAGTAGAGGAAAAGGAGCTACTTTTTCCTTCACCAGCTGATTGCATATTTAAGATTACAGCTCTTTAATATGCAGCCAAGTGCAAATGACTCAGGAGTCTCACAAGAAGTAGTTGCAAACCACATTTAACTACCATCTCTGTTATATGTGCCTGAGGAGAAAAGACTACTGTTTGCTTTTGAATAGAAAAAAAAGAAAAGAAAAGAAATTTAAAAAGAACAAATAGCATTGCAAAAAAAGGAATCTTGAAAAAATGCTCTCTGTTGGTGGTGGAAATCTGACCCATTTCACAAAGTTGTTAGTTTTGTTGTATTGACTTCCTGTAATTCAGTGTTACAGCTCTATGGATTTTCTTCACCAACTTGTGCCTTTGGCTTCTCATTTCTAGAAATATAAGATAAAGGCTAAGGACTATGAACCACATAAGTGCATTGCCATTACTCGATAAGTGACTCATAATTATCAATTAATGGTGATGATCTAAACATATAAAAACTCTACGTTTTGAGAATCCTTGTTTGTCAATAAAATGAAAATTAACTATAAAAGATTCTCAGAACCAAATACCAGATGAAAATGCCAGAATTTGTCTTTGGAAAAATATTCTAGTGACCATGCTCCAGGTCATAACAATTTTCTTTTATTCTATAGAACAAATCTTCTTTATTACTGAAAGAATAAATTAGTTTCAGAGGCTCAATATAAAATTAAGTGTCTCTAGCTTAAATGCCAAAGGCCACATGCATGATATTCAATATTATCACATGCATTTTACATGCAATATTATAGTATGCATTTTACTTATGTTTTTAAGGGTCAGAACAATCATCACCAAATACTCCAACTAAACAGTAAGAAATTATTTTTTTTTCTCCGTGAGGGTAATACATTTTTTTTAGTTTCCAACTTAAATAATCTTTGTATTGCTTAACATACTTTTATTCATCTATCACTGGAAGCTGTACTTAGTGCTGGATTTGATAGATTTGACAACATCTCATAAAAACGGAGGATGCTATTTTTAGGTATTCTGTTTTTGCCATTTTGTTCCTATTACTACTCTAGGCCTGACCAGCAGGTGCTAAACTATTAGCCTGACTGCCACCGAGTCTTGAACAGAGGTCTCTTTGACCTCAAAAAAGATGCCCATAAGAATGGGACAGTGGCAGATTCTGGAAAATGGTCTAAGGAGTTCAAAAGACAAGACAGGGGAACTAGGTTTAAAAAGCCATCTCCCAGGGATCTTGGCCTTCTGAAATCAAATTGTGTCATCATTCTTGACTTTAAACAAAGTTGGAAAGAAGTTAAAAGAAGGGGAATAAATCTGCTCTCTAATTAGTACCATAATTCTTGAATAAAGGGAAAAACAAAAGTTGACATGCACACTAACATCAACCATGTGGATAATGTTGTGTTTCTTCTAAGCTTTTTAAAAAAGATTTATTTACTAGTGCTGAGAGCACAGCAAAAGTGGCATTGGATGACTACCAAAGAACCACTTTCCTTTGGATGTAAAAAAAAATCCAAAACTGCTGTGTATCAGTCATGCTTGTTTAGAATTTCTTCTCAAGTCACTGATGTTTTGTGTGACCAAAGATGGTTTCTTGTGTTATTGTCAAACAGTGTTTCCTGAATTGTCCAGATGGTATTTTTCCTATGCTGAATATATAAGCTCATGAAAGAGAAATTCTCTCCCATTAGAGACTGTACTATCTCTGATACAGACATAATTGAGTTTCAGACTAACATGGTACATAATACTAGAGCAAAGAGTGAGAGCTAAAGCTCTATACTAATTTCACCAAGTCCCATTGGAGCAAATGACATAGTTATAATCATGAAATAATTTGATCATACTTAACTGAAGGTAAAGGAAAGAAAATCAATGAGGAAAACACTGCATCCAGTGTCCACCCTGTCCTGGATATATAGTTGGTGGCTGAGATAAGGAAAATGAAATTTTACATGTTTTGTTGATTGAGAAAATAAGCCTAGTGTTTCATTTTTGTCCATTTCCATGGATGCCTTAGCACAGACAAACTTTTCCTTCTGTTCACCCAGAAAGGCTGGGTGAGACTCGGGGCAGGATTCCTCTCTCCTTACGCATCTGAAGCAAAATGTCAGCCAGTCCCCATCATCAGCATCTATTTATTGCAGGTGATGTCAGGAGTAGAACAACAGTAGGCCTGGCTGCAGATTCAGGCAGGAACCTCAGAGCAGTGATGGCCAAGTGTAGCCTAATCTCTCTTATTTCATCTCGTATTTCCCCTTTCTTCTCGGCTTTTGCAAATTTCCATTTAAACCCATTGCTTAGGACCAGTTGTGCTGCCGTCTCAAAGACTTGTGGTTCAGCGGGAGAAAGATGAGCATGTAAGCGATTGACTGTATCTGAAAACTGCTGGAGCGTCAGCTATGATGTATCATGTCAGTTCTGACTCAAGGGCGAGTAACAACAGCAACTTGCTAATCAGTGACTTTAGGAATAACTTGTATGTCTGGGCTTAGTAGTAAGAAGTTGTACTGCTAACCCAAGGGCATGTGGTTCAAATCCACCAACTACTCCATGGGAGTGAGACAGTCAGTATCCTCTGTGTGATTTACTGCCTCTGAAAACCTGCTGGAGGGACAGCTATGAGTTGGTTCTGACTTGACAGTATGCAAAAACAAGAACTCTTTTTGGAAGTTATTTTCATGATACTATTTAAAAATTCCTTTCACAAAAGCTAATATGTTTTACTAGTGAATAAAGGAGTTCCATCTCAGTTCCTCTGTGCTCAATCCACATACAGCAAATTCCATCTTTAGTGTCATAAGAAAACGTTTTATTGTTACTAATCAGCTTCAGATACCTTTCTCATCTCCCCTGCAAACACCTGCTGCAGCCTGATGGCATCCACAAAAATGGGGCTCCAGTATACGAGCAGATGTCCCCCCTACTTTCTTACTGTACATATTCTGAACTAACTGAGCTAGTGAAGTAACCCTAGTAATGTAGCTGAAAAGAGATTTCTGCTTTGATTTTCATGACCATACCTTTGTGCTCTATTCACAGTACTACACAGAAGAGACAGTCTATGAAGAGGTACCAGGAGAGGTAAGGCCAAATACCCTCATGCGCCTCATGAAACTGCATGCTTATTAAACAGAAAGAGCCCTCACTTGTCCCTGGTTCCTGGAGCAATACGGCTGATGAAAAGAAGTATCTCAAGAGGGACTAACATTTTGGGGTTGTGCAAATGGTTAATGTGCTCAGTTGTTAATCAAGTGGTTGGGAGTTTGAGTCCATCCAAAAAACAGTTTGGAAGAAAGCCTTGATGATCCACTCCTAAGAGCCAGCCATTGAGAACTTTGTAGAGTACAGTTTGCTCATATACTGGGGTCACCATGAATCTGAAATGGCCATTGGCTTTGGCTCGAGAAGTGGCTACTCACTTATGTGTGTTCATCAACAGGAGGTAAAAGTATAAACATCACCTCCTTGAGGGGTTATTTCCCTTTTCTTTTGCTGCTCAGCATTTCCAGGATGACCAGGGTTGGCGACCCCCGCTGCTCATGTGGTAATTTTGGTGGGGATGATGCTCTTAGGGAAGTTTCAGGGCCTATCACCTCTCTGCCTTGACTGCAGAATGAGGCAAAGCCTTGACTGCCATCTGTTTAGGTTTGCTATGCAGACCTGTAGGATCTGAAAAACCAGCTATGCCAACAAGGATGGTACAGCCAAAATTAATGATTAATTATATATTAATGTATAATTCTATAATATAATTATCATTAATTATTAATAATAAATAATGGGAAATGGCAAGCTTCTCTGGTTTTAGCACATTAGGAATTCTGAGGAGGTCATGCACATAAATATCCAGAGATAAAACTCCCTTTATTAAAAAACAAACAAACAAAAAATAAAACAATAAACCGACAACCAAAAATAGAACCCCAAAACCCCCACCAAAACAAAGAAACAAACAACCCCAAACCCGTGAAATCCTCCTCTCATGATACTTCATTTTCTTCATGGAACACAGCAGTGATATAGTCGGTTAACTCTGCAGGGTGTCCGAGAGCCTGTGACTACATTAATGCTAACAACTGTTGAGGGTGCACACTGGGTAGTTTTTCATGGTCAACAGGACAGTCGCAATCATGGGCAGAAATAACTGACTCATAAAGGTCAGGCAAGCCTGTGGAGATTTCATAGATGTGAAATTTCCCTATTACTTACATTTCTCTTCATAATTGCTAGAACTCATCCATTGACACAGATAATATTAATGGTGTGGGAAATGGAAGTATAAGACAGATGTTAAAACTTGGCTGCCTATCTTGCTTTCTTACATACAGTATTTTTAGCACTGGAGTAGATCCAAATTTTAAGTTGTAGTTTCTTCTACCATTGCCTGTTGTAAGAAACAGTATTTTTCCACCTACTACACAGAACTGTTGTGAAGATAATTGCTCCATTATGTTTTCATCATTTTTCTTGTCCACCTAAGCATTTATTCGTGTAAGTGGCACTCCAGTGCACATCAATTAAATGACTAAGTAAATCACTTATAATGTTGATAAGTTTGCTTTTATTTTGCACAGACAATTTGAGATTTAGAATATCATCTAAGAACGTTATTTCTGAAATTTGTCTACTCTGACTGATTTGTATATATCTTTCTGCAAATTGGATTTTTAAGTTAATGTTGTGGATTAATAAACTTCTGATTCCACAAAATCTCTAATAATGAATAATTAGACTTAAATAAAAGGAGGTCCCTTGTTCTAGTGGTAAGGATTTGCTCTATCAGCCCAAAGGCAGGCAAATTGACAGCCTCTGAAAACCTGTTGAGGGCCATAGATGAGTTGGCTTTGACTTGACGGCATATAGCAACAACAGACTTAAGTAATATATTTTCATGCTTATGGTGTGTGGTTTCCTTCTTTGTCCTGTTTGGGGTATGAAGAAATAACACCAGGATTGTAAAACTGCTAGCAGTTAGAAGAATGTCTACCAAGACCATGGTACCAGTTCTCACCTTTATAACAATATTATATTGCATGTCCAATTTCCAGACGATAACAGAAGTCTATGAAACCACAACGACAAGGACAATACCCTCTGAATATGAACAGTCAGGAACTTCCAGGCCAGCACTGGCACAACCAGTGCCGGAAAAGCCAGTGGAGAGGAAGAAGGTGGTGCGAAAGAAAGTGGACACATCAAAGTTCATGACTCCCTATATTGCACACAGCCAGAAGATGCAGGATCTCTTTAGCACAGTAAGTTTCAGGCAACTTCCTACTAACCTAACTTCATTACTCAGAAAGCAAGGGTAGCTGATTTAATGGAATTTCTTTGGATGCTAGCTGAAGTTTGTTTCTCAATCTTATAAGGAAAAAAATCTTACTTTACAAATGTATACTCTGTCCTTGTGATACTTTTTCTTTTCATGTAACTTATTTGCACATTTAAGTACCAGGAAAGGCATCCTCAATAAATGACACCTGTAAAATGAGCATGTTGTTGTTGTTATGTGCCATCAAGTTGCCTGCAACTCGTAGCAACCCTATGTACAATAGCTCTGACCTCTGCTCTATTTTGAGCCTGTCTCCCTGACTCTGACAGACCTAATCCCATTGCCCCAGTTACCATGTCAATCCATCTCATCCAAGATCTTTCTCTCCTGTGCTGTTCCTCCACCCTTCCAAGCATGATGTCCTTCTCCAAGGACTGGTCTCTCCAGGCCCTGTGCCCGAAGTATGTGAGACAGAGCTTCAAAATCCTAGCGTCCAAGAAGAAATTTGGTTTCACCCTCTCCAGAACAGATCTATTTGTTTTCTTGGAGGTCTACGGTATATTCAATACTCTTCTCCAGCACCACAATTCAAAGGCATCAATCTTCTGTCATCCTTAGTCATTGTACAGCTCTCTGATGCATAGCAACTAATAGCAAAGACTATGGCCTGGATTAGACACACTTTAGTCCCTAGACTGACATTATTACTCTTTCGGAGTTTGGAGAGGTCCCTGACAGTTGTCTTCTCCAATGCAATTCATGTTTTGATTTCCTGACTTGTGGTGCCAAGAGTGTCAATTGTGGAGCGAAGCAAGCTGTAACTATTAACAACCTCAATCTTTTCTCCATCTAACATAGTGCTGCCAATTGGCTATTTTAATCATTATTAGATAATCAATCTCAAGTAATGAAATATATTTAATTGGGTTTGATTGGTGGAAACAAAATAACATATATTTAAACTCTCTAGGTAGAATAACCTCTTAAGTAGTTTAGTTAATAGTACATAAAAAATCTCTTTGAGAGCGATGCCATTAGTATATTTTAAAATGTCAAGAGATGTGTAGTGCATTAAAAATTCAGTGCAAGACTTAGAACTTATATGAAACTGAGCATGAGAGTGTTTGGCCATGTCTTGTAAAAGTGATTTTTAAACATATTTACTCATTGACTCCTCCAGAGAACTTTAAAACTACTGAGTTTCAGGTCATTCTGTCTCAATTGATCTAAAGTTGGGATCAACTAGGAGACGCTAACATGAAACCCACATTAAAAACTCATTGTTTTTATGAGTCTGGTCCTTAAATTCCCAAACATAATTCTGTAAAGTTATGCTGACAGTACATTTTGGCCCCTTTTTATTGGGATTGCTTTGATTATATGTACCCTGTATGGTATATAGAGTTAAGCTGTGGTCTACTAACTGAAAGGTTATAGTTTGAACCCACCCAGAGGTATCTAAGAAGAAAGGCCTGGCCATCGACTGCCGAAGGTCACAGCCATGAACATACTATAGAGTGCGGTTCTGCTCTGTGAAACAGAAATTCATCGAGAGACAACATTGACTTGACAGCAGTTGGTACATTGTTGATTGCTCATCGTGGGCTGAGTTCTTGCTGGTAGTCTGACTATGCATCATCCAGAGGATTAAAGAAATGTAGTTCAGGGAAATATTGATTTAGGTAGAACTAATGCTTATAGTTGTTATGTACCATCAAGTCAGAGCCGACTAATAACTGATCCTTCAGTGGGCTTTCAGAGACTGTAATTCTCATGGGGAGAGAATAACCCATCTTTCTCCCATGGAGCAGCAGGTGGATTTGAACCACATGCCTATGGGTTGACAGCATAGCTCCTGACATGCTTGGACAGAGGGAGGGTCAGTGAAAGAGGAAATGACCCTCAATGAGATGGATTGACACAGTGACTCTAATGATGGGTTCAAGTATATTGGAGAAGGTCAGGATGGCACAGGATAGGGCAGGGTTCAAATAGATCCATTGTTCATAGGGTTGCAATGAGTCAGTTGACTTGATGACAATATCAACAATGCTTATATCCAAAACATCCTGTAGTTTTGGCTAATAATAACATTTGGTTGAGTGTTAACTTTTGGGGCTATGTGGTAAATTTTTAGGACAAATTTTAAACGATCCTTGAAAAATCTAAGACTTAGGTTGCTAATACCAAATACGATTTTTCCTGCCACCTTTATCACAAAAGTATAGAATTTTTTGTGTGTTACTTCAGTGCCATATATATTTCAATAATTCAGATACCAACACCAATCATTTCTGATGTCCTAAACAGGATGTTGACAATATTCTATAATATTTAAAAAATGGATTAGTAACTAAATCAATAGTGTAATAGTGTGATTTATATTGTTAACTACTATTCTGCTCAAAAGTACGGTTTAAGCATTAATAAATTAGACATTATTATTAAGCAAGAACTAATGGTATGTTTAGTAGAAATAATAAAATCTCACTCTTGCTTTTCAAAATATTCTATATGTCAGACTTCGCATTAATCAAACTTGTGTCTTGACTATCTAAACCATAGGACTTATAAGGTCAGCGCTAAGTTCTGAATTGAATATTTTTGCTTTGTATTAACAATCAAAACCTCTCTAGCTTGACTCAGTTTCTGTGTTCATTTTCTGAAATGAGACGTAGGCCTTTTTGTGTGTGCACTCAGGCAGAAAAAAGAACCACTGAGTGAACAATTTAGGGCATTTCCAAGACAATTTTCTGTAATAACTTTCTGTCTCTGAGACCCAATCACGTTTAGGAAGTACAATTAACAAATCTATTTTAGTTTCTGTTAAGAGTTAAGATAGGGACAAAAAGAAAGCTATTTCACTGGTGATTATAATGACTTAGAGGAATTTTTTCCTTTTTAATTAAATGAAAATGAGAATGTTGCTTGAAATTTCTGCTGCTGCATTTATGCTATATCTTAGGTTAATATCTGGTGTTCTTTACAGAATAAATACAAGGAGAATTTTGAGAAAGCAAAAGGACAGCCATGCACCTTCACAACAGATACTCCAGAACTTCGCAGGATCAAGAAAGTACAAGATCAACTCAGCGAGGTGGGCGACATTGATAAAATAAAGGAGCGAGACATTTCAGAGATAAGCCTTTTACTCGGGATTAAAGGCTCTAACTATGCATAGAAAGGACAAGAGACCAAATCTTGCAGCCAGGTGCCCCTTGCTTGCAAGGATGGTGCAGCTTTGTCTCATATACTTTGGACAGTTGTCAGGAAGGGCCAGTCATTGGAAAAAGACATCAAGCTGGGAAAGGTGAAGGGTCAGAGAAAGAGAGGAAGACCCTTAACAAGATGGATTGACACAGTGACTATGACAATGAACTTAAGTATGATGAAGGTTGTGAGGAAGGCACAAGGTAGAGGAAGGGTTGCTATGATTTGTAATCCAGAAAACTATTAAAAACATTGGCCATAGGCCAATATGAATGTGAAATGATATTTCTAAGCTTGGCACAGCAATTTAGGTTAAATAATGATTCTGAGGTGGAAATTTGAAATTATTTGTTCCTCAGCAGTTAGTTGGTTCCAGAAGTTAGGCCAGGAAACCAAACAAAGTTCTCTCTTATCTTTGAAGATCACAGTTTTCTAGCTACAATGCAGAGACTGCTTTGTGATATCCCAGAGTCACTGAGTTCAAATTACTATTATAAGATATACACTGCTATATGCATGCCTGTCATGCACTTACTCTGTGTATTTTTTCTGCAGGTTAAGTATCGAATGGATGGCGATGTTGCTAAGACTATTTGTCACGTAGATGAAAAAGCAAAGGACATTGAACATGCCAAGAAAGTGTCGCAGCAAGTCAGCAAGGTAAGGCTGAACACACAGTATAGGTAGGTAAGATGCTAATGGCAGTCATATTACGTCTGTTTATTTGAAGGGAGGAAATTTGACAGTCTTGTCCAATGCCCACTGAATCCATACCATTGGGAGTTCTCACTCCCACCATAACAGAGAGGCCGCACAGATGCCTGAAGTGCCTGTAAGAGCTTTGATGGACTGTAGCGCCTGTGCCCTTCCAAAGAAAGGAAACAATGGGACAGTTGGTACTCAGCTTGGGCAAATAGTGCTACACAGAGACTCAATAGTGTCTCTATATTTTTTTGTCTCTTGTCTAAATCTACAAAAATTTTTTCTCAAACTCTAGCTAGTAGAAATCCCAGTTTAGAGTGTTAGAGTGAAGGCTCTAAGGAGATCCTTTTTTGAAATTTTGTATTGATTTGCATACTAAATTTGTGTTTTATTCATGTACATTGTGTTTCACACATTTCTTCACTCATATTGTGTTTCACAGTATCATAAGGACAAATAATGCCTGAGACCATTATTGTAAAAATAGAAGAATAACTCATAAGATGTGGTAAATGACTAAAGGGGGAAGGGGTGAAAGGCAGGGAGGCAGAGGCTGAGAATAGGGTAGGTGGAGAGAGAGATTGAAGGAACTGGGATAGATAGGTCTATTGGGAACCCAAAGAGATGGGGTGATAGTGGGCATAGATCAAAGGAGATTCTTTCTTAATGCTCTAAATAGGTCTTTAGGGAACTTTGGTGGCTAGTGGTAAGAAGTTGTGCTGCAATTCCAAAGGAATGTGGTTCATATTCACCAGCTCCTGGGAAATCTCCTTGTGTACTTTACTGCCTCTGAAAGCCCTCTGGAGATCAGATATGAGTTGATTCTGAATTGAGGATACCAAACAACAACAATAACAGAAATCCTTATGTCTCCCAATTTTCAGTAACGCATTTTATTCTATTATCTAATTGCATGTGCAAAGACTCTATTTTCTTGTTAGATCACTGTCATAGGTGTGTGTTGGGGGGCAAGGGAATAGTGTTAGTATTTCAATATATCTTTTTGGAGAATAAAATGGAAACCATAACAGAGGAACACAGAAAACATGAATAACAAATTATACATTCATTTGTAAGCCTATAATGTCATTCATGTCAGTTAGTGTTAAGCACTGTGGAACAAAGCATGAGAAAGATGATTATATATACTTTTCAAAGAAATTGGGGGTTTGAATTTTTATGGGAAATCTCCAAATTTTAGATTTAGCAACCAGTTTTTAAAAATCCTATGCAAAAAAACAAAACAAAACAAAAAAACCAAAAAAAACCCCAACCCTATGCAAATCAAAAGGATGCTTCCACTCAAATTCAGCCAGCCAGTCCCTGACAGGTTGTAACTTTGGAAAGAAACCTATAAAATATCAGAATCTTACTTAATTTAAAAGTGAAAATTTCAAATAACAGCCTTTAATACAGGAAAAGAATTATGGAATGCTGACACAAGCATTCTTTTCCTAGCTACACATCCAGTAGCCTTTGTGTTTGGAAAAGGATCTTTTTAATCCTCCCTTTTGCTCTTTGGATCTACTTGCCCTTTGGTGGGAAATTAAATGACAGACTTTCTGGTTTTCTGGTTTAGGTTTTATACAAGCAAAACTGGGAGGACACCAAGGATAAGTACCTGCTTCCTCCTGATGCCCCTGAACTTGTCCAGGCCATTAAGAACACAGCCATGTTCAGTAAGGTAAGGACTCCATTGGCATGTCGATATTCCCACCTGTGCCATCCGACTACATAAATTAGAATAATACTCAGTGCTCTTTATAATCTAGAATATGGTTTTCCAGAGGTTTTTTGTTGTTTTTTTAAAAAATACGATCTTGAGAAATATAGGGCTTTTAGAGTAAAGCTCAGCATGCAGTGTGCTAGGAGGGAAATTTGTTGGCAGAAGGAAGGAGAAGGTCTTGTAGGAAATCTGGGCAATCTTGGTGTGTGTGTGCACACATGTGTGTTTATGTGAATGTGTAAAAAAAATTGAAGATGTCCTGGAGAACTAGTTGAGACACACACAAAAAAATTTTAATTTTTTGTAGACTTTATGTAATAGATTAGATATCCCTGGCAAGATATATATATATATATATATTTATTTATTTATTTCATCATTTCCTGAGAAGTAAATGTGTCTGATTTTGTTTCATCTCTTCTTCATGATTTCACCTCTCTTCTAAAATAAGTGTAAAAATACTAATGGAAGGAGGTAAAAAGCATTCATCATAATTCTATCATGAAAGAAAACTTTAATAAGGTAGATTAGCCAGCTAGGAGATACTGATATATATATATTTATACCTCACGTTATTTGTCACTTCAGCACCCTTCACATGAATAACTCTGTGGCATTAATTATGCCCATCATATTCTTCAACAATTACCATAATTTTTCTCATATTTTTTATTGTTAAGTAGTATAGCACTGGTTTGTCCATTTGCTGGTAACTTGTGGTTGCTTGGATGCTAAACACTGTGACACTAATGTGTCAACTGTGATAATGGTTACCCATGGTGGACAGTGTTGATGACGCTCTCCGATTAAAACAAGCTTGGAAGTAGGAGTGGCATCCACTCCAGAAACTCTGTGAACTTGGAGAAACGATGAAGGTTATACGAGTGTTCAGATCTTTCATTCACAAGGTCCCTATGAGTCGTCTATGACTCGATGACACTTAACAAAAAAAACAACCCTTAATAGAAGCCCAGTATCTCCTAGCTGGCTAATCTACCTGATTAAAGTTTTCTTTCATGATAGAATTATGATAAATGCTTTTTACCTCCTTCCATTAGTATTTTTACACTTATTGTAGAAGAGAGGTGAAATCATGAAGAAGAGATGAAACAAAATCAGACACGTTTACTTCTCAGGAATGATGACTGGCAGGGGAAACAAGCCAAGCCACTAACAAAAATGTCTTAGATTGGATGAAAGGGTGGATGTTATATATGAATTTAATTTTTTTCTTCTCACTTTGCTCTGGGTTCATGATGGTATTGATAAATTCATTCGAATGTATGCCTTTCTTCTAAGGGTGATCTCACATTTTCATGAATTTACACTTTTTTCTGATTTAGAAACTGTACACTGAAGACTGGGAAGCAGACAAAAGTTTGTTTTACCCATATAACGATAGCCCGGAGCTGAGGAGGGTCGCCCAAGCCCAGAAAGCTCTCAGTGATGTAAGTGAGATGTGATCAGCATCGTTTGGGAGTGTGGAATCAAGAAAGCGCCAATTAATTATCCAATGTTTATTGTAATTCTTTTTAAAGAAAAGTTAAATGCCATTATTGCCGAAGAAAACACCTAGAATCAAGAGAACTTAGGATTCTTCTTTTGCAGTTTATAGGATTCTTCTTAGATGTAATTTAATCCAAATCCCTCCTTTCATAAGCGCGGAACCTGAGCCAGAGAACATAAAGGTAGTAGTGGCAGAGCCCAGACAAGAAGCCAGATCCTATGATTGCAAAGCCAGTGTTCTTCCCATTAGCACATGCATTGTTTTTCCTCTTGGATCAAGTCGCAGTTATTCTTTGGTGAGGGGTTGGCATTTTTTTTTTAACTTAATGAGATCGTAACTACCTGCTCAAATCTATTAAGTGGACAATGTTATGGAAAAATTTTGATATGCTGTCCTAAGAGAAGATCTGAATAATAAGTTCTCTTCTTCTGCATTGGGGTCCTACCTGATGTATTTCTCCAAGCCTTTTGTGTAGTTACTTCGCAAAAGGGGAGCAAGATGAATAGAATTAGCAAGAAATCAGCACTCCCATTTACCAGATTATTAATATCCTAGACTTAGAAAAATGTATATTTAAAAACTAGTAGGCTTAGGGTGGAAACCTAGAACATCAGAGCAACTCACTTGAGACTAGCATTTCACCTGGTTTAGGGTACTTTATTTTCTAGCCTTCGATTTGCATGATTAGAAATCTAAAGAATTCTGTTTTAGTCTGGAGCGATAGTAGGAAAAAATGGTGAGTTGTTTACTTTTCACTTGTAAACTAGACCAGTAATTCTCATTCTCTGATCTTAACCAGCCAGTTTGCATCTTGAGTCTTATAGGGGTTTACTTTCAATGAAGCCTATAGGCTCCAGGTTACCCTAACTAAACATCATACATTTTCATCTGATGGGGTTACTAACTTTTCAGGTCCCATTTGAGCCCCATCTTGCCTGGAATGACATGCAAATGTAATGAGCATATTGTGTGTGCCATTATGCAACTGGTTAAAATATGACACAGACATACTTATATCCTTCCATATGTGAACTAATTGTAATGAGTTGCCAAGCCAAAGTCAGATGGTTTGAATGTACCAGCTGGTCCTCAGGAGAAAGATGGGCAGTCCTGCTGTGAGATTTACACTCCCACTGGGGTGGAGGGGAAGCTATTTCTATAGGACAAGTAATAAAATTAATAAGGTACAACAAAATACTAAAGCCATTTAGTATATAGTATAATTATTAGCCTGTAGGTACTCCCTGCTTCTTTTTCATGCTTGCATTTTAGTTCTTTATCATAACTTTCATGATATTGTTTGTGTGACCTTATTAAGTGATTACTAGCTATTGACAGCCAGTTATATATGCATACCTTGTGGGGGATAAAGGTATTATAAAAATTTTTATTCCTGTTTCCCCCCTGAGAATTTATAATCATGTTGGTAAAAAGAAAACAGTATATATTAAACAACAACCAACTTGAAAGTTAAAAGGTACAGTCAAGTACTTGCTGCAAATATGGCAGGATAAATGTGAATAATCAGAAAATGCCACATAAATGTGGTGATCTCAAAGGGTATAGCAAGTGATAGAGAATGCACTTGAAAAGAAGTTGAGATGAAATAAATATTGGTGTTTTTAAAGGACAAAGAAAGTGAAATCCAATGTGTCGAGCTGAAGGACATTTGGGAGAAAGCAGGCAGTAAACCTTGAAAATCAGACAAAACAGCTCTGACACAATTTGGTAGACAAAAAGAATATGTCATAAGATTTTGAAGAAGCAGAAGAAGACAATATTTCAAGAGCAGAACATGGAGACATTTTGGTAGGAAATATTGTAAATTGAAATGAAGAAAAGGGGAAATCAACTCAATTGTTGATTGTTATTTTAATAGTACAAACTGGATTAGAGAGAAGATGGGCAGAGAGGAAAGAAAGAAATCTGAAGGTAGTAGGTAACAGAGAAAGTAAACTTCAAAATATTTACTAACATTAGACCATGGAGACAAAGGAGAGAGAGTTTATGAAATTGAACTAGTAGTCTGGGCGAATAGGAGTGCAGCTTCGTTGGTGGAAGGACACACAGAATTGAGATGATGTATGGACAATTCAGATCAAGACATCTTGTAAATAAATTAGAAATGTGGTACTATTGCATATACATGAATCCAAGACAAGATTAAGATTTGAAAATCATCAATATAAGAGTGACAGCTGAAGATATGAAAATGTGTGAGGCAAGGCAGAAGAGAATATGGTTGACGGCAGAGTATGGGAAGACACCTAGGCTTAGGACATCTGGAAAGAAGTCGGCTAAGGAATGCGTTAGTACAGTCAGAAAAGTTGAAGGAAAACCAGGAAATGCCATGCCATGTAAACCCAGGATGGATTTCCAAGAAGACACTTGATCTCCCTTCATCCATAAAATAGAAAGAGAAAGGATTCCACTCCAGTACTATGAACTTTGAACAACCAAAGTTGGCCATGTTTTGTGTGTGCACATGAGGTGTTGGAGTTGGGAGTAGGTATTTCAGTAGAAAAAATAAAGGAGACTATATGAACTGGCATGGGACATTTTGAGTCAGAGGATCATAATGATCTATTATGCTGGAGATGAAAAGGTGAGGAAAAATGGGGTTGCTTTCAAAGTTAAAAAAGTATTTTCTAGATACATCCTGAAGTACAATGTTGTGAGTTATAGGATAATATCCATACACATACAAGGAAGTCCAGTGAACATCACCATCATTCAAATATATGCATCAACAACCAGAGGCAAAGAGGAGTAAATAGAAGATTTCTGCCAACTTTTGCAGTCAGAGATTGATCGAACATGCAATCAAGTTGCATTAATACTAAGGGATGACTGGAATGCAAAAGTTGGGAATAGAGAAGAAGGATCAGCAGTTGGAAAACATCGACTTGGATGAAACCAGAGATAGAATGATAGAATTTTGCACAATAAATGACTTATTCATTGCAAATACCTTTTATAAGAAACACAAAAGCAGCCTATATATATGGTTTTCTTCTGATGGTATGCATAGGAATCAGATTGATTACATTTGTGCGAAGAATCCCTGGAGAAGCTCAATATCAGCTGTGAAAACTAGGCCAGGTGCTGATTGCGGAACAGAACACCAACAACTCATGCAAGTTCAAGCTGAAGATGAGGAAAATGAAATCAAGTCCACAGGAACAAAAATTTGACCTTGAGTCTATCCCACCTGAATTTCAAAACCATCTCAGGAACAGGTTTGAGGCCTTGGACATTAATGAGCGAAGACCCGATGAGCTGTGGGAGGATATAAAAAATATCATTCAGGAAGAATGCAAAAGGTCATTACAAAGGCAGAGAAGGAAGAAAAGACCAAGATAGATGTCAGAAGAAACTCTAAATATTGCACTGGAGCGCTGAGAAGCCAAAGTAAAGGGAAGAAATCAAGATATTAAGGAGTTGAACAGAAGATTCCAGAGGGCAGCAAGGGAAGACAAAGTATTACAGTGAAATGTGCAAGGAGCTGGAGTCAGAAAATCAAAAGGACTAAACTTGCTCAGCATTTCTTAAACTTAAGGAACTGGAGAACAAATTCAAACTTCGAGTTGCAATACTTAAGGATGCTTTGGGCAGAATATTAAAAGATGGAGGAAGCATTAAAAGAAAATAGATTATACAGAGTCATTGTACCGAAAAGAATTGGTGAACACAGAAGAATTTCATGAAACAATGTATGAGCAAGAGCCTGTGATGATGAAGGAAGAAGTTCAAATTGCTTTGAAAGAATTGGCAAAAAACAAGGCCCTAGGAATTGGTGGCATACCGATTGACATATTTCAACAAACGAATGCTTCCCTGGATGTGTTCACCAAGTTGTGCCAAGAAATCTGGAGGACAACCACCTGGCTTACTGACTGAAAGAGATCTATATTTGCTCCCATTCCAAAGAAAGGTGATCCCATAGAGTGTGAAAATTATTGAATATCATTGATATCACATGCAAGCAAGATTCTGCTGAAGATAATCCAAAAATGACTGGAACAGCACATCAACAGAGAACTGCCTGAAGTGTAGGCTGGATTTAGAAGAGGCCATGGCACTAAGGATATTATAGCTAATATCAGATGAATCTTGGTAGAAAGCAGAGAGTACCAGAGGAATGTCTATCTGTGTTTCATTGACTATTCAAAGGCATTTGACTATGTGGATTACAACAAACTGTGGCTGACTTTGAGATGAATGGGAATCCCAGAACACTTGATTGTGCTTATGCGAAACTTATACTTGGACCAGGAGGCAGTCATCAGAACAGAGCAAGAAAACACCGCATGGTTCAAAATTGTGAAGGGCGTACACCGGGGATGAGTCCTGTCTCCACACCTTTTCAACTTGTATGCAGAACAGATTATCCGGGAGGCTGGGCTCTATGAGGAGAAGTGTGGCATTAGGATTGGAGGTAGACTTATCAACAACCTGCATTATACAGATGACACAACCCTGCTTGCTGAGGCTGAGGAGGACCTGAAGCACTTGCTGCAGAAGGTCAAGGATTGAAGCCTTCAATATGGATTGAAACTCAGTGTCAAGAAAACAAAGATTCTCACCACTGGGCCGATTGGCAGCACCATGATAGATGGTGAAGAGACTGAGATTGTTGACAGCTTCAATTTGCTTGGCTCTACAATCAACAGTCTTTGTACCAGCAGGCAGGAAAGTAAAAGATGAATTGCATTGGGGAAAGTCTGCTGTCAGAGACCTCTCCAAGGTACTGAGGAGCAATGATGTCAGTCTAGAGACTAAGGTGCACCTTACAGGCCATGTACAGGCCATGGTCTTTGCCATTATTTGTTATGCTTCAGAGAGCTGAACAATGACCAGGGATGATAGAAGGAAAGCTGATGCCTTTGAGCTTTGGTGCTGGAGAAGAGTATTAAATATACCATGGACTGCTAGGAGGACCAACAATTTCGTCCTTTATTCTGAAGCTTCTCTGACATACTTTGGACATGTTGCAAGGAGGGACCAGTCCTTGGAGAGGGACATCATGCTTGGGAGGGTGGAGGAACTGTGCAGAAGAGGAAGACCCTTGATAAGTTGGATTGATTCCGTCACTAGGGTGATGGGGATAGGTGTGTCAGAGACAATGGGATTGGCAAGGGATAGAGCAGAGTTTAGGGCTGTTGTGCATAGGGTCGCAATGAGTGGCAAATGACCCAGCAGCACATGAAAAAAAAAAACAAAAAACCAAACTACAACAATATAATAATGAAGTACGGTTTTCTCTATACTCCTCCAGAAAGACTTGGCAGCTAAGGTACAGCTTTTATTTTTATTACCAATAAAGTATCTAACCATCAGATTACCGTCATGCCCATTAATACTGTTGTCAACATCATGAACTTCTACAATTACTGAATGCAGAGGCCTAAACAAGCTGTTTGTTCACAGAAGGTAGTGCTGGGTAGGCACAGAGATTTCAACCCTAAGGGTTGGGTTAGAGGTTTCTTCTCCCTTTCCTGGCCCTCTTCCTGTGACTCTCTTAAAACTACTTATCATATTATACTTACTCTCTTAAGCAGAGACAAAATACTTTGTAAGCACTAAGAGAGTGTTTGAGTTGATCTAGAAGGCCTAATTCTAACTAGAGAGAATTTTGAACAAGGTTCTTGAGAAATTAGCCCTTCTAGATCTCATTTCTCTGAAATCCTTTGACAAGTTGTCAGACTTATTAAGCATTTCTCCAGGTAGAATGTTGCTCTCTCTATGGACATAGCTAGCCATGGAAAATTCCAGTTGCTCTATGCTTAGTTTTTACTTCTTTAAAATAAGTTAAGCAATGGATTTTTTAAGCGGTAGATTGTAAGAATCTGTCCTTTTAGTTTCAATATGCTTCATATTAATAAAAGCTTTTGTTTAGGGGACTATTACTTTTTGCTTCTTTTAACTAGTGTCAAGTTGACCTTGAATTCATGGTGACCCCATGCACTACAGAGCAGAAGCCTTTTCTAGCTGCAATTTTTACAGAAACTGTTCATTATGTCTTTGTTCTATTTGGCTGCTAGCTATCATGGTAAGATTTAGTTATACATGACTAGAACATAAAGAAGATGATTGTGACCTTAGAATTGTCCAACTCCTATAATTTCTAAATTAGAATACTGTAGCATTGAAAGAGAAATAATTCTGTCCTTCATACTTGCCCAAATTGCCTCAGTGCATAAAATACATGTTCAGAAATCAATTCTTAAATACCCATTCTAGTCCCCATCCAGGCCACAGGGACCCCAAATGAGAGGGCATGCCTTTTGCCTCCCCAGAGCTCACATTACAAGAAAGGACAGATATGTAAGCCATCAGTTATAGTGTCACCCTAAAAGTCCTTTAAAGATATTAAGAGCCAGGTAAGATGAAATTCCGTGAGAGAGTCATTATGTCAGCCTTAGGGGTCAGGAGGGTGCCTCAAGGAAAGTCAGGCACATCCGGAATGGTGAAGCATCAGCAACAATTTGTACAAAGAAGGGGAGTAGGTGGAGTCAAGGAATTCCAGGGAGAGAGAACAGCACTTTTGAGGTCCAGAGACATAAAGGGGGAATCTATGAGTAATTCTGCTTTGTGGGAGTCAAGGGTCCAGCAACTGTAGAAAGAGGGGAGTCAGTAGTAAAGAAAAGAAAGGAGACTAAGAGTGGAGTGGGCATTATTCTTGGCACGGAACTGGTTTTAAGGCAGCAGATGCCTTTCATAAGCTGAAGGAAAAAAGCTACTGGAAGAGAGGTTGCAGGTGTAAGAAAGAGGAGAAATTACTGAAAAGAGTCAGATACAAAAGAATGAGAGGGGTCAGGAGTAATTAATTAATAGGAATGCTGTGAATCTGCAATTTGTTAGAAGTTTTATAGGACTAAGAATTTAACTTGAGAGATTTTCATAAAAGAAAATCTACTGAGAACATCACAGAAAAATTCTCCTTGGAGAAGTAAGAGAAGCAGGAATGAATATAGAAACTGATTAATGAGTTGTAAGTGCTATCAAATGGAGTATGACTCATAGCGACCCTATGAACAACAGACCTGAACCTTGGCCTATCCTGTGCCATCCTCACAATCTCTGACATACTTGAGCCCACTGCAGCAGTCACTATGTCAATCTGTCTGGTTGAGGGTCTTCCTCTCTTTAGCGTGTCTCCTTCTTTCCAACCATGATGTCCCTTTACAAGGAACAGCCTCTCCCAGCAACATGCACAAAGCATGTGAGACAAAACTTAATCATCTTTGCTTCCAAGAAGCACTCTGGCTACACTTTTCTCCAAAGAACAGTCTTTCTCTCTTCCTTTGGTAGTTCATGGGATATTCAGCACTCTTCTCCAACACCACAGCTAAATGATTAATGACTAGCCTTTCTTTTCTCAATAAAAGAGGAAGTAGAGGGTAATGTGGAATTGATTTGGGCCTGAAGACACTGTTGATGTACTAGCCACATAGTAGAGGCTGATCAGAGAGACACATGACAGGATTTCCAAGCTTCATTAAAGGCAGTGTCAACTAGATACCCTAACTCCCTAATTATCCAATATGTGTATTTTCACTCTTTGACCCATCAGTGTTCTGGATACAAGAAGAGAGGAAATATGTGATTTAATTGGTCCAGAGAGAATGGTTTATTAAGTAAGTATAATGAAAAGGCAAGTAGTTGAGAGATACAGATTTTGTTTAAGAGAATAATTGCAGCTGCCATCATGGTGAGAAGTCCATCATGGAAAGAAATAGAACTGGAACTTGGTGAAGAAGGAAGATGCATGGAAATAGAAATCACGAGCAATATTGAGAGTGAGTGCACACAAAACCTAGAAGGATCACTTATAGTTAGACAGTTGTACAACATTTATGACTTCATAAAAAGGTGTTTGTGGTGGTTTTTTCTTAAGTGCCAATCTGTCTAGAACATGAGAAATAGAATAATTTCCTGTGGCTCATTAACACCTTTGTCTTTGTTTTGTTAGATTTCCTACAAAAAAGGTCATGTTGAACAGCAGTCTCAATTCACATCGCTAGCAGATCCTCCAGACATAGAATTTGCCAAGAAAGTGACCAATCAAGTGAGCAAGGTGAGTAAAAACACTGGGGAACAAGATAAGAACTTGGCTTAATAATCTCAATAAAAAACAAAACAAAACAACACCACAAAAAACAACCAACACCAAAAACTCAATCAGCAGAGAAAGCAAAGATAAAGCATAAAACACTAAGAGTAATTTGTATCTGACATAAAACCAGAGTCAAAGCAATATAATCATCACCATGCAGTTGATAGCTGCCTTCAAGTTGGTTCTGCCTCAGAGAGACCCTCTTCACACAAGAACAGAACCCTGGCCAGTCCTATGTCGTTTTTACAATCACCGTACCTGAGCCCATTGTTAAAAAATTAACTCTGTTAATTGGTCAACACCACGGAACTGTACTGATCAGTGCTTAGCCAGTGTGACGACTCAGTGGTTGATAAATGTAAAACTTAATTTTGAAAATAGAATCCAAGTCCTAACCCCTCTTGACATGATTTGTTGGAGTAACCAAGTAACCACACATGTCCACGGAGGATTGGATTCTTTTAACCTAGTGGAAATTCCCATAAATTTTAGGCTCTCAGTCAGATGTAGAAAAAGACAAATTCTTGATCGAGGTCCCAGATATAGCTTAGTTGACATCAGTGGGCAGTGCTCTTCCTAAGTTTAGAGGCCTGGAAAAACAGCTTAGTCGGCCTATATATAGGCTGGTAAACCCACCCTGAGGCACAGATGTTCCTTCCACTGATGAACAGGCCAGACTCAATTCCTATTTTAAATTGGTCCAAACCAGCCACTTTCTCCTGGGATACTTCTGATTTTAAGGGTTTCCTTTACTATCTAGGGAGCTGAGTCCCATTTTTGCTGAATTTTGATGGAATCTCAAACTCTAAGGAGCCCAGGTGATGTAACACATATCCTCTTGTAACATGATGTTGTATCCCCAGCCAACTTGTAAGAGAAAGGTGAGCATTCTCCTCTAGTAAGGATTTACAGCCTCAGAACAGAACCCCAATTTAAGGTTGCTGTGAATTGCAATTGACTCAGTGGCAGTGGATTTTAAACTGAAGTTAACCATAGAATTATCCATAAACTAGCACCAATTGAAAACTGTCCTTTAAATAAGATTGGGTTGCAAAAGATGATTTACCTTTCTGAAAGAAAAAATGGTTAAGATCTTCCAGGGGAGTCATTTAGAAGCAAAAGGAGATCTATTTTTAATTTTTATTTCAAGCATAGTTTTAGATATATCTTATTAAGATAACATTCTTCCTTCTTCTTTAATAGGCAGTGTGAGTACTTGAAAGTATTAAAAAGTTCACTTCAAATTCCTCTATAATCAGTCTCCCCACTAATTTAGGCTTGCCAGTAAGTTGAGATCCATACTTTTTAGTACAGTAGCAACTACACCCATGTGGCTATTGAGGACTTGAAATCTGATTAGTACAAACTCAGATATCTGTATGTGTGAAATGTACACTGGAATTTGAACACTTAGACAATGTCAAATAGCCCATTGGCTCTTATTATAGTGATTATATGTTGAAGCGTAATATTTTAAATCCATTGGGGTAAGTAAAAGATATTATTAAAATGAAATCCCCACATGTTTCTTGGAACTTTAAAAAATATGACTCCCTAGAAAATTTAGAATTACACATATGGTCTATATCATGTGGCTATTGAACTGTGCCATTCTAGTTGGATGAGGTCACATCTTGGGTACTTTGTAAGTATTACTTGGGGTGTTGGGTTCACCCTTTTTCTCTCTTTAGTTTTTCTTCTTCTTGTGCTTTGAATTAAAGTCTACAGAGCAATTGGTTTACCATTCAAGAATTGATACAGATTTTGTTTTCTGACATTAATTACAGTCTCCACACTGTAACATCAGCCTTTCTACTTTCTCTCTGTGACTCTCACTTCTCTTCTTCCTTCTAGCTTATTCTTTCTTGCCTTTTGAACTTTCTTCCTGGGAAAGCATTGCCTTTTAGATATTCTATATTTGATGGTCTTAAGGAATAAATACCTTATAAGCATGTCTATTGTTTGGCTAAAAAGTGAGTCCCGGGTGTGAATTTAGTTACAGAATCCTTTGATTCTAGCAGAATCCTTTGAATCCTAGCACCATAGTCTTGGTGCTTCAGCTAGTCTGCGTTAGGCAAGCAAGACTGGTCATGACTATGACTTTGAGTTTTGTTCCATATTTTTCTCCCACTCCTTCAAGGGTCCTCTTCTGTGACCCCTTTTTGAGTAGGCAGCAGTGGTGGCCTGGCACCATCCCATTATTCTGTCGTAGGGTGGTAGATGTGGAAGCTTGTGTGGTCCATTATTAACCCCTTGGACTAATTGCTTCTTTATTTGTCTTCACTTTTCTTGGTCACTCACAGGGAGAGATCAATAGCTACATGTTAGAAGGCTGATTGCAAGCTTTGAAGACCTTGTAATTATTTACCAAAGTAGGATGTAGAATGTTGTTTTTGAGACCAAATTCTGCCAAAGGCTAAAGACGAAAGGCCAAAGGCTCTGATCCTAACAGCTTTAGGACCAATAACTCATTCCCAGGGATTTCCTATCAAGTTAGGTCTCTTAGATCCACCCTTTGGTCTTACAGCTATCAGTTCAAATGGCAATAGTCATTTATCTGTGACCATTTTCTTACTGACACATTCTGTATACCAACCTTTCCTATTTTGCCTGTCAGAATTAATTCTTTCACCTTTGCTTTGACAAAGCTGTCAGCTACCTGCCAGCACTTCCTCCCGGCTCAGCTGCCTTTTGTAACTCTAGCATAGATGAATAGGCTGACAGGAGTTCAAGGTCGTGAATCACCATCTGAAAGTGTGGCTCTGAAGGCAACATTGGAAAGTTCTTTTTGCTCCCTTCCGTGTTCATCAGCAGGAAAACAGTAGGAAGACTTCAGGCCAGAATCCTGGTTTATTTTTATCTGTGATTGAGAATGGACAATTTGTTTTCTATAGTGCAGCTTGTTACAGAGCATGAAGAGGCCACATCTAATGGTATGAACCCTTTGGAACTCTTCTACCATTAGAAATTAGGAAAAGTAGATTTCACTAATAAGAGAGCTGATTGAAGGAAGAATGCTATTCTTCGTCCACCTCATGCAATGATAAAAACCAGTTGAAACCTCTTTCACTACCTCTGGAGAAGATAGCTTTTCTCTGAATGGAGCTGTGAGGAAACCTAATGTCTAGCTACTCTCAGAGAAAGAGAATTGTGATTAACTGGCCTTAAGTGTCTTTCTATTTTATAACCACATCAAAAACACAGGTACAGATGTGAAAAATAGAAATGAAGTTTTATGTCTAAGGGAAGTACTTCTTCTTGTTCTTGTTAGATGCTGTTGAACCAATGGGTCCTAGTGACCCTATGAATAGCAGATCTGAACTCTGTCCTGTCCTATGTCAATCTCACAATCTCTGACACACATGAGTCCATGGCTGCAGTCACTGTCAGTCTGACTGGTTTAGGGTCTTCCTCTCTTGTGCCACCTTTCCAAGCATGATGTCCTTCTTTCAGGAATAGCCTCACCTATCAACATGCCCAAAGTAGGCTAGACAAAGCTTTTCCATCCTTGCCTCCAAGGAGCTTAGGGTTTCTAATTTGTGGCCTGTTTGAAGTATCCCTCACCAACTGCTAGGGAACAGGGACAATGGTTCAGGGAAGACATCTTTAAAGATAGAAACTATCTATCAACATATGGTCAGCTTTCCCCCCACAGACATGGCCCTAGTCCTTTACACTAATTTGTTATGATTTGATTTTTGGTAAATGAACAAATCAGCACAAAATTGTAGAGAAAGTTAAGTAGATTCTTACCTCCAGGTTTCCACTGGTAGACTTTAATGGGCATGGTCAAAGAATTAGGTGTTCGAGGTGGTGGAAAGTCGGGTTTTGGACCCTGGTATGGTTAACCAACCTCCATGTACCACAGAAAACCTTGAGCATTGCTCAACATTGAGACACTTGCTGTGATTTCTTGGAGAAGGGCGGCTCTTCATAAACACTTCTCCCACCTTCTCATTTCATCTGATGAGTTTTTGTCTTTTCATTTTCTCTCCTTTCTGCAAATGTAATTGATATCTTGAAGTTCCTCAATGGCTATTAGTGCCATCCTCCTCTTGTGATATGAAAATCTTTTCAGACATAGGAGTATTTGGAAGTGGGCTGTGAGAGAACCATCCCACCCTGAGCTGTATTAGGTTCTGGGCAGAAGGAATACTAAGTCTTTGTTCATGGGGGTTAAAATGGGAGAGAGGACTTTTGATGACATAACTACATAGATTCTAATCTTATTTTGCTTCTTGCTTTCATGTCTTATTAAAAACTCATGCATCTATCTCTGACTATAAAAATTCATCTGTGATTCTAGTTTCCTTAACAAATTTACATGCACAATGCCTATTTCCCTATAATAGCTCAACTTTTAAGCCTAATTTAGAACAGATGCTGCCTTTTCCACTTTAATTAAGCTCTCTGCATCTCAGTCTTGGAATGTGTCAGACTCAACTGTCCCTTCCCAATTTAAGAGTTTTCCCTCTTTAACTGCAGAATGCAGGGTAAAGAAAAATATTCCACCATATGTGTTCTATTTATAAATAAAACTCAATTCAATCTGACTGCTATCGAGTCAGTTTCACATAGAGACCCTCTACCTGGTTTCTGAGGCTATCAATTGTTATGGCGGGAGGCTGCCCATCTTTCTTCTAAGTAGTGATGAGTGGATTCAGACTGTTGGGAGCTTGAACTCATTGGACTGGCAGTGCAATTCACTACAGGCCATGCCCTTGTAGATAAATAAACTCAACTCATTGCTGGAATCTCAGAACTGACTTGATAGTGAGCCTGTGGTGGGTTTCTCAGGCTGTAAATCACATGGGTGGAATTGGCCCAGAATGCCTATCATTCTCCCATGGAGCTGCTGGTGGATTTGAACTGCTGGAAATGTGTGGCCTTTGAGTTAGCAGCACAACTCATTACAGACGAAGCTACCAGAGCTCTCTAGTTATAAATAAGACTGTTTATAAGTAAACATACAATATTATAGACTATAAGATCATGTCTTGGGTTTTATGCACATCAAGAATTTCTAAAATACTATTTACGTCATTATATAGCTTTTTCAAATTTTTAAGTAGTCTATTATAGTCACAATGAACCCAGTGGTTACGCACACAATTACTAACTAAAAGATTAGTGGTTTGATCTGACCAAGTGGCTCCATAATAGAATCACCTGGAAGTCTGCTTCCATGGAGATTATGCCTAGGGAAAACCTCTAGGTGGTTAGCTTCTGTTCCTTGAGAGTTACTGTAAGTCAGAGTTGATTTGACTCATTGCATGCAACAGCAATGATGTCACAGTAAAAAGATTAGAAATAATTATTATTAGAAACAGGAAGTCTTAGCTAATTCCAAAACTAATTTTATTAACTTGAATTCTGTCAAGAGAGATAATCAATCAATTGGTAAATCTTATCTCTGGAAAGATTTCAAATGAACTGTCTCTTATGAATTCTCTCTCACATATAGACATACATACATATACGCTCACACACGTAACCACACACACCTTTTTCTTTTCTCCAGAATGTCTTTCCCTCTCTGGTGTGATAATAACAATAATACTGGCCATCATCCTTATTACAATTATTCTGTTTAACACATTAATACTCACAAAGGACTTCATTGTGGGTTCTTATTTCATCTGTTGAACAATCCTCTAAGTATTGCCTCTGAAATGTGTGGTTAAGAAAAGCTGAGACTTGGAGAGGCTAAGTTATAGCTTTGCTAAAGATGGAGTCAAAACTTGGACTGAGGTTTCTGAACTCAGACCTAAAAACCATGTAACAAACCAAACCCACTGCCATGGAGTCAATTCCAAATTGAAGTGACCCTTCACCAGGTCTCTGAGGCTATAAATCTTTGGGGGAGGCAACAACTCTCAGAGATTAGCTCTCATTGAGGGGCTGATGGATTCTAACTGCTGACTTCTGGGTTAGCAGCCCCACACGCTGCAAGCTAAACTGCCAGGGCCCCTTGAGTCCATGTCTGGTGCTCCAAAAGGAAAAGCTGTAAAAAGAACTTGATTGTTCCTTGAACCCAAGCTCATTGATTCTAAGCATCACTCTTGGTAAAGCCTTTCTTGTTGCTGTTTTCCTTGAAGGGTGTGTTAAGGGGCAGGTATACAAACACCTTGGGGTCCTTTGGTTAGGTCTATTAACATATTTCTATGAGCCATGGAGAGAAAATAGTTCTAGTTCTTATACACCCAGGTTTGGGGTTGTTGGCAACATAAAATCTGCTCCATGAAAACTGAGGCCAAGATAGTTCATAACCAATTCAGTTTAATGTCGTTCAACAAACATTTATGAAGCTACTCCTGTGTGTATTTCGTATTAAGTTCTGAGGGTATGAAAAAGAATGTCATAAGCACCCTCTTCACAGAGCTCAAAGCCTGAGAATTGGATGGGGAGGGTTGGAAGGTGACATAGGAGAGAAACTGTTCAATTTTTGAATTTATTTCTGCTTCTCATTAAATTTATTCATGTCTAAATTTAGAGATCTCATTCATTAGTTTATAGGCAATATTCATCAGTCTAAAGGCCAAATTTTGTTATGGTGGCTGTTTTCTGGATAACTAGGAGTTTTATGGAAGTTTAGCAATGAATGATGAAGCTAAATTCTCATGTCAGTTTGAGATTGGTAGATTTTATTATAGCTCAGAAATAAAAATGGAACATAGCTTCTGACTATCTCTCACTCAAACACCAGGGAACACTCACAGATTCTGAATGAATTTCATTTCCAAAATCAGCAGTGAAAGGGGGAATTGGTTTCTTTTCTCCCCTCTTCTCTTTGTTTCTCCCTCCCCACCTCTCTTGTTGAGTAAATTGATATTACACCCACAATGTAAAGAATTTACTGTGGACTTAGGGGATTCTGATGGTTTAGTGCTGAGGATTTTTGTACTACCAGCTTGAAAGTCCACAATTTTACCAGTGGTCCACAGAAAAAAGATGGGCAGTCTCCTCCTATGCAATTCAGTCCCTCTGAAAACCTGCTGGAGGGCCAGCTATGAGGTGGTTCCAACTTGATGGTACGTAATAACACTGACAACAACTCTAAAGACTTAGAAACTCTGATGGCCTAGTCCACTGCATTTTTATTGTACTGCCAACCCAAAGGCTGCTTGTCTTTGGCAGTTCAAATCCACCAGCCTCTCTAGGGGTAAAAGATGGGCAATCTTGGAAACCTAGTACAGAGGGTCACTATTATTTGGAACTAATTCATTGACAGTGAGTTTGTGGGTTGGTTTTTTTTCCCCCCCCTCATTAAGAACTTAGAAGGAATCTTGGTGGTGCAATGGTGAAGCACTAAAATGCGAACTTGATGGTTGGTGGTTTGGACCCACTAATGGACATGCATGCAAAAGACCTTGAGATCTGCTCCCTGAATGATTAGATTATTCTGCCGCATTGAGTTGAAACTGACCTATAGCTGACCCTCCAGAGGCAGTTAATCACATGGAAGGAGATTGCCCATTTTTCTCCCACAGAGCAGCTGGCGACTTCAAACTGTGTGCCTTGTATTAGCAGTGCAGCTGCTTAGAAAAGTCAGTAAAGTTCTCCTCTGTCCCATGGGGTTGATATGAGTAAAACAATCTGTTGCCAGTTGTTGTTTTTGTGTGCTGTTGAGTCACTTGCCACTCATAACGAATGTATGTACAACAGCTCTGACCCCTGCTCTCTCCTGTGCCAACTTTATTGTTTATGACACACTTACCCCCATTACCCCAGTCACTGAATCAATCCACCTCATCAAGGGTCTTCCTCTTCCTCCACCTTCTGAAGCATAAAGTCCCTCTTCAAGGACTGGTCCCTTCTTGCAACATGCCCAAAGTTTCCAGAGTACCCTTTAAATATGATCACTGAGAAAATATTTCTAGTATGCCCCTTAAATTTGGATTCTTCCTCTTCCTAAGTAAGAATAGTGAAACAGGGATCCAGGCTTTTCCACGAAAGCAGGGATTTGTTAGGAAAGAGGTTTGTCAGGAAAAATATTTTGTGACATAAAAGTACAAAGGAAGGTATAGAGGGATGAAATAATCTAACCCACAACTCTTGGAACTGAAGAAATTTTGGGCTTATAAAGATTTAGGTGAGAAGAAGTTCCATGTTTATTCACAAGAGAAGGGGGTGAATTCTGGGAAATAACCCAATTGGAGGAGGTATGATAATTAAATAATTGTGCCGGTTGTTTTTCAAGATGGATACTAATGTAGAGGATTCTGGGTCAAAAGACTACACTTATGGGATGATGCATTGCATAGCAAGGCTTTCCAGTTCAGTACCCCTTTCTAGTAGCCTTTCTTCTTGCTTCAAAGGCTAACTCTTGGTCGTGAGTGGTATGTCTGTGTAAACTCTAAGAACTAATTCAAATTGGTTTCTGGTTTCAGTTTAGACCAGATTTTCAGAAAGTCAAGTGTTCAGGAAGGGATCTCTGGTGGCTTACAAGATAAAGAGTTACACTGCCAACCTAAAGGTAGATAGTTTGAATCCACCAGCTGCTCCATAGAAAAAAGATGGACAGTCTCCTCCCATTCAATTTACAGCACCTGAAAATCTGCTGGAGGGTCAGCTATGAGTTATTACATAACAACAGCAACACATAGAGAACAATATCTTATCAAACTGGAGGGTAAGTAATCACCAGATACTAATAATAGCAGAGTTTAAGGCAATTACAGGCTAGTGAGAGGGGCTACAGGTGAAGTTTCAAAGTAATTCTTCCTCCCCTATCTCAGATCAACTCAATGGCCGCAAAGAACAACATTAAAAACTTAAGTACGGTCCCATAAAGATATTTTTAAAAACTTTTTTTACTAACTTGATTGATTTATCCGTCAATTACTGAATTTTGCTTGTTTTCTTCTGTTCCTAGCAAAAATACAAGGAAGACTATGAAAATAAAGTCAAAGGCAAATGGAGCGAGACACCTTGCTTTGAAATCGCAACGGCTAGAATGAACGCTGACAACATCAGCACAGTGAGTCGGGGGTGGGGGTGGGGGTGGCTAGACCCGGAGTTACCCTTTCTTTCAGCAGCCTCTGGTCTCCTGCTGCACCCCCCAACGTGGTGGCAGAGTGGCTGAGGCCAGGCCACTGTCTTTGAGAACAAATTCTGACCAAGAGTTCCTGTGAAGAAAGAAATTCTAAAATCTCTTTTTCCATTTGAGAAATATTATTTTAAGCAAATCGCATTATTTCTGCCTCATTTTCCACCGAATCATATGGTTAAGCCTTTCTTACAAGTGACAAATAAATAGTTATTTAGCTCAGGTTTCAATGTTACTAATGGTAAAAAGACCAAGAGGCCCTTTGTCTAGTGAACTTAAACTCTGTGTGAATGAAATGGATTAATTCATTCATTCCTTCCTAAACTCTCCTCACTAGAAAGCATAAACCTAAGTTCCTATCCTCTTGAATTTCTTACTTAAAACCTTCAAGATCTATTTTTTTTTGTGATCTGTCCCTTGGCCTATTCTAATTGTCTCTGATATCTGGTAAATTGCTGGCACCATAGTCTAAATCTGCTGTCAGTGTGTCTCAGTCAGGGGGAGCATGACTTTGAACTTCTCCAAATGTCTGGTGTCCTCTCTTGTAAAAGTCTTGAGGTTTCCTCTGCAGCAGTCCATCAGCATGTTTTGTGTCTTACAGAGGAAATACCAAGAAGACTTTGAGAATTTGAAAGACCAGATCTACTTCATGCAGACGGAGACACCCGAGTACAAAGTGAACAAGCAAGCTGGGGTGGCCGCCAGCAAGGTATGGGTGATGGCTACTCTGTTTGTTTATAGGTTTCAGGGTGGATGTATTTCTTATTACTCTCAATCTTGTGTATGACGAAAATAATGAGACTTTTCCCAGAACTGCCAAGGTAAAAACCAATGGATCCTAGGCATTTGAATTTCATAGACTAGTAGGACTGAAACAAAACAAACCCACCCCACTTTGAGATTATAATCTGGCTGCTTTCCCCCTCCATGTGTGGTTAATTACAACTTCCTGCACTGAAATCCCCAAGTCACACAGTTTGAATCCACTAGCTGCTCTGAGAGGATGGACACTTTACTGCCTCTGAAAACTCTCTGGACGGTCAGTATGGTTTGGTTCCAACTTGTCAGCACACAATGCCAGCAACAATGGTGGCAAAGTCTGTAAGGATTTGTGCGGTCAACCCCAAAGTCTCATCTCTCTGGACATTCAAATCAATCGGGGCTCCATTGAGAGAAAGGTGGGCCATCTTTGCCTCCTGAGCCACTAGAAGCTCAGTGATACATCAATTCTGACTTGATGACAATGAGTTTTATGAGCAAATTACTGTCTTCAGTGTCTTATAGAGTAAAGCATTTTTACAACCCAGAAGCCTCAGCCAGTAGGACATTTCCTGGTCCACCAAAAAAAGATAACTGATATGCTGAAATGAAGATAGATACTCCCAAGCTCAATGGAACGATTCTTTTCCATATTTTGCCCACTGCCTGGCAAAAGCCTAATTACAGACAAGAAGCACACATTCATGGATGGGTTTGGGAAATTCTGGTTTGGACTATGTCATTATATGCCTTTGTTGGCTGACTTCAGTGAAATCAGGTTAGCTAATAGAAAATGCATAGTGAACTCGATTCATTTCCTGACTTTGACTTTGACTTTGGCCCAAAAGAGTTAAGATCACCTAGAACATGGTGACAATATCCAAGTGCAAGCTAATGGTATTTGGGTTTAAATGGAAAAGCTATGTGGGTGGTAATAACTTTTTAAGAAGTAAAGCCAATATAATTCATCCTTGAATTGGGTGTGGGATGTGAGAGGAAGATTTTTGTGTGAACCACTAAACAAATGGAGTTTTCCTTGGAATACTATGCAGTATACAGGAACAATGATTTTATAAATTATTACCTAACTTGGGTGGGGCTGGAGAGCATTATGCTTAGTGAACTAACTCAGTCCCACAAGGATAAATGTTGTATAAAATCATTATTGTAGAATAAGTATAAGGATCCAAGAGGGAAGAGGGATAGGAGAGGTTGGAAGCAGAGGGATGAGAATGTGCAGGGAGAGGGGGGATTAATCATTGGGTTGTACAATTTAATTGGTGGAGGGTGAGGGAATTTGAAAGCATTTGTTCTTGGAAACAATGTATTTGAATGTTGTAAATAAACTGGTAGAAAAAAAAGATAGGGAAGACTATGGAAGGGACAGGTGTATGCGTTTGGGGTAGACAGGAATTCAGTGTGAGGCATGTTCACTTTGAAATGCCTTTAGATACATAAATGGAAATGTCAAGTGACCAGTTGATTATATGAGTTTAAATTTTTCAAGGAAGATATCTGAGTCATTATTTAATTGGTAGGTAAATTTGAGAGTCATTAGCATATGTGTGGTACTTGGGAATTAATATAGATTGAAAAATCCCAGTGACTGAATTCTGGCATGTTACCGTGTGAAGGCATCAAAAGACCAAAGGAGGAGAGAGTAGTATCTTGGGCATCAAGTGAAGAAAGAATTAAAGTCTTTGATAACCTTGCCAAGAGGGATTTGGTTGAGTCTTGGTGACTAAAGTCTTGCTGAAGAGGAATCAAGAGTAAACGAGAAGAGAGAAATGGAAAGCTGCAAGTATACTCAACTGTTCTATGTTTTCTGTAAAGACAAAAAGAAAATGGGGCAATAATTGTTACATAAATGTATAAGGAGAGGATTTTTCAATATTGTTATATGACTATGTGCTATCAAGTTGGAACCAGATCATAGCTGATCCTCCAGTGAGTTTTCAGAAACAGTAAATGAAATGGGGAAAAAATTACCCATCTTTCTCCCACAGAGCAGCTGGTAGATTCAAACTAAGTGCCTTTGGATTGACAGGCAGTGCAGCTCCTTACCACTATATCTCCAGAGTGCCCTAATTTTTCAAGATAGACAAAAGCATGATAGATCTATGCTGATGGGGAAAATTTTCTATTGAGAGAAACATTGATGATAAGATATGAGCAATGACTGGAGTCCTGTAGCGCAGAAAGAAGAGGAGATCTGGTGCTAATGAGGAGACTTGTAACAGCACGGACAGTCCTCCCTCCAATAGGAGAGAAGGCAGCATACCCTGGATACAGGGCATGTATAAATCTGTGGAATAGCTTTAGGTTGTTTAGTTTTAGTTTTTTAAGGAAAAGTCTTCTACTTTAGAAAAGAATAGAAGTCATAATAAATGGAAGATTTGGGTCTTCCTTTCCTGTCAAACATCTGCTAAGTCCTTTGTGGAGATTTTAGGGATGGTGCATTGATGTTTCGGTTTTGTTTCTCCTGTATTTGGGAATGAAGTTTATCTGCTCTGTTTCCTGAGGTTTTTAAATGTTTAAATATTATATTTCTTGAACTCATCTATATTCTGGGGTTATACAGACATGATTTCATTCATTAAAGTGGAGACTGTGTCTGGGATCCACATCCATTTCTTGTTCTACCCATTGTGACCACATGCCTAATGGGAACTTTTGCTTCCTGAACTCCCTGACTACTTCTGCTATAGCTTGAATCACAGCTGGAAGGGGCAGATGCAAAAGGTGAAGGTGTCACTACAAATTCCACTCCCAGATCCCTCCTCCTCCCCCTCCCACCTGCACTTTAAATATTCTCTCTCTCTCTCTCTCACACACACACACACACACAGCCAAAGGGAGGCATTAGGAAGTGAGTTGGTGATGCTTCTAGCTTCCTTTCTAATAAATAGATAGATAGATAGATAGATAGATAAATGAATAAATGAATGAATGAATGAAATAATTTTTTTTCCAGTTAGACAACTGAAAGTTAAAAGGCTCGATGAGGATTCTTTAGTACCTAGTATCTGAGATGTGGTGTGTGCTCTCTCTCTCTCTCTCTCCTTTTCCCCCCTTCTCTCTCTCCGTCTCTCTCTCATATTCTTTATCCAGCTCTCTCTCATTGAGGGCAAGGACCAAGTGTTGTTGGTTTTTTCCTTGAATCTGTTCTCAAGCCAGGCACATAGCAAACATATTTGACACCTTGTGGATATTTTTGAATGAATGGGAAGAAAAGGAATCCTGGAATTGTATACCCTTTCTCTGTTTCTGTTACATGTTACAATAGGTATTTTGTTTATGAAATGTCAAGCTACTACTTTTCCAAAAAGAAAATTGGTTTGTGAAACTATACCATAATATCGGTAATAGAAATTATCACAAAAAATAGCCTGGAGAATTACTTCTTCATTTTACTTCACTCCTGCAGGTAAAATACAAAGAAGACTATGAGAAGAATAAAGGAAAAGCTGATTACAATGTACTTCCTGCTACAGAGCAGCCACTGTTCAGGCAGCTGAAGGCGGCAGGAAACGCCCTAAGTGATGTAAGTACAATCTTGTCAAGAAGTGTTTTTGAAACCACAGCTGTGAGAGATGGAAATTTTCTCCTTCTAGAATGACTGAATAAAAATGTAACTGCAAATACCTTAATGTTACATTGTAGCAGTTTCACCAAGATGCTCTAGCAACAAGATAGGGAGTCTCCTGTGTAATATGTCTCCATTTTCCTAGACCTGTGGATCTGGTTCACAGAAGAGGGAAAATGCTCATTTGCTTACAGGCTGTGGGTGCCTGTGCTTATGATTAAAAGGGAAGGAGAATGTGCAACAATGAATGAATGAAAATCCAGTCTCTATAAACTTTCATTAAAATTTCCATTTAAAAAAAAAGGCAAGGAGAGACACATGTTAGCTTCCTGCCCTGTGTTCTCCAGGCTGACTCTGTAGTTCCTCCACTTTTTACTTAAAGTTTGGCTCCGTAACTAATAATGTATAGATGATAAGGCTTTTAAAAGAATGAACCTTAACTCTTCATGTAAATTTCTATCTATTGCATTAAGACCTAATTTACGTAATTAGATCTGAAATAGATTAGATAAATAAGAATCAGGCCTAAGGTTGAAAGAGGAGGGAGCACTGATGGCTTAGTGGACAGGGAATTGATCTGCCAATCCAAATGTAGGTGGTTTGAATCTACCATCTGCTCCTTGGGAGAAAGATTTACAGTCTTTGAGTAACTGAGTGATTGAAAGTCTAATGAACCAATGGCTGTATATTTGTCGTCAACTGGTCACCCTCAGTGTTGGTAATTAGGGACACAAAGAGAAATATGGAGTAAGCTTAACACCACCCTAGTCATGTTTTTGTTTTATGCCCTTAAATTGGAACTAAAGCAGACATAGCTGACTCTCCATGGAGTTTTCAGATCAGAGTCAGTAAACTGCATGGAAAGAGATTGCCCATAATTCTCCCCAGAGTAGCTGGAGGATTCAAACCATGTGCCTTTGGGTTGTCAGCATAGCTCCTTACCCTCTAGGACACGAGAGCTCCATCAAACACAAACACATCAAAACATAGTCAAATTAGCTGTAGTCAGGAGCTGCACAATGCCCACTCTTTACAAAGAGAAGACGTTTATTGTTAGTGCTAAAGAGAAATTCCACCAGAGAGTAGTTAATAGATTCTTGATTTGAATTCTGATGTATTTATTTAGGCTTTATTTTTTAAGGCTATCTAATTTTAATAAGTTATTATTAGAAGACATTGATCTGTGGCAAAAAAGATAAAGAGTTTTTCTCAACTTGCACTAAAGTCTTATGAAGGTATCTTTAAAACAACAACAAAAAATGTTCAAAACACTCCTTGGTGTGTACCAACCTCAGTGAGGGGGGAATGAGTCCATGAGGTGAGAATGGAGAAGGGTACTCTTCAGAATGATGCCAGCTCTTGTGCTTGTGTAGTTTGGTCAGAGAGAGAGAGCGATTTTGTAAAGGAAAAAAAAATATTTTTTTAAGATTATTAGAAACTTAGACTGTACAAGAATTAGTAATGGAAAGGTCTGATGCATGTGACACATCGATGTTTGATTGTCAGCTTTTAAGACAGCCAGCAGGCCATCTTTCTTCTTCTTTTGTTTAGTGTTGGAAAATACAAGTGTTATAATCTGTGTGGGAGTGACAGGAACCGACTGTAGCTGATTTTTTCCCCATTCTTTGACAGAAATTATACAAAGAAAACTATGAAAAGACAAAAGCGAAGAGCATAAATTACTGCGAGACTCCCAAATTTCAGCTGGATACGATTCTGCATAACTTCAGTAGTGATGTAAGCAATCCTGTGGGCTCTCCAGCTCCTAGAGAAATGACCTGTCATGTTGTCAGTCATGTGATGAAGGATGTTTTGTCTTTTAGACTAAATATAAAGATTCTTACCTGAAGAATATTTTGGGACATTATGTGGGCAGCTTCGAGGATCCATATTATACACACTGTATGAAAGTCACAGCTCAAAACAGTGACGTAAGTTCCAAGACAATTCTATTTGATTTTCCAAAGAATCCATTTGGGGAGGGAGAAGTAAATACAATAATTGCATTCTTAAGTCTGATTTCTTCTCCTCATAGAAAAATTACAAGGCAGAATATGAAGAGGACAGAGGCAAATGCTTCTTCCCCCAGACTATAACTCAAGAATATGAGACAATCAAGAAGCTAGATCAGTGCAAAGATGTAAGTTGGGAGAATGAATGTTGTTGGTTAACTGTCTTCCATTGCTACAAGTAGCCAAGATGTACTTAAAATTGTGACACTTCTACAAATAAACACAGGGAACTCTACTGTTTCTTTTGATTTGCCTTCATACATTTCAAAAGTTAATTCTTGTTCATCTTCCAAAATAAGTTATGAGAAAGATGAAGATATGGGGAAAGTTGCTTGTATAGATCTCAAGAAGGGAAAAAACAAAAACCAAAAAAACCAACCAAAACCCACCTGTCATGGAAATGGCACTCAAATGTATTGCTCTAAGTTTGTTTCTTTGTTCGGGCTGGGGAAGGTTCTGCTTATTTGTTTTCAGGCCAGTTTGGATATGACAGAGATACTTATTGCTAAGCCAAATTCCCTTTCTCCTTTTCCAGCATACGTACAAAGTTCACCCAGACAAGACAAAATTCACTCAAGTGACTGACTCCCCTGTCCAGCTGCAAGCCCAGGTCAATTCCAAACAACTGAGTGATGTAAGTTCTGCCAAATGTCTGGGATAGTCAGTTAGGTGAGAGAGCATTTCATAACTCTACACCTAAAATCCAGTGACTGGTTATATTTACAAAAAGGATATGTGTGTTTTGGCAAGTTTAACATGTACATATTCACCTAAAGTAATTTTATATTTGGTTTCCTTACATCTCATTGGGAGGATAACACCTACAACAAAATAATTTTATAAAGGAAAGTAATGCAGTTAAATGCATTGAAATGAACTCTTGAGTATAGAAAAACGGAATGAAAATTTTTGTTCAACCAATTATGAGAAATTATTTATAATTAATTTAAAATATTAAAAGTATTTAATTATTTAAATAAATTTATTTTAGTTCTAAATGAAATACACAAATTATGTGTACCAGTCCCTTTTAAAATTTGGGACTCTTTTGAGGTTGAGTGCATGGCACCTAGCCTGGCACAGCGCAGGTATTTAAAACAGGGATGTTTTTGCTGTCAACGAAGTTTTTCAGTGAGTAGTCTTTGAGACTATTTTTGGGGGGCATTTATTGTTTTATTATGTGGTGTTTTAAATATTAACTTCCTAACTTGTACTGAACTAAAAAATATGTAATTACAGTAGACTTACAACCAGAAAGACCAGACTTTAATTAGAATATGGATGAAGTGAAGCATGTTAGGAAAGGTTCGCCACTAAATGAATATTGACAACACAAAGCAAGGAAGAGCTGAGCTATGAAAATCTACAGAGTCAGCTGTTATGTACATAGAGAGCAAAGAATATGAGCCAACCTCTTCATGTCATACGGTCCTGCCATGATAACAGGCCTGACAACGGCTGTCAAAACCCAATCTATGGATGTAAAGAGTGTAGAATAATGGATAAAAGCTCTGGATCCCTCTTTTCAGCTATGTCACAAAATGTATCACACATTTTTGTGTGTGTTTTGAGCCAATACTTCTGAACTGATTGGTACTGTCTCCCTCTCTTTCTTCTCAGCTAAATTACAAAGCGAAACATGAAAATGAAAAATTCAAGTGCCACATGCCTCCAGATACTCCAGCTCTCATTCAGCATAAAGTCAATGCCTATAACCTGAGTGATGTAAGTGCTTTATGCTCTATTACATGTGATATGCTGAAAATTTCTTACATGTTTTAATGAGATAATTCAATAATTATGTAAATGTTAATATTTAAAGATAATATTGCAATGTTAAAAATTATGTTATGTTCCTATGTTCTAGCCAATATAACTATTTAATAGATAGATGTCTATATCAGTCTTGTAAGTAGCTTTATACAATTAAACTATTTTAATAAGTTTTAACCACTTTATAATGCCACTATCTTCAAGTAATTGCAAACCTTAATACTAGACCTTTAAGCTAAGTATTCCTTTATACCATACTCCAATTAATTTTTTCAGAATCTTATTTCTTTAACTATATGTTCATTTAATTTCTTGTCTAGAATTGCAATTTCTTTTATTTCATTGAAATTATACTTATTAGTAAATGTAAAGGAACTTGTACTTTTAGAGACACACGGTACTTATTCAGAAGATATAAGACTAGATATCCATTGTTATCTTCCATTTCCTGAGCTTAATTTTACAAGGAAGTCAAATTACTCTTGGGGAATCTCTATTTCTTTAACAATTCTATAAATGAGTACTACAATTATCAAGCATCAAAGATAACTAATGATTCATGAAATAACCTTTGTGAAAAACTTAGAGATCAAATGAAAGTAATGCCTTTATTTCCATAAAAATAAATTAACTGTAGAATATTTGTGTCACTTTATAGAATATTCAGTATTAGAATCAGGTATTTGCATGATCATTAGAATTAAGTTAATTCGATGAGAGATTCAAATTGAGAATAGAGAAACCTGATCTTAGAAAATTAGAAGTTCTAGTTTGAGGTGATTTGTATAAAGTGATTTTTGTCAAGCAACAAAAGGAATCTATTTATATTCTAAGAAACCTTGGTAACACAAGAGTTGAATACACAGCTGCTAATGGAAAAGTCTGTAGTTCAAACCATCCACTTGCTCATTGAGAGAAAGATAGGGCAGTCGATTCCTTAAATATTACAGTCTTAGAAACCCTATTTGGCAGTTCTACTTTTCCCTCTAAGGTAATTAAGACTGACTAAGTTTAAGGGTTTTGGTTTTGGGTGTGATTTGTTTTTTGTGTTTTTTTTTGAGAAACGTTTTTGCCTGCTTTATTAGCCACTGTTTGCTCCTAGTACAATATCTGGCACACAACCAAACTCTATTAAGCACAAGAAGAGTGAATATGTGAACTGAAAGTTCAAATTAGAATGACATCTTTCTGCCCTCCCAGAGACCTGCCTGTACAGAGCAATCTGATGTCGGTTTTCACATAAGAATGCTAGGCACACACAATGTTTTGTGTGTCTAGTAAGCCTGAGATGTTCAAAGTATGTTGTACCAGCTGCAGAAGTCAACACATGCGAGCAACCAGTCTTTGGTGCTGAGCTGGACAGACTTCCTTGGCTGAATGAAATTTAAGTTTTTAAGACTTTCTTAATAGTATTACTGTTTCTACCAGTGAGCTGACACTAAATCCCAGCAATTCTAAGTCTACAGAGCAGAATTACACTTGAGAGGTTCTCAAGTCTGTGACGTTTTGGAAGCAGGTCATCAGGTATACTTCTGAAGGGGCCTTTAGCTAAGTTTGAACCACCAGCCTTTCCGTTAGTAGTCCAGCACATAACCATTTGCACTATCCAGGGATTCCTATTTTGTATTAAGAAAAAAGTATTTAATTGCCCTTTAGTTCTTAAAATGTGGTGATATGCATATCACTTTGCCAACTATTTCTCTATGATTTTTCCCTACTCAGAATGTTTATAAGCATGACTGGGAGAAGAGCAAAGCTAAGAAGTTTGACATTAAAGTGGACGCCATTCCCCTGCTGGCAGCCAAAGCCAATAGCAGGAACGCTAGCGATGTGAGTATGTCCAGTGTCCAGGGCTGGGGCCTCAGCAGTGCCTCCGAGGAGTGAGGTCTCGCTCACATGTTCAATGTCATTGCAGGTGATGTATAAGAAAGACTATGAGAAAAGCAAAGGGAAAATGATTGGGGCCCTCAGCATTAATGATGACCCCAAGATGCTTCACTCTCTGAAGACGGCCAAAAACCAGAGTGATGTGAGTGCCTTGCCGTCTCCCTCATCCTCAGATATGGCTGCACATGCTGCTAAATACAACCTTGAAAGAATGCTAACTCTTCTGAGATTTCAGATTTAGCCTGATAAAGGAAGCATGAAAGCCTGGGTGGGCGACGAAGATTGGCTTCTTTATTTCTTATTTATGTCAACTGCATGTTGAGACTCCAGAAAAACCTTCCTTCATCACCTGAATGTCCTTCATTTACTAGAAGAGAAAATGCATCGTCACTATAATTTTTGTTCTTTTATTCCCAGAAGTGGGCTTAGTACCTCGCTATTACAAATGCCCATATGTAAAAATGTATGTGTTTATTCCTGGCACCGAAATAAGGTAGCTTACAGGAACACATATATAGCAAAGATAAAAACCAGGAAATTAGAAAACTAGGCTAAGGAAAAAGGAAGTTGGAAATGCTAGGTGAAGCATGGCCTCAATACCAAAATATTTCTTTTTGAAATTTTATGTAAAAATTGACTTAAAAATTACTTAAAATAAAGGCCTTAAGATAGTTACTAAAGAGAAAATAAATCTTTAAAAAAATTGCTTTTGTGATTAGTAGCCAGATAAATATGTTGCCTATTAATCCATGTGAGAAAAAGGTGGGCAGTCTCCTCCTGTGCTATTTAACTGCCTCTGAAAACCTGCTGGAGGGTCAGTTATGGGTCTGTTCCGACTCAACAGCACACAACAATAACAACTTTACTCCATACTATTTACAAAGAATTTTGTCTCTATAAAGTTTAGTTTTGGATTTTTACATGGGGTGATGAAAAGAAATTCTGAAAAATATGTAGTAGATGCAATAAAACAGAGAAAGTAATCTACTCAGATGTTGTTTCTACAAAATAAAAAAGATAGGATTAGTGACAAACATCAACCTCCATGATGAGATAAGAAAAGTATTTTAATCAAATACTATACTGAATACTTTTCTGGTAAAGTGCCTAACTTCTGTAAGTCTACCTTAGGACTTGTCCTTGAATGTAGAGTACCTGTTAGCATATTTGTTTTCCTTCAAAAATATTTGAAAGGAAATAATGACTGAAAGAGAAACATTTTTAGATTACATCATAGCTGTTTTATACATGTTTGGAAAATTATTTATGTAACTTACTAAACTTGTCCTGCATTCTAGAATACTTCACTGTATAAAATATGAGCTCTAACACTGGAATCTCTGGTGGTTTAGTGGTAAAGAATTGCACTACTGATGCAAAGGCGCATGGTTTGAATCCACTAGCCACCCTGCAGGAGAAAGACAATAAACTCCCGTGTGATTTACTGCCTCCGAAAACCTCCTAGAGAGGGTCAGCTATGTGTCAGTTCCAACTTATGGTACATAATAACAGCATAGTAATTCAGTGCTTCTGCTGTATGGAAAATAAATGCTGAGAAAGACAAAATATTTCCTTATGGCATGAATTTTTTTTTCTATGAGATGTAGTTTTCTATAACATACTGTCTTTTCCTAACTTTCTTTTCCTTTTGACAGAGATTATACAGAGAGAACTATGAGAAAACAAAGGCTAAGAGCATGAATTATTGTGAGACTCCCAAATACCAACTTGACACTCTACTGAAGAACTTTGGAGAGGTTCGAATAACCATAATTTTACTCTTAGTGTTTGAGGGTTTTCCTATTGTTCAGCAAATAATTGTCAATTTGGGTTATATGTGTTTTCTTTTTCAGAATAAATACAAAGATTCATATGTAAAGAATATCTTGGGACATTATGTGGGTAGCTTTGAGGACCCATATCAAACACACTGCATGAAAGTTTCCGCTCAAAACAGTGATGTAAGTTTGAAGACAATTGTTTATTTGCCACTGAGATGTTGGTGTGGAGAAATGACAATCAAGGTCTATTTTGTTCTTTCTTGTTGCAGAAGAACTACAAAGCAGAATACGAAGAAGATAGAGGGAAATGCTATTTCCCTCAGACAATAACGCAAGAATATGAAGCAATCAAGAAACTAGACCAGTGCAAGGATGTAAGTCAGTTGCCCTGAATTCTTGAACTTGGGTTTGGTATTCTTGTGACATCTAGTGGCAAAGTTAGTTAGAGTGAAAATGTTAGCATTTAATGGCTAATAGAAGTTATTAAATTAAACTTTTACTTGATGTTGGGGAAAACGATTATTACACAGCAGGGTATTTGTTATAAAATAATGTCATCTTTAAAAAAAATCTTTACTTTCAAAGCTTGCATAATTATGGACAGAGGACAAAGAGAGGAGTAGAAATTTGTGAGAGATATTCATTTATTCAACAAATTCACACTGAGGGGCAAACTGTACCAGACACTGTTCTTGGTGCTGGAAAAGAGCAGGGGACCAAGCAAAGCAAGTGTGTTTCTTGTGAACTATGTGTTCTGGAGAGAGACAATGATTATCAAGGTCAAAAAAGAGCCAGGAAGCCAAAAATAAATACCAAGCAATAACAAAGTAATATGCAATGAATATGCGGAATGAAAATAACATGAAGTGAGTGAGAGAGTGAGTGAGTAAATGAGCATTTTACAGTGGGTGGCCAAGGGGGGGTTGAAGGTCAAGAATGGTCCAGCCAGGCCCAGATCAAGGAAAAGAAGACGAGATAGCCTAAGGAGGAAACAAGCTTATGTTCAAGGAAGTCAAAGCACCAAAATGACTGGAGCATATTGAGGAGAGGGACAGGATTAGGAGGTAAGATTTGGAGATGAAAGGGTCGGGCATTGGAACATGCAGGCTTATAAACCAAGGCTCAGCCTGGATAAAATGCCAAATATATTAAAGACACATGTTAGGGCTTTAGCAGAGATATTAATGACTGAATGGTAGCAGGGAAACAAATTAAGAGAGAGAGAGAGAGAGAAGTGAAAGCATATGAAGCCAGAGTTCATGGACAAAAGAAATGTTTGCTTGACTAGAAAACTTTTAAAATTTTTTTTATACCGGTTTACATACAAAGTTCATATACATTGTTTTTCACACTGGATCTTTTCCCTTTCCTTTATGCATCCCTCCATCCCTCCATCAAATTGTGTGACCCTATGATTAAGCCCCCCTCCCTGCATTAGATCCTCTTAGTCATTCTATAATAATGGTCGTATACAGTATTTGTCCTTATGAGACTGAGTTAGATCACTTAGCATAATGCTCTCCAGTCTCTCCCATGTTTGGTAGTAATTTACAAAATCATTGCTCTTGTGTGCTGCATAGTATTTGATTGTGTGAAAGTACCATAATTTCTCAATGTATGTTAGTATGTATGTTGGGAACACGAAAATTAAGACGCAGAAAGAAATTTCATTAAAGGCTACTTTTTTTTTCAGCATACCTACAAAGTCCACCCAGATAAGACCAAATTCACCGCAGTCACTGACTCTCCAGTACAGTTACAAGCCCAGCTCAATACAAAACAGCTTAGTGATGTAAGTGCCTTAATGTATCCTGGTTTTATCTGACTTTATACTAATTTATCTGATTATACAGAATGCTCTGCTTATTTAAAACAAGTCACTAAAAGGCTTAATTCTTTGGAGGCAGACCTACTATCCCAATAATGTTATTTTTCAAGATTTGTTCAATAGAATGTAAATAAAGGTATCAGAATTGTAGCCTAAGGAAAAATGGTGTTAGACAATAACAAATATCTAATATTTATGTTTGGAAGCAGGAATGGCATCCACTTCCTAAACAACATACCTCCAGAAACTCTATGAACTTTGATAAACATTTATAGTTATAGAAAGGCTTCAGGCCATTTGTTCGTAGGGTTGCTAAGAGTCATACTCGACTCGAAAGCACTCAACAACAACAACAATAAAATTTATGTAAAAAGTTGCAGATCTTTATTAAGGATATTTTACTATTAGAATCTGTCACATAGCAAAAATAATGCAGACTTACGAGTGAACTACAACAGTCAATCTATACCCCTGCTACATCTTGCTCCTTCCTCACCATCCTTGATCTATTTTATTAAATGCAATCCAAAGTCTGACTATGCAACAGCCAGTAAAATAGGGGTGAGATCTGTGCTCTGTGATATTTTAACTGAAAATTTGAAGAGTTTTTATTAAAAATGGATACTGATGGCTTATCTGTGCTACTGCAAGTAGCCAACTCATGGTAGGCCCATATTTTCAAGGCTGTGATATTTTGTCTTCTATGATATCTCTGGGTGGGTTTGAACTATTAACTTTTTTAATAGTAGGGGGAGCTTTGATGGTGTACTCCATCAATTGCTGTGCTGTTAATCCAAAGGATATGATCAAGGGCTTCTGTGGAGAAACTTGGGCTATCTCCTTCTATGCAATTTGTAGCCCTGGAAGCCCAGTAAAGAGTCAACAATGAGTTGGTTACATATGCAGTGATAGTGCAGCATGCAACCTTTTATAGCACCCAGATAATGCCAGAGCTATCTATATGGTTCTGCACAAATTCAAAGCAGTTTGTCTTTTTTTTTCTTCAGCTGAATTACAAAGCAAAGCATGAAAGTGAGAAGTTCAAGTGCAATGTTCCTGCAGATGCCCCACAGTTTATCCAACATAGAGTCAATGCTTATAACCTGAGCGATGTAAGTATCAATGTGACAAAAACTTAAGTCCATGTGTGTGTGACCAAATGAAATATTAAAGGTGTTCAAAAGATTGGATAAGTAGTTGTGAAAAGAAATAACCAGTGAGAGTGTTGTTTATGGAGCTTTTGAAGACCACATGACTAGCTCTTACTAGTCTCTACTGATCAAATACATTCTCTCAATTCTTTTTCTCCTAATTCCAAGAATTTGACATATTTCCTGTGTAAACATCATCCTCTACTTTCTCCAGGTAGTAGTTTTCTTGCATTATCCTTTATACTACAGAAAAACAGAGTATTTATAAAGTTTAGAAATCATTAGAGAAGCATATATTATATTTAGTGTTAGATGTTAAGATGGGTGATAGATAAACCAAAAGTTATAATGCTATTTGATAAATATTTATAGATGAATTAATTTCTTCTATATAAAATATTATCTGACTTCCTTAATTATTATTTTAGCCAATTTGTGTGAGATTTTTGTTCTTACAATTTCTTTGCTAAAATCTTCCCTTTTAGAACGTTTATAAGCATGACTGGGAGAAGAGCAAAGCTAAGAAGTTTGACATTAAAGTGGACGCCATTCCCCTGCTGGCAGCCAAAGCCAACAGCAGGAACGCTAGCGATGTGAGTATGTCCAGTGTCCAGGGCTGGGGCCTCAGCAGTGCTTCCAAGGAGTGAGGTCTCGCTCACATGTTCAATGTCATTGCAGGTGATGTATAAGAAAGACTATGAGAAAAGCAAAGGGAAAATGATTGGGGCCCTCAGCATTAATGATGACCCCAAGATGCTTCACTCTCTGAAGACGGCCAAAAACCAGAGTGATGTGAGTGTCTTTGCAACAACTGTATGGTTTTCAAAGCAGCTTCTGGTTAACATGCCTACGATGTAAAAGGACTCTAACCAAGGGCCTTCTCAATGCTGTGCAGCTGCTGGGGGATCTTTAGAAGTAGAATGAGGCCCCATTCCTCTGCACTCCTCACAGTGCAGGAGAGAAATGACTGGCTTGTGCTTGATGTCCATTTCACTGAGAAAATTATGTGCATTCACATTTAGTGGGATACAGATTTTAGTTCTTAAAACTTTTTTGAAAATGCCATTAGGTTTTAAAATATTTCTAGTTGGAAAACAGGGAGCTCCGGTGGCCTAGTGGTAAGAAGCTGTGTTACAGCTGATGATTTGAGATCTTTCACTAGTAAGAAACTAGGGAATCACAGTTTTGGTATAAGTGTCTTTACTTTGTAAAAAACTCAGTTACTAACTGACTCTGGCGAGCTCTGGTGGTCTATCAGTAAGAAACTGCACTGCAATCCCAAATGCACACGGTTCAAATCTACCAGCTGCTCCACTGAAGGACTGCCAGTTTTGTTCTGTGCAGTTGACTGCCTCTGAAATCTAGCTGGAGGGTCAGCTATGGGTTGCTTCCCACTCAACAGAATACAACAATACTGGCTTAGATTCAGGAAAAATAGCTCATTAATAATAGATACCTTTGAAAGTCTGACAAAAGATCTGGATCTGTCCAGGATTTTCATGGCTTTTCCCCTGAAATTCCAGGGACCTAATGGATTCCCAATCCATGGATTTGTCTATAGTCTTAAAGTTTAAATTCTTACTATAAAGTGGTAAATATTTGTGATTGGGATTTACAGTATATATTGAGTTTAGAAAATGTTTAGATAATTCCTTAGGAATGTAACTGATGCATAGTTTGCAAATTGTCATTTTTCACAATTCATTTACTTCCATTTTAACCATATGCTCATGTAGTGACTTTATTTACCTCAGTTTGTACTTCAGTAGCATATTCCCTGGGGAGTTGCACTGCTCACCCAGAGGCCATGCCTCTGGTGGTTCAAATTCACCGGCAGCTGCACAGGAGAAAGATAGGCAGTCTCCTCCAGTGTAATTTACAGCCTCTGAAGACCTCCTAGTCGGTCAACTATGAGTTGGTTCTGATTTAACAGCACTAAGTATAGCTTTAAAAATCTTTTATTTGGTTCTTTATGAACATTTCACATGTTCTGAAATGTATAAGCTCATATAAACATGAATAAAGGCAGACTAATTTATTAAAAAATACTTGACTATACCAGCTGCTTTGTGATAGTATTTATAATAATAAAGAGTATTTATGTTCTTGCATGTCATCAGAAAGTCTCTGTGTTTTATTTTCTTAAACCAGGCTCTAAATTTTACAATGAAAATATTGTAGGATTCTTTTTGTGATATATTTCTATTCTATAGAAAATACTTTATTCAGAGAAAGTACCTGCCCTTAAAATGTGATGGAAGAAGGTTAAAAGGTTTAAACATTTGGGAAAGTAATCACTAGAGATTTATAATGAATGTATCTATACATAAAGGCAACAGGTCAGAAATGGTCTGTGAAGGTAACCAGTGAATAGTGAAGAAGACCAGACTGTGACCTAATTAGCATCCTGTGTAACTAGACCAGAAACTCAGCCAATTGCCTCCCCTGGTCTCAGTAAAGACATTTGGCTTATGAGAACCCTGTATATAAGGGCCTAGGTTACTTTTATGTTTCCATTTCACAAACTTTTTCTCCTCTGAGGTTTTGTAACTGCTGGTATCTGAATTGACTTTTAAATTGTTGCCAAAATTAAGCTTGGTATGAAAAATAGCATAGGGATTCCTGCTGCGGCTGATCTGCTATCAACAGCATTAACAGAACTATGCTGGAAAACCAGTAACAATTTGGAAATGAAAGCCAAAAATTTAAGACCACACCTTATTTATTAAATAATGATTTTATAACTTCAGGAGTGATAAATGATTGTCAGATAATTTTCATTGATTTCAAAAATATGCCAATGATTTCATTACATGACTAGGAATAACAGCTGGTAGTTGTCCTTGAAAATTCTTGGGTTTTGTGGTTTTTTGTTTTTTTTTAAATACCTCGCTAAAGCAGAAACTAGGATCTATTCTTGGCATTTTGAGAGCTTACTTTTGGTAGAAAAGATACTTGCAAAGATCTGTTTATGTATGTTTTTGGGGGTTTCTGAAATATGTGATATATGAATGAATTTTCAGACCAAACAACTAATCATATCTTTTGTTCAGTTCATATGATTAAGAGAGGTCTTTGTACTCTAGAAATTCAGTAAGTCCGTGTGGTAATAAATAGTGATTTCCTCTCCGCAGCGTGAATACCGTAAAGATTATGAAAAGTCCAAAACTGTCTACACAGCTCCTCTTGATATGGTCCAAGTCACTCAAGCAAAGAAATCTCAGGCAATTGCCAGTGACGTGGATTATAAGCATCTCATCCACAATTACAGCTACCCACCAGATAGCATCAACGTGGATCTAGCCAAAAAGGCTTATGCACTGCAGAGCGACGTGAGTAATCAGATTTCCTCAATTCTCTACTAAAATGAGATCTAAATCAAGGGACTTTTTCTTTTTTACATTTCTCAAAATTATTTTCATGTCCATTGACTTTGTTTCTCTATGGAGAAAACATTTAATGAGAAAATTTTCCCTTGTGGTTCCGTTTGAGCATGCACCCCTTCAGCGTCAAAGAGACCAGGTCCCCTGTGGTTTCCGTCCTAGTTTGTCTTTGGGGCAAGTATCAACTTCATTAAGTCTCTGGTTTTTCTCCTGTAAAATTGGAATCGGCAGAGGGATTGCTTTGAGGATTAAATGCATGTGAAGTACTAGGTGTGGTACCTGGCTGTAGTTGAGTCTTAATTAATGTTCATTATTACCATCACCAGGAACCCTAGTGGAGCAGTGGTTAGCACTTGGATACTAACCAATAGGTCAGCTGTTTGAACCCACCAGCCATTGTGCAGGGCAAAGATGAGAAAACCTGCTTCCAAATATTTACATCCTTGCAATGGGACAGTCCTGCTCTGTCCTAAAAAGTCACTAAGAGTTGGAAGCTATTTATTGCAGTGGACTTGGCTTTGGTTTTGGTGTTACCATCACCGTTTTCCAAATTATCACGTTCATCAGTATCATAACTTTACATAAGTTATTATATTTTCTGAAAATAAAATGCTTTTATCTTTTGATGTTCAATTATCTTCTTCTTTTACAGACTTATTGTCTGAGTTACAAATATTAATACTTTGCCCTAACAATTTCATTACATAAATTGTAATACTCTTAATTATTTGTTTAATTTCACTTTATTTCTTCCTAAATAGATTGTGAGTTCAAGTCCATGGGCTGGAACGGAATGTTTTCTTGGTTTGTTGTTAACTCCATTCCATCCACAATTATCCTCTGAAAGTCCCATTTTGGAGAAGAGCAATCTAGATTATAATTACAGTCGACGTTGCTCATTTTTTTAGTAGCATCAAATAAATGTCCCCAAACTAGATCTAACTCTAGCCAATAAATTCTCTCCAATAAGTAAATTCATTAATGCTACCACTTTCAAGTACTTCTTAGGAAGGCACTAGCCAATGTAGGGACACCCTTGAGCTGGTGACTACTTGTGAAGGTCATTGCATGCAAATATTTGTGGCAACAATAGTATCAACTTTTAACAACTCGGAAAATGATCAAAGTCACCTACCTTCAGTGTAGCCTTCAGTCCTACATTTATCACAGAAACATAGTATTTAAGTTTCCAGTGGGGAAAAAATGTCACATTTGATTACCTACATGCAACAATTTCATTTACTCTTTTAAATACAGTTTTGAATTTAGTGTTTTTCCAATTGGAATTAGAATCTCATGTACTACCATTCAGTTGGAAACAAGGATGAACTGAGATACATGCCAATTAGAAGAAAAACATGAGCCCAAGAACAATTAAAAAACAAAACCCAAAACCCAGCTTCTACCAAGGAAATGATTATTAATCTTCATGTATAAAATAATTAATAAAACTAGAAATATTGAAAACACTATTTTGGGTAAAATGTGAATGATTTTTCTTAGTGAGGATAACATTAAGCAAAGAAATAGAACTCTTTTCTTGGTGTTTCAGGTTGAATACAAAGCTGACTACAACAGCTGGATGAAGGGTTGTGGCTGGGTTCCATTTGGATCATTAGAAATGGAAAAGGTCAAGAGAGCTTCAGACATTCTTAATGAGGTAAAACCACAGGCTGGGTCTTATTGAGAGAATCAATGTGTTGTGAGAAATGCCTCAATTATGCGTCATCTGCTAGTAATTGCTTATACAGCAAGACCCTTACCACATGCATGAATCATCCAGCTTGATCAACATACCACTTGGTATAACCAATATAATTTATGGTAACCATTTATGATAGAAATATTTTAACAACTTTTGTGAAGTATGCTTTGCATAACATAACATTCACTTGTTTTAAGTGTAAAGCAACATTTAAATGAATGTATACATATAAATTCTAATGAATTCATACTGTGCAGTCATCCCAACTATTTAGATTACAGTAAGAATAATCAACATTGCAATAAAGATGTGTAGTAATTGTCAATTCCACATTGAGACACATTCCCAATGCCTCCTGTGCCTCAGCACTTCAGTAATATTCTCTGTGTTGCCTACCTTAACACTCACCAAGCTAGCTCACCTCTCTCTTATTAATAATTGTCTCCTTGATCTAGTCCTTCAATTCTTCCTCCTCAGAGATCTGCTTTACTCCAGGGAAAACTACTTCCCTGAGAACTTGTGACATTCATGCAAAAACACTCCAAATAGCCTTCAGGCTTTGCTGTTGATCCTCCTGGACATTTTATGATATTTCTGTACTCTGCTCTGTCTAGAGAGCTTTCTTTCATTGTACAAATGAGAAACTAGTGATCCCTTTAGATCTAATTCCCGATACTTGTGTATGGCACCAGACAACCTAAAATAAATTTTTTTTTAAGATTTACTTTTCTATTCTATTAATTTCTAGTAAATCAGCCAAAAAGCTGATATTTTAAGATGGGAAAAAAGCCATCCATGTCTGTTGAAAATAAATTTTAAAATGTTGATGTGTTAATCTTTGGTGATGAAAACAATATAATTATTTTTCCTTTTTCAATTTGCCAAACAGAAAAAATACCGCCAACCTCCAGACACTCTCAAGTTTACCTCGATTGAAGATGCTCCTATTACTGTACAATCTAAAATTAACCAGGCCCAGAGGAGTGATGTAAGTGCCAACTATATGTTAACAAAGCAAATGTCAAATGGTACAAACCCATTTGTATTTCAAATGTCCTGATGTCCAAGATTTATTGTCCAGTCAGAACAGCCACTGTATGTCTGCTCCAGATTTTCATTAACATGACATACCCAACTTATTTCTTTAGAGCGCTGTGTGCAAAAGTGCAATACAACGACTTGTCATTTATTAGCTATCTTGTTATCTGACATCACATTTATGGCAAGAGTGAAAAAAATATAATCTATCAACTACTTTTGCTTATTAATGACACATATCTGGCAGTAGGCAGCACTACGGCCCCTGCATAGCACACTGGAAGAAAGGTCCTAAAGCACAGTGTTTTGCTCCCCACGAGTGAAGGCTGGGACTGCAGTGGGATTGGCAGGGATGAGATGCTGTCTGACAGGTCCTGGGTGCTCACCGCTTCCAGCAGCAGCTGGTGTCATGGAGTTGGGCTCGGGAGGAGTGAGAAGCTGAGTTCTTGTCTCAGCTTCCAATTCTCAGGGGTGTCAGATTTGGGGCTGGCTGCAGCCCGATCCTCTGAGAAAGGATGCTTGAGTGCACAGGGCCAACTGGACCCCACCTCATTTGACTGGCATCTCTGTAGATCCGTGCACATCCTTGAAGCTCACTCCTGCATGGGCGCAAGTGCGGAGATGAGGTCAGTGGTGAGGGGCCACTGAAAGCTGCAGTTTAAATTCATAGCAGAGGCGCAGCTTGGCCATCATGGCCTCAGAGAAGGCTCTGGGTTGTTCATTATTATGGGGCCATGGGAGCAGAAGGGCAGGGCTGCCCAGAGAGGTCTGGAGATGCTCAAGTGAGGAGCTGGTGAGGGGCCCCAGTGGACACTGAGCACCACTGGTTCAGCCTCCCACCCATAACAGGCCCTCCTACTCAAAACAGAGAATTCCATCCCTGACAAAGTCATTGAGGGCAATTGAAGGTTGAGAACATGTATTTCCCATCCCAGAAATACAGTAATAGCGGGAAAGGGAGAGGACCCCAGGAATGGCAAGGGAGTGGAATTACTTGAGCCACTTTGGTCCTGGAAGACTGGTAAACCCTTTTCTGTGGATGATGTTGGGATAAGCTTTCCTGAGGTGACATGTGGGAAGGGGAGCTGGCATTAGCAGGTGACCTCAGCAAAGGCCCAGTAGGACCTGCACAGAACAAGTGACAGAGTGAGATGTGGTCATGCTCCATTGTTGTGTAATACCAATTTTCATCAGCCTCCTCTTTATAGCTCAATCATGTTAATAAATGAGAACAGAGATGACCACATCAGGTCACAAAAGGGATGAGAACCACGTTGTTCCATAACTACCAAATTATGTTACTACCAAACTGCCAAACCTCTGAGGATCATGGTCCACCTAAGCTGACATGTGACCTGAACTATCACAGACAAGATTACTTTTAATTCAAACATCAGCATTTGTTACTGTTTCTGTCACTAATGTGCAAAAAACCCAAAACCAAAAAAACTCACAATGAAACAAAACCAGGGAGCTCTGGTGGCCTAGTGATAAGGAACTGCACTGCAATCCCAAAGGCATGAGTTTCAAATCTGCCACCTGCTCTGCAGGAGAAAGATGGGCAATCTCCTCCTATGTGATTTATTGCTTCTGAAAACCAACCGGAAGGTCAGCTAGAGTCCATTCTGACTCTACAGTATACAGTAACAACAATGTACAAAATAGTTGGAGAGTAGACTTTTTTACTGTTACTGTAGATAGAAAATATTGGCTAATAAGATAGTTGATAATCTCGGAGAAAGTACATTGTGCTGATTATCCTGTCAGATATTTGATATTACTTTCCAAGGAAAAGGTAAGCAGTCTTTCCTTAACAATCACAAACAAATACAAGCCTATTTCTGAAAGAAGCTAGAAAGAATGGATGTGAGTACTGCATAACAAGTTATTTTAAAATAATGAGTTATTTTAAATGAGTGTTAAGACAAAATCACATGTAGTCAAAACTCTCCTTAAGGTCCTTTAATCACCCACAGAAGTCAGTGGCTGGAGCTCCCCACCTCTCCTCCTTTCCCCTGTCAGGGAAGTACCTGAAGATTAGCATTTCATCAGGTCGCCCTGGGGCCACTTCCACAAGGGGACCCTACCTAAGTGCAGAGGTTCCTCCTGCATACTGACGGGTCCTTGGTGAGGCTAAACCAGAACCATGACAGGACCCTGTGGACATTACACGTGAGCCTTTGAGTGATTACAGATACTTAAGTGTTTATGATATTTACAGTTGATTTGGGAGGCCTCACAGAAGGCATCTTTAATTAAAAACAAAAAATTCCTCTGTTTAAGATTAACCACCCTGCAATTTCTTTTTTGCCTTGAATTGTGAGTAATTTTTGTTGCTTTGTTTATTTGTTTGCTTACTGTGTGTATACTTTTTTTTCCTTCCAGATTGTTTACAAAGCCAAAGGAGAAGAAAGCCTTCACAAGTATAGTCTGCCAGCCGACTTGCCCCAGTTCATTCAGGCTAAAGTGAATGCCTACAACATCAGTGAGGTGCGTAGAGAGTGTGTGAGTGTGTGTGTGTGTGTGTGTGTGTGTGTGTGTGTGTGTGTGTGTGTGTGTTGGTGTCTGCGCATGTGAATACACTCAGCTTTTCCTGAGGCCACTAAGCCAAGTTCAAATGGTATTTCTCTATTTCTCTCTTAGAATATGTACAAAGCCGACTTGAAAGACCTGAGCAAGAAGGGGTATGACCTGAGGACCGACGCGATTCCCATCAAAGCGGCCAAGGCTGCCAGGCATGCAGCGAGCGACGTAAGTGCAGCTGGGAGGCCCACCTGAGTACCTGAGAAATGGTCATGGTGTGCAATTATGACCTCGCAGGTTACAAAAAAATCCACCATGTCTGCATCCACTGAAGGAAATCTGAGCAAAAATTTTTCAGAGAGGAAATTGCCCTGTGTGAATTTTCTGTTTGGGGCACAAAGTCTTACAAAATTGCTTATTGCTAAATTCCAATAAGGTAACCCTATATTGATATTTTCATCTCAATTTATGCACCAAATCATGCTATTTCTCTGTAGAAATGAAGACATTTCCTTGCACTCTGGTGATATAAAGCATTTTGTATTAGGCTGCTAATCCTAAGGTCAGTGGTTCAAATCTACCAGTGGCTGTACAGGAGGAAGATGCGCAAGCTCCTTCCATAAGGATTTACAGCCTGGGACACCCAGCAGAGGGAACCTATGAGTCTACTCAGACTGAAAAAACAGTGGATTTAGAATAACCGCTAGGGGTAAAAGTTTGATCTTAAAATTTTCCCGATTTATATGACTTCTCTCTTTCTGTTACTTCTTTTTCTTTATCCCTTCTAAAAAGAATCTCAGCCATGAGATTCCATTAAAGGTAGACATTTCGGGTTTGGTTTGTTTTCTTTTTTTCTCTCAATCCAGATGTGAATTGAAGGTACTTTGTTCTTTGAGATTTAAATAGAATCCACTCAAACCCCCTCTTGCTGTAAGACAACTTTCCCCATTAATTTCTGCAAACAAGTTCTTTTTTATAGTGCACTTTGGCTCCTGATTTGCACGAGCGAGTCTCTTTAGCTCCTCCTCTCTGGATATACTTCTTATTTTCTGTTCTGCATAATCTTGATAGAGAACATAGCTCCTTCCTTTTGATTTCTCCCTAAATCCCAAATAGAACCTGCTTGTTTGAAATTATAAAGAGGTTTAGATTGCTTCGTATGCTGAGGCTCTTAATCTTGATGTGCTGCCACCTAGTGTCTCTTCTCAGTGGTTCCTCCTTTCTCTGTGACTGCCACGCTAGGTTGCCTATCTCTTAGCCTCGTGCTCTCGTTTGTGTCTTTCCCCCACCATCTTTCTATTACATGCACACTCATTCCCTCACATTTGTTTCTCAGTTTTCTAGATCTTGCTAGTCCTCCCTAAAGGAAAGCTCAATTCTCCTCTATTATACAGCATGAACTAGCTTTTTAGACACTACTGGCTCTGGATCTCTAATTGAATGTTCAAAGACTAACGGAAATTCTCCACTAATGAAGAAGTCATCTACTTGAGGGTCTGTATCTTTCATTTGCTAATGTTAGGTGCCATCGAGTTGACCATGACTCATTGCAACCCTATGCACAACAGATCTAAACCTTGCCTTGTTCTATGCCATTATTATGATTTCTGCCATGTTTAAGGCCATTATAGTTGCTGTGTCAATCTATCCTATTGAAGCTGTTCCTCTCTTGTGCTGATCTTTTCACTCCTTTCCCAGCATGATATCTTTTTCCAAGGGCTGGCCTTTCTTGACAACCTGCCCAAAGTATGTGAAACAAAATTTTACCATCCTTGCCTTTAAGGAACAACTTGGTTCCACTTCCTCTAAGACAGATTTGTGTGCTCTTCTGGAAGTCCATGGTATATTCAATACCATTTGCCAACACCACAGTTTAAAAGCATCAACTATTCTTTAGTGTTCCTTATTCAATGCCCCAGATTTAGAAGCATAGGAAGAAATTGAAAAGACCATGCCTTGGGCAACTACACCCTAGTCTTCAAACTGACATCTTGCTGTGTAGCACTTTAAAAAGGTCCTTGACAGCAAATTTGTCTAATGAAACACATCTTCTGATTTCTTGACCTCTGCAACGATGAATATTGATTATGGATAAAATAACATTAAATCCCTAACAACTTCCAGTCTTTCCATGTGTATCATGATGTTGGCCTAGTGATAGGATTTTTGTTTTCTTGATTTTTGAGATATAATCCATATTAAAAGTGATAATCTTTGGTAGTCAGTAATATAATTAGTCAATATTTTTTAAATAGCCATCTTTTCATCCCTCTCTGTAGGTGTCTAATTGAAAGACAACAATATAGATATTTATATGGTTGCTGATATAAATTATGGTAACACTCTCTCCTCAGTATCTCTCAGGTGGAAGAGGAGAAACAGCTCCAGCCAAGTTCAATGAGTTTTAAATAACATTTTAAAATATGTGCAATTGAATAACTGATTGTTCAGTTATTAAATAGAATTATTTTTATTTTGTTATTTAAATCATGTTCTGGTGGCTTACTGGCAAAAAGCTGTGCTGCAATCCCAAAAGGCACGCAGTTTGAGGCCACCAGCTGCTTCACGGGAGAAGGATGGGCAGTCTCCTCCCATGTGATTTAATTGCCTCTGAAAACCCATCGGAGGATCAGCTATAGGTTGGTTCCAACTCTACAGTACTCAACAACACAACAACAACTTCAAATCATGGCTTTTCTGTCTAGTAAAATCTTCATAATTACATTTAAAAATATGCCCACCTTTGTTTGTAATAGGTTCAATACAAGAAGGATTATGAAAAGGCGAAAGGGAAAATGGTTGGTTTCCAAAGTCTGGAAGATGATCCCAAACTGGTTCATTATGTGAAAGTGGCCAAGCTACAATCTGATCGAGAGTATAAAAAAGACTATGAGAAGACCAAGACCAAATACAACACACCCCATGACATGTTCAACGTGGTGGCAGCCAAGAAAGCTCAGGATATCGTCAGCAATGTCAACTACAAGCACCCTCTTCATCATTACACCTATCTGCCTGATGCCATGGACCTGGAGTTGTCTAAAAACATGATGCACATTCAGAGTAATGTAAGTCACAAGAAAGCCCCCTCTCAATTGTGAACTTGCAGCGAGAGAAAACCCTATAGGTTCTCATTCGTCTCTCCCCTTTCGCTGCAGAATGCCTACAAGGAAGATTATAACTCCTGGATGAAAGGCATTGGCTGGATCCCTATTGGCAGTCTTGATGTAGAGAAAGTTAAAAAGGCTGGAGATGCCCTGAATGAAAAGAAATACAGGCAGCATCCGGACACCCTCAAATTCACCAGCATTGTCGACTCTCCTGTTATGGTCCAAGCCAAACAGAACACACAGCAAGTTAGCGATGTGAGTATAGCAAAATAAAGAGAGCTGGAGAATGTGGAGGGAGGGCTGGTTTGTTTTCAAGGAAATATCAGCTCAGTGTTTTTATTCTTCTGAGCCAATAACTTTTCATTTTAAAATTATTTTTACTTATATAATTTTAAAATAAATTATTATTACTTTCAATTTGAACACTAATTATTTCCCCCTCTTATTTTGCTTTTTAACCAACTTTTCCAAACACACTTGAATTATTTTGCTTTGGAATAAAATTGCCATGTTGCAAAAAACTCTATTCCAGTACTATTATCACTATTATTACAACAGCTAACCACACACACACACACACACACACACACCCTCAAGTGTAGATTCCAACCTTTTTCATTGTGACCAGTTCAACATATCCAACCAAATATTAAGTTGTTAGCATTTGCTTCTTAATTTAAAATATTAATATAAGGACATAACAATTCTGTTTATCGTACATATGAACTGTTAAGATTTCAAGTATCCTCGATTTATTTATAAGATTCTTCATATTATTAGAAAAAAGCATTATGTGATTATACTGATACAATTATAGTTGTAAGGTTTTTAAACAGAAATGACTTATTCAAACTATCATTTTTCTCTTTGAAAAAATGGGGGAAAGCCTTTAGAGCTATTAAATTCACTGACAAAGAATGACTTTATCTGGCTTGATTAATTTCCCTTTTCATGTTTTAGTTTTACATTTGAATTTACTCACCATTCATCTCTGGAAGTCCAAGCTTTCTATTTTCTTAAGAATGTCTATTTTTTCACTCTTTTGTAATATGCAAATCTTTGGTATTTCTAAAGAAAGCAAGATACCTAGGGTTGTTAAAATAGGAAAATACCTTTGATTATTTTTAACAACAAAATATGGGGAACTTGTGCCAGAAATAACTCCTTTCAGTTTGTTTTTGTGTATGCGGTTAATGGATTTTCTTCTTTGTACTTCCTGCCATACATTTATCTTTCTTCCCCTATTGTGCATTGCAGATCTTATACAAAGCTAAAGGTGAAGACATGAAGCACAAATACACAATGAGTCCTGATCTTCCCCAGTTTCTGCAGGCCAAGTGCAATGCTTACAATATCAGTGATGTAAGTGGGGCCTTTGATGGGGTGTGAAATCCAAACATGACAATAAAAATAATTATCTTAGAGTAGGAGAGGACCTTGAGGACTACTTAGGTAAATTTCCCATAGAGCTCTGTGGGAATACATGTCATTGTGTTGGTTCATTTTCTCTTGAGTTGTTTTTTTTTCAAGTTTAGAATAACTATAACAACACCCTTGGTACCAGTAGTCAGGAAATCAAGAAACATATTGCATTGGGCCGGTCTGCTGTCAAGGGCCTCTCCTAAAGGCAATGATGTCATTTTGAAAACTAAGGTGCCTTTAATTTGAAGACCAATTAAGGTGGTCTGATTCAGGCCAAGGTCTTCTCTATCATCTGCTATGCATCAGACAACTGGGTCATGAGTCAAGATGCCAGAAGAAGAGGTGTGGTGTTGGAGGAGTACTGAATATCCCATGGATGCCCAAAAGAATAAACAGATATGTCTCGGGAAAGTGAATCCATGGAGGGAAGGATGGTGAAGCTTCGTCTTTCATACTTTGAGCATGCCGCTAAATGAGGCTAGTCTTTTGAAAGGGATATTACGCTTGGAAAAAAAATGGAGGGTCAGAGAAGGAGAGGAAACCCCAATGAGATAGACCGACATGGTGACTTTAGCAATGGACTATGTGTCAGAGATGAAGATGGCACCGGATAGGGCAGGGTTCAGGTCACCTGTTCACAGGATCACTATAAGTCATATTCAACTCAATGGCACCTAACAACAACAACAACATAACAAATGTAACATTAACCATTATATAGCATACAAAATTCATCTGCTAAAACTTATATTTTTCTACTTTTGGCCACAAAAGAGTTTATCATCCAGAAAAAGAAAAGAATGAAATAAATTCATTTTTCTTTTTTCTTAAAAACTCCAAACTTGTGAAAGCTGACCATCAGGTCTCTCTTTTTTAAGACAGAGCTTTTTCATTAGCCCTATCAGTCCTCATATGTTATGATTTCCCAGACTTTTATTACAATACTAGATCAACGTTCATTTCCCAGTGTTCCTGTTCAATACAGAGGAGATACAAATGGTTAACCCCTGCTTGCAGCTAACTAAAAGAGCAGAATTTCAGTCTCCTCAGAGGAACGTGAGGACACCCTAGTAGCTGATTTCTGGAAGTCACCCGTTGAGAAGCCTAGGAGCCATTTACTCTGACACACATGGGGTCACCAGCCAGTAGAATCATCTGGATGACAACTACTTATTCAATATCTATCAGAACCTGACTTCAGTGAACAATTAGTACTGAGTCCAATCATCTTACACTTTATTAATGTGACTACCTCAATCATTTTGTGTTGTAGAGATTCCTTTAGCTTATACCTGGAAAAGAGCCAAACAATCCCAACAGCTAAGGAATCCCTTTAGCCAATTAATGCACAGCACACTCATGTTTTTTGGCTTTTCCATCCTAGGTGTGTTACAAACGAGACTGGCATGACTTAATAGCCAAGGGCAACAACGTGTTGGGTGATGCTATTCCCATCACTGCGGCCAAGGCATCAAGGAATATTGCTAGTGATGTGAGTAAAAATTTTATGGTGGAATCTGGGTGATTGCCTCTTTCAGAAGTAACAAAATGTGTGCTTGTTTAAATGATACTCATTGAAAACAATATATTGAATTAATGATATTCAAATTCTCCAGAAAATATTGTTTTGAAACTCTGTCATTTTTTAGATGTTTAGATGCTCTTTCCAGCTGACCCTACTTTGTAGAGCTGTCAAAGTCTGACAGCAGCGTATTTCCCTGATTCATAGCCCATATTACCCTTCCTGACACATCTCCCTGACAGCCCGCATCCATTTTCAGTGGGAACACCCTGACTGACACTAGCAAGTTAAATTCAAATGACTGCCTGCATTATAATTCAATTAAGAGGTAGAAAAATGGCTAAACTGTAGAGATCTTTACAAACCAAATGAGAAAAAGTATACTTTTCAGGAGATAATTTATATCCTTGGAAACTAATGCCCATTTCATCTGTAATAGAAAAAATATGTATATTTGTATTTAATCCTATCTTTAAGAAACAAAGTTCTTCAAAAGTACCCACTTGACTTTGACAAACTATTCCATGGACTACCATCTTGATTTGTGAAAAGGCCAGAAGAAAGGAACCAGCATGTGGACGGATCAGTGGGTGATGAGGTTTAAGAACTCCCCCACTTTCCTTGTAGGCATGGTGCTGAAACTGTCTTCCTCGAAGGTGTGCATACAATATATATCACTGTGAAATACATGCCTGGTTTTAAGGAGAAAGTAAAAGTCTGAAGTATAATTTTGTCAATTTTTATCCCCCCAGCATTTGTCCAGTGATTTTTCTGGTTCACCTAGCAATGACTTGATAATCCTTCTTGCCTGTTAAACCCATGTTTATAAATTAGTGCTTACACTGCAGACACAGAGCGTCAGTGGAGCTGAGTTGGATTTGTATCCTCTTGTATGAAAACTGAAGCTTTGACATATCAGTAGAGCTCTACCTGTATTCTCATTGCTGACTCCAGCAGTGAGAGAGACCTTGGCAGCAGAACTTAAGCCATTGATCGGCTCTTTACTTTTGGGGGGAATCCTGAAGTCATTCCTGCCCTTAATTCACTTGTAGCTGCTCCAGCAACAGGATTGAAAAGTAGCCACTGAGAAATGGAGTAGCTGAGACTCACTACTTTAAAATTGATGCTGGCTGAGAAAAAGAGGGTTTTCCTGTAGGTTAATGTGAGACAATAGGCACAGTAATGTTTTCTGCCTCTCACCACAGGAGGCTCTTAGAGTTCCTGCGTGTAGAGCTCTGATGGCCTAGCTGTAAGGTGTAGTGCTGTTAATCCAAAGTAGTGCTTCTCTGACAGTTCAATCCACCAGTGACTCTAGAAGAAAAATGGGCATTCTCCTCCTGTGTGATTTACAGCCTACGACACATTTGAGTTTGAGGTGGATTGTTTTTGATGTTGTTGTTCTTCTACATCTATTGCACATCTGTTCCTAGACCAATTGGTAGAGAATGTGAGAGTTTCTCAGTAATTTATAATACTCAATGATGTGAAATAACATTGAGTCCAGTAATTCCTATCCCTGAGAAATGAACAGATATTGGTTTTATATTTTTAACATTTTATGTTCACATTAAATGTGAATATTCAATTCGGTGTTTTTTTTTTTCTTTTTTAAAGCTTTATGTGTAAAATTATCTGTGAGATCCATAATAAAGAAAAGAAACAGGTTCTGCATGTACCGTGACACCCCCTGGAAACACTAGCAATGCTTGAAATAAATGCTTTTACTCTAAACACGTTGGCAGCAGGTGTGGTTTAGAGTTCATAGAGAGTCTCCCAGAAAGTCACAGTGTCCTGAGTGCCTTTGTGTCTGAATATAATCGCTGCACCAAATGTTATAAATGCCTACAGCTTTGCTAACTGAGTTCTTTCTCTACAGTATAAATACAAGGAAGCTTATGAAAAGGCAAAGGGAAAGCATGTGGGTTTCAGAAGCTTGCAAGACGATCCCAAGCTGGTCCACTACATGAATGTGGCAAAGCTGCAGTCTGATCGCGAATACAAGAAGAACTACGAGAACACAAAGACCAGCTATCATACGCCTGGGGACATGGTCAGCATCACAGCTGCAAGGATGGCCCAGGATGTTGCCACCAATGTCAACTACAAGCAGCCATTACATCATTACACGTACCTACCTGATGCTCTGAGTGTCGAGCACACCAGAAATGCAAATCAAATTCAGAGTGACGTAAGTATGTCTGGTCTAACAGACCTAGTGATGTGTGGACTGAAAGCCTTGGCCATTTCTCTTTATTTTATGAGCCTTCAGAATACAGTAAGATTTTGAAAATAAATGGCCATTATTGAATAATTAATGAAGGCGTGATAGACAAGCTGTGGTTTTGCTGACTTTCTTCTCCTAATGATTATGCCATTGTTTTCTCAGATCAAAGATAAAACCATGTTCTACTTTAGTTTTCAGCAGAGGAAGTAAGTGTTTTTGGTAGGCTGCCTATATTAGTAGTGTATGTATAATACAAAATAGTAGAATTCTCAATTTTTGTTGTGGTTAGGCAGGAAGGTGAGGTTTTATGCCTTGGTTTGGGTTTTTGTTGTTTTCTTCAAGATCGTGCTCTCATCCATGTAAATCAATAGAATGAGCTCTCAAGAATGAACCCTTAAGGCTTTGTGATTGTAGTGTAGTATATGGAGAGCGACTCGGGGGCAGTGTTTAACATTCAGGGCATTTCCTTCTGCAGGAACCAGATTCCTGCAAGAACCATTCTCTGTAAAGGGAAGATACAGTGTGCATTTATTGTTGTTTAATAAAAATATCTCTCCCACCTGAGATCAGGAATAGCACAGGTGAATAGAGGTAGACCGTGGATCTTACAGAGAAGCTTTGGAGAAACGAAAAATTTCAGAGTCTTTACAAATCAAAAGGAAAACTTAATTTAATGTCAAAAGAGAGACTTTTTTTTTTTTGAGCAGTACTCAGGGAAAAATATGACCTAGATTCCTTTCAGTGTTGTATAATGCCCTGTAACAGCAGAGCTGCTTTAACTTATTACCAAATTCCAGGTAATGGGCTCTGTGACAGACATAGTCGAGAACTCTTTCATTGACACAGGCCTGCTGAGAAGGGTTGTTATACATTCCTCAGGGACCGGATTGCAGATTTCAGAAACTAGGTTTCTTGAATTTCTGCTAAGATGTCTTCTCATATGAGATTACTCTGTTGCAGAATGTGTATAAAGATGAATATAACAGCTTCTTCAAGGGCATTGGATGGATCCCCATTGGTTCCCTGGAGGTCGAGAAAGTCAAAAAAGCAGGCGAAGCATTAAATGAGAGGAAGTATCGCCAGCACCCAGACACCATCAAGTTCACAAGTGTGCCTGACTCGATGGGCATGGTTTTGGCTCAGCAGAACACAAAGCAGCTAAGTGACGTAAGCATCGTCCTTTCAATGGTGCTTGTCCACCAATAACCCCCCACAAACAAACCAATTCACCACCTTTCTTAATTTAATACGTGTTGATGCATCTATGCTAGTAAAGAAACTACTTTCAGGACTGTATTAGGAAGGTTTTCATTTGTAGACAACTTGGATCTTGCTTAGGAAAAAGTGGAGAAATATGAGGAGGGGGCCTTAAAATTTACTTTCTATTCCAAATGTAGAGTCTAGACTATTTGTAAGAAAGCTCCTATCTGTTATCCACACAAAATTATAGCATTAATGATATTATTAATGGCTGTCTGAATTGCCAAATAAACTATGCGTTACCCTGAGCTGTACGAATTCTGCTCCATAGAGAGAAGGTGCAGCATCCTTCTCCTCAGGCATAATAATTTCATGTTCCCAGAGGTGCTCAGAGAGGCCTCAGGGAAGGAGAGAAGCCGTTTGATCTTAGAGTCACCTGGGGTTTAATTTCTGATCTCTCTGGGACTCTTCTTCTTTCAGTCAATATCTAATTATTATGCTCAGTGCTTCACATCCTTGAGTAACTCCATCTCATTGCCACTGAGCGAATGCTAACTGGTAGTGACTCCATGGGACAGAGTAGAGCTGTCCATAGATTCAAAGGTTATAAATCTTTAGGGAAGTACTTTGGTACATCCCATGGAGCTGCTGGGCTTTCCTTTAATTTAACCTCTATGTCACCAGTGATTTATGTGATCATTTCATGGATCCCTTAAACGACTTTAACCGGAGAGAAAGAAACATATTCAAGAGAAATTTTGTGCTTAGCCCCCAGATCTTGTAAAGTTGGGGATGCTCTGCACGCCTTAGATTGCAGATTATCTGCATACACTTTCTTTTCAGAACAGCTCCCAACCTTACCATAGATATAAAAGGTTAATTCTACTTTAATGGAAATTGGTGTTGTGTCCTTGGATTTTCTTTGTGTTGACCTTGATGTCACTTCTCACTGTGTTTTCTCAGCTAGCTAAAACAAACAAAACCCCAAACAACGCACTTGCTGTATAGTCAGTCCCCTCCCAGTCCTAAATACGGGGAGCATGGACCTAATTACTCAAGCTAAAAACCAGGCAGTCACCACAGAATGTGTGGATCCCAATAGATCTGCTGTTCCATGCACCTAAACATCCCTCAGCAGCCTTGCCTGAACACACTTCTGCTTTTCAACTGACACCAACACTCATTCTCCTGTGGACAATATAACAACCTTTGAGATGGGCTCCCTTTCTGAGGCCTCCCACAAATAGAGATAGTCTTAGAACATGAATGGAATCATCACATTTTCATACTAAAACCTCATAATAGCTTCTCCTTGAACATAAATATAGATAAGTTGACTCCCAAGACCCCCCCCCTTCTATGTCCTGATTCCTCCTCCTGTCTAATCCCTTTGGCCTTTTTCACACCCTATAGTCACATGACCAAGCAACTTCCAACCTTGAGGCTGCTGTGTCCTTTCTGGACTCAAGGCCCTTCACCAGTTCTGCACTGCTCTTTGTTCCATTTTCCTGCCCTTTCTCCAACTTTGTGCATAAATGTCACCTCCTCAGAAAGCCTTTCCTGACTACCTCATTATTCTCTACAGTTAACTGCATTTGCAGTGCATCACAAGTTTTCACCGTGCTTTTTACTTCAGGAGTTTATTATTGCTTCGTTCTGCCAGATCATAAGCTTCACACAGGAAGGGACCAAGGCTGTCCTTTCCACCACTTTAAATGCAGAGTCTATCACCATGCCTAGCACACAGCACACAATTGAAAAAATGAATACAGAAATATATCTTGTAGAGTTACTATTATGGTTTAGGTATTTATGTGGGACAGGGGGGCAAAAATCAGCCTTCATTGTAAAGACTCTAAGCCTTGATATGAAACCTTATGTCTGCTAACGAAATTTGCTTGTCACCTTCTTTCTTTTTAGTTGAATTACAAGGTGGAGGGGGAGAAAATGAAACACAAATACACCATGGACCCTGAGCTGCCTCAGTTTATTCAGGCCAAGGTCAATGCTCTCAACATGAGTGAGGTGGGTCTTTGGACTCTTGCCAGTCCAATTTTACTTATGATAGTCCTCCTTTCCAGTGCTGTGGAACCCTCCGACTGAGAAGTTAAAGGATAGTAAACCGAATATCCCCTTTTTAATGCTGGACCCTTATTATGGACCACGAGACTAGAGTGCTCTGAGCAGTCAGGAGTGGCAGCTGACCACCATCTGGTTCTTCTGGTCTCAGAGTCATGGAGTTTGAAGTTCACAAAGGCCATCACTATTAAAGACTAATTGTTTCTGTGCAGCCATAATTTTCACTCTTTGCCCAAGGCAGAAAAAAACCAGTAATTGAACCTTAGATTTCCTTTAGAAAACTTCCAAGACCCCAGTAACTACTTGCCAAAGCAGAGTAGACATTGTTTTTGTGGGTTATGACATGCCAGTTGATGTCATTGCCCCTTGAGACCTCGTGGCCTCATTCCCTCAAGGTGTCTGACCATGGACAAGGAACCCCCACAATGCCACCCCTGTTGTCTCCACTAAACACATGGACAAAGCACATGACTTTGTGTGGATTTGGCAGGTGGTGTTTCTGCAATTTTGGGAGGTTATGAAACAAGAGAGATAATATTGGAAAAAGCAGGCAAGTATCATATATAATGAAGATTGTTTTGCAAAATGTTTGCGTCAGTTATTCATAAAATACTCCAAAAGATGTTAGTATAATTATCTTCAGAAACATATTTCTGTAGCTAGCCTTTCTCTGGAGTATTCTTGATACTTAATTGATAATGATGTTTAAATTTACTTTGTTTGCTTGTAAGTTAATAAACTTTAAAAAACAAGCCAACTAGAATAACATTTCCCTTTCTTTCTTTTATTTTTTTTTTACATTTCCCTTTCTTAAAATATGGCTTACTCATTTTTCTAAAAGTTTTATGCTTCCTTGGAACTCCGAATAAATTTTTTTCAGTCTTAACTTTTATGCTTTTATTTCACCTTTTCCTTACTTTATAAATCTATAAAAGTAAAATCTTAGAATTAATTAAAGTATCATCACACTAGAATTTTTAATGTTAGTTTCTGTAAATTTCACATGATCATTATAATATGAAAATTTAAGTATATTCTTTTATATAATGTTACCTTTTTTCTCTTTGCTATATAAACATTTTTAAAGAACTAGAGATCATACCATGTATACAGTTCTGTTTGCTGCTTTTTAAAAAGGATCTACTAGACTCAGACAGGGAGCCTAGTGATAATAAGCTGTGCTGCAATCCCAAAGGCACATGGTTCAAAACCATCAGCTTCTCTGTGGTAGAAATATGGACAGTCTCCTCCCATGTAATTTACAGTCTCTAAAAACCCACTGGAAAGTCAACTATGAAGTGGTTCCAACTCGACAGCGCATAACAACAACAGACTTACAGAAAACAGACTACTAGCTCTAATCTGTAAATGTTTTCATTGGGAAGAAATATACTTTGACATATTTCATTAAGAAAGATTTGGACATTCTGTTTTATTCCTCTTTTAATTATGTCAAATGATGAAATTATCTTTCCTGTTTTCAAAGGCTCATTATAAAGCAGATTGGAAGAAAACCATTGCTAAGGGCTATGATTTGAGACCAGATGCTATTCCAATAGTTGCTGCAAAAAGTTCGCGGAATATTGCTAGTGATGTAAGTCTAATTTGGTAGTACTAATCTTTGTATTTATATATTTTAAAATCTTTATACGGTGGATAAGGGTATATGAGCTAAATTAGCAAGCAAACAAGGATATTTTAATATAAAATATTTCTTAATATCCTATAAATGATTTTTAGAACATTGCTTTATTTTAAATCTTTTAAAAAGTAATGTAAATCCTACAGAGAACAAAATTATGTTTTAAAACTGTGACACATTTGGAGTCTTCATTGATATTATTAACTTGAATATTGCTTTGTATTTAGATTTTGCCAAGAGAAAGAGTTTGTTTTAGGAAAGTCAAAAGGTTATAATCCAGGTTGGTAACAAACTACAGTCAAGACAGCCCCCTGAATTGTGCTCACAGGCACTCTAGCCTTGAGCCTCCCAGCTTTAAGCCAATGTTACAAAGTTCTCAGTCCTGCCAATATTGACTCTCCGTCTTAGTCAGTGTTGCTAAGTTCTCAGTCCAGCACGTCATGATCCCCTACCTCTAGCTATCCAACAAACTTGGACAAAGGCTTTTATCTCTGGCACCTGTGGTTTAGCAGTTCCAAGGTAGCTCCATCTCCTATCAGGTCTCTAGTTTGGCCATGGCTGCTCTTTTCCTGATAGTGAGGTTTCTTTACCGGTGGTGAGGAAAGATCTTTTTATTCTTCACTGATAGGGAAGATCTGCCTGTCTTTCACTGTTGGTTTGCTCAATTCAATGGTGAGACTACCCAGTCTCCTTGGAGATTGTTGAGACTAGCCAGTCTCCTTAAGGAATGGTGAGATAGCAAATCCACTTGTGGATGAGCTAATAATATGCCCTGTTTGCGTATTTCCACCCATCCACATGGTCAGGTCAGATTTAGGTGGCTAGGAAAGACAAATTGAAAAATAAACTCTACAGACCACCCTCTAGCTTTTAATGTTCATATATGAAAACCTTTTACCTTACAATATACAATAGCTATATTCATAAAAGTATGTAAGCCAGAAACTTCATGCCTCATCCTTTAATTGCCCCCATTTTAAATAGCCAATTTCTGATTTGCCCATCCCTATCAAACCAGTACTCTAGGGGAACAAGCATATTCCTTTCCCAATATAAAGAATCTTCTTTTCCAAATAGAATATTTAGCATCTTCTAAATCTAAGCAAAGTCTAGTCAAGAGTAAACCAACACACTTTAGCAATCAACACTAGCTCACAGCTTAGAACACTAGCTTACAGCATGGAACATCTTCTTGGCTTCTGGTTAACTCAAGAGAGAAAAAGTTTGGGGATACTAAAATATCAGGGAATCAAAAGAGTGTCCAAATGTTTTCCATTATAAAAAAAGAATATAGTTAAAAAGATTTGATTTCCACAAAGAAAAAAAATTGCATGAAAATCAAGAAGAGTTACAGATTGAATAACAATTCTAATTATTTCATTAATAAAATTTTTAAGTTATATTTTTCACATGAATTTGAATAACAAAATCTTTGATAGAATAAAGTTCATTTGGAATTCAGTACACTAATTTGTGTAAGAGCATTGCTGATATTTATCCATGACTGTGTAAATAGTTTTTATAAGATAACAGTAGAAAAAAGATCATAAAATGGCTGTCAAATAATTAATAAAATAATCTTCTGGAAATACTGAACATATTTAAAGGATGTACTTACAAAGAAATATATATAAACAAATAATCAAAATCCTAATTATTCTCAGAGCAGGGTTTAAAATCATAGATTTTGCTAGATATTCACATAAAAATACTAGGAAAAAATTTTTTAAAATTTGAAAGCTTAGACTTTACCTAAATTCAGACTGAATTTGGCTTTATGTCAATTTATGACATGAATATAACTTAAGAGAAATATTAATATATAAAATATAAAACTATTTTCTATAATGCATTTAATAAGAAACTAAGTATAATTTTGCACATTAATATAGTTGATTATAAATTAGTTTTTTTTATAATATACCCTAGCCAACCTCTACCTGCCTTTCTCTTTCATAAAGTGCAAATACAAGGAGGCTTATGAGAAAGCCAAAGGCAAGCAAATTGGATTTCTCAGTCTTCAAGATGACCCTAAACTGGTTCACTACATGCATGTGGCTAAAATCCAGTCAGATCGTGAATACAGAAAGGGCTATGAAGCCAGCAAGACAAGTTATCACATACCTCTGGATATGTTCAGTGTGACAGCTGCCAAGAAATCTCAGGAGGTTGCTACTGGCATCAACTATAAACAGCCCTTCCACAACTACACACTGCTGCCTGACGCCCTGAATGTGGAGCACTCCAAGAATGCCATGCAAATTCAGAGCGATGTACGTAAAGGTCCCCACCTGTGTCAGCCTAGGGCTAGTTACTTGTATCAGACCGGGAGGTGGGACAGCAACCAGGAAAGTCTATTTACTCCAGCCTAAAGCCATTCGGACTCATGGTCATTGAAGGTGTCTTCTAGAATTTAAAGTTTTAGTGTTGTACTAATTTGAACTATGTATGTTACTAATTTGAACTTTATTTTAATATACATTGCTTTTAAAAAAGCCAACAAACTTTTACTGTTAGGCTAACACATATTCTGTAAAAAAACCCAAAGTTTCCAAGTGAGTGATATACATCAAATTTTGCCTGGGAAAATTCTCTTCACTGTAGACAAGATGAGGTGTACCCTATGCATTTTAATCTGGAGTGGATGTGTCTCCTTTCTGACAACTTTTCATTACTTTACATATATATGTTGTTGGTGGTGTTAAGTGCTGTCAAGTTGTAAATGACTCTTAGTGACCCTATGAATGAAAGACATGAACAGTTATATAACTTTCATCATTTCTCCAAGCTTATAGTTTCTGGACGCAACTTATTTCTGAAGTGGATACCACTCCTGTTTCCAAGCTTGTTTTAATTGGGAAGCTCTACCAAACACTGCCCACCATGGGTAACCATTGTCACATTTGACATATCAGTGTCACAGTGTTCAGTGTCACAGCAACCACGAGTTATCTCTGTACAGCAAATGGACAGACCAGTGCTATACCATGTAGAAGAATGTTTAACCAAAACAAATTAAAACCAGGCCTGAGGGCCACAGATTAAAATCACCCACCTTTGGCTTGGTAGCATGGCTTTCTGTCCACTAGGCCAACTGAGCTCTCTCTACATTGTTGTTGTACGTGTTGTCAAATCGTAGATGACTCATAGTGACCCTATGAGTGAAAGACCTGAACAATATATATGTATGTGTGTGTGTGTGTGTGTGTGTGTATATATATATATATATAAAATTCTTGGGTCAGGATATTCTGTTCAAAGACACCATACATTCAAGTCCTTTTATAATTATTTTTTGTCCCACTAAGAGTAGAGCAGATTTTCTTTCCTTTCTTTCTGGTAATGAGTAAATCATTTGACAAAAGGAACCCAAGGCCTGAAAATGAGAATGTCTTCTTCTTTTGGTGTTGTTGTTGTAAAGAATCTGTACAAATCTGACTTCACCGGCTGGATGAAAGGGATTGGCTGGGTGCCCATAGACTCGCTGGAAGTTGAGAAGGCAAAGAAAGCAGGAGAGATCATTAGTGAAAAGAAATATCGTCAGCATCCAGATAAGCTGAAATTCACCTACTCCATGGACACGATGGAACAAGTCCTCAATAAGAATAACAAGCTGACAATGAATAAGGTAAGAACTGCTGGCCTCAGCCATAGGTATGATTGGGGATGAGCACATCATTGAGATGTTGAGGTTACTTTTGAGTTCTTCTATTTCTGATGGTGCGAGTGCTACTGGGGTTGAGGATTGCATACACCCCATCATGAATGATGAGTCCTTTCCTGCACTTGATGCTCAGGCTGTCTTACTCTGGGTTCACATTGCAAGAGAACCACAGTACTCCTCAACTATGCAGTTGGGACCAAAATGGACATTTGTTTCTTACACGGAAAAGGGCTCCCTTTCCTCGTGATTGTTTTTGGATTTTTTTAGTCATTGTTTATGCAATTTATCCAACCCCATTGTCTTGATATTCCAGCTCATTTCTCTCTTTTTAAGTAATTTTAATGGAGATTTTGGATTTCCATTCATTCATTGTTGCACTTTTCTCCCTGCCCACCCCTCCCCCCCCCCCAATTCACTCTCCTCTTTGGAAAGTAAAAAAAAATAAAATTATTTCATTGTTATACAATCCCTTCCCCAATGTCCACTTTACTCTGTATTCCAGCTCATTTCTAGTAGCTGATTTAACCTCATTGACCATGAGCAAGTAGAATCTCTCCTTCTTAGTAACATTCTGATGGAATTCTCCTGCTGCAAAATCTTATATCTGATCTTCTTGTTACAGAGACTCTACACTGAAAAATGGAACAAAGACAAGACCACCATTCATGTCATGCCTGATACTCCAGATATTTTACTCTCCAAAGTCAACCAAATCACTATGAGTGATGTAAGTAGATTAATGACGGTAGGCAGATTAATGACAGACGAGGGAGAAGATCAAAGCCAATGATAGGTATGGAACAGCTGTCTTGTACATGCCACTTTGAAATAAGCAGATGCTGTTATTTTTCTATTTTATCTATTAGAAACTGTACAAATCTGGCTGGGAAGAAGAAAAGAAGAAAGGCTATGACCTTAGGCCTGATGCGATCTCAATAAAAGCTGCAAGAGCCTCTAGAGACATCGCCAGTGATGTAAGTGATTCTACTGGACCTCCCTTAGGCTGACAGAGTATGACACATCAGGCTGGTGTATCCTCAGGAGCTGGAGTCATCTCTAGTCAGTGTTGGTAGGAACACCATCCCATGTGGCACAATAGACACCTCCTTAGCCTAACCACGTACTCACTAATTATTTGTTCATGATTTAATATAAAACATTGTTAAAGCAAATTGGCTTGAGGTTCTTGAAATCATCGATAGGCAATTCTAAGCAAGCATAGTGTTGCAATATACATAATTTACCCATGAGACACATGGCTAGATACTTCCCTGAATCTGAAATGCACTGTGAGAAATCACGCCTGCAGCTGTGTCTTCTTGCTGGAGAGCTGAGCAGGGAAAGATCTTTTCAGAATCTTTCTAAAGAGACATAATTATGTGTCTCTTGAGTTAACTCTGAGATGATTTTCTTCTCCTGGCCTCCAGTTTGGGAAGAAATTTGAAGTAAAAAGCTTTTGCTGCCTGCTTTTTACGAGTGCCTTCCTTTCAAGTTTTAAAATACCTTTCAAGTCCGGGGCCTGCAGAAAAGCTAAGGATAACTAGTGAATGAGGCCATGCTTGCTTCCCCTCCCCATTTTCACTACCCTGCTTTCTCTCCTGTCCACAGTACAAATACAAGCAAGCCTACGAACAAGCCAAAGGAAAGCACATTGGCTTCCGGAGCCTAGAAGATGACCCCAAGCTAGTCCACTTCATGCAGGTGGCCAAGATGCAGTCAGACCGGGAGTACAAGAAGGCATATGAGAAATCCAAGACCTCCTTCCACACCCCGGTGGACATGCTTAGCGTGGTGGCTGCCAAGAAGTCCCAGGAAGTGGCCACCAATGCCAACTACAGACACGTGATCCACACCTACAACATGCTTCCCGATGCCATGAACTTTGAGTTGGCCAAGAACATGATGCAAATTCAGAGTGATGTACGTCAAAGTCACAGCATTTAAAGATAATTTACTCGTGTAAAATAAATAAATCATGATAACTATCAGATAAATATCAATAATAACCAAAGAAAAATAGAAATTTCTGAAAAGAAACGTGTGAAAGAAATTTAAATGTAATTTCCTAACCAAACTAAAACCCATTGCTGTTGGGTTGATTATGATTCAAAGTGACTTTAAGGGACAGAGTAGAACTGCCCCACAGTTTCTAAGGCTATGAATATTTATGGAAGCCAACTGCTTTCACTTTATTGTATAAAGTGGCTGGTGGGTTTGAACCACTGGCCTCTTTGTTGGCAGATCAGTCAGTATTTAATCTCTGTCACTAAGGTTTCTAATTTCCAAGCATGGTGTTTATAGGTTACTTTAGAATTAATTTATTTGTTTTAACTAAATAGATTCATTCTAGCAACTGAAGTCTTGTTTTCTACTATTGATGCTGTGAGCAGTGACACAAACTCAGGCACAGCAAATTAAATTTGGCTTCAGAAATAAAGCGTGGTAAGACGTACACTTAGCAAGGAGAGTGAGGAACAGAAAAGGCTCCTATCTAGAGGAGAAGAATCCAACTATTTGTCATTGAGTCAGAACTTACAGCTGACTGTCTATTGTCTGTCAGACGCTGTAAATCTCACAGGAGGATATTGTCCATCTTCCTCCTTTGGAGCTGCCTTTGGATTAGCAGCACAACTGGTCATAGTCCACCAGAGCTTTTCAGAGGAGAAGGAAAGCAGGAAATCACATGACTTGGTAGCTCCTGCCCTTCAAACCTGACCAATTTTATTTCATAGTATAGCCCTGGTGTGTCCACTTGCCGTACAGAGGTAACTCGTGGTTGCTGTGAAGCTGAACACTGTGACACTGATGTGTCAAATGCGATAACAGTTACCCATGGTGGACAGTGTTTGGTGGAGCTCCCCGGTTGAAACAAGCTTGGAAGCAGGAGTGGCATCCACTTCCATAAATAGCTTGCCTCTGGAAACCCTATGAACCTGGAGAAAGGATGAAAGTCACACACGCAAGTATTGAGGACTTTCATTTGTAGAGTCGCTATGAGTCACCTACAACTTAACGGCACTTGACAACAACAACAACTTCTAACTTTGTCAATGCTTGCATTACATACAGGTGAGATATTGAGAGGTGGATGGAGCAGCTTTTAGAAGAAATAGGAAGTAGACAGAATGGGGATAAAACCAAGAATTCAGCTCTAAAGCCCCTGTAGTGACTGGTGAGGTAGTAGAATTTTAAATTAGGAACCAAAAGGAAGCCCTACCAAAAGACTCTGTTTCTCTTAGGGGGTGTAAAAGCTGATTTTTTTAATTACCTGGAAGGGATGGAAGCATGCAAAAGAAAGCAGCCAAAGAGAGTTTTCAGAGTGGATGCTAGAGCTGGGAATTGGGAGGAAATAAAACTTTTCCAAATTTCCAGGAAGGTTCTTGGCTTGTCTAGGGGAATTTTTAGTTGTCAGTGGTCACTTACAGCAGACCAAAACCAAACTTCCCTAAGTTGTTTATTAACGAGAGACTTGGGATTTTTGTAGAAAATTAGGCAAGTATAATAAATTTCTCTAGGACATAGTAGTTTCATGGAAGATTAATTTATTTGATGATTATTAGCATTTTTTTCTTTATAAGGGCATGAAGGAAAACAAAGAAATCACAGGTGTCTAAGTGATTAAATGTCACTGAAAACCCTCTGGAGGGTCAACCTATGGATTGGTTCCAACTTGATACTAAATAACAACAATAACAACATGCAAAGGGATAAAAAAGATAAAAATTAAAAGTTAAAAATAGTTGAAGTTCAATGCATTCTTGGTTGAAAACAGAAGTAGAAATTCCATTCTTAAGGGCTTTGGTTTCTTCTGATGCGAGTCTGTTTCACTCTTTGCAGAATCAGTACAAAGCTGACTATGCCGACTTCATGAAGGGCATTGGCTGGCTCCCCCTGGGCTCGCTGGAGGCTGAGAAAAACAAGAAAGCCATGGAGATCATCAGTGAAAAGAAGTATCGCCAGCACCCAGACACTTTGAAGTATTCCACGCTGATGGACTCAATGAATATGGTTCTGGCCAAGAATAATGCGAAAATTATGAATGAAGTAAGTCTTTCAATAGTGTAAAGTTCTATGTGTATCAGAGAGAACCTAGCTGCAGTTTACATTGAATCTAGGAATTTTGCTCACTCAGTGTTGTGCTTTGGCAGCACATACACTAAAATATAAGGCATCAATGTTGCAGTACACTCTACCTTGAGAAAGAAAATGAAGATAAATTAAAGAATATACATTTTTCCAAAATAATGACGCTAAAATGTTTAACAAACTATCCCACCTTATAAAATCTAAAAAAGGCCAAACACATTGTTGTCAAACTGATTCCAGCTTATTGTCAACCCTATAAGTTACAGAGTAAAGTAGCTCCATAGGGAATTGCTAAGCATCTGATCATATCTTGTGCCCATTTTTCAATTGGGTTGTTTACCTTTATCTTGTTGAAATTCTAACTGCCACCCAAGTAGATATATGCACACCTGTGTTTATTGTGGCTTTGTTCACAATAGCAAAGAGTTGGAAACAACCCAAGTGCCCATCAACAAACGAAGGGATAGAGAAGCTGTGGTACATTCACACAATGGAATACTATGCTGCATTGAAAAACAAGGAACTCATGAAATATTATGCAAAGTAGATGACCCTGGAGAACATTATGCTGAGTGAAATATCTTAGTCACAAAAAGACAAATACAGCATAATGCCACTCTTATTTTTTTAATTTGATTTAATTTAATTTAATTTTATTCTTTTTTGTGTGTACCATCAAATCAGATCTGACTGGATAATGCCACTCTTATAAAACAGGACTAACATGGGGGCTGGAGGGAAACTAAGGAAAGAGGGGATTTAAAAAAGGGGAGGAAGAGGAAACTGCCTCATCTTTCTCCCACTGATCAGCTGGTGGGTTCAAACTTTTCACTTAGTGGTCCAATACTTAAACTACTAAATAATGACAATAAAATACAGTAACTTCTATTTAAATAAGGGGCCCTATAGGCACAGCAAGCTCTGGTGTCCTAGTGAGAATCTGTGCTGTAATCCTGAAGACATGTGATTCAAATCTGCCAACTGCTTCAGGAGATGCGCAGTCAACTCCTCAGTGATTCATTATCTCTGAAAACCTGCTAGAGAGTCAGCTATGAGTTGGTGCCACTTTACACAACAACAGAAACATATAATACTTGTTGTTGTTTAGGGTCTCTGAAAGGGGATGTCTGAGATTAAATTCAGGGTAGAGGGGATTTTTCAAAACATCAATGCTTGTGGAAGGAAGTTTGAACAGAGATATCACACTATGATGCAGGCCCAATACTGTGGAGAAGTCCCGAGTGTAGAATTTCGGTTTGAGTGTTCTGAAGTTGCACTGACATGGCCAGGCATTTATACCCCACTTTGATCATCATTTGCATGTGACCTGTAAGGATTTATATGTACAACTATACACACACACACACACACACACACACACATATACATATATATACATACACACATACATACATACACATATACATATATATATGTGTGTGTGTGTGTATATATATATCTCATACTTTTAATTCTTTTTTCTTTTTCTTTCTAGCACCTATACAAAGAAGCATGGGAAGCTGACAAGACCAAAATTCACATTATGCCTGATACCCCTCAGGTTATTTTGGCAAAAGCAAATGCTATTAATATGAGTGATGTAAGTATAAGTCTCCGTATTATTGTCTTTCTTTCCATATCATTTGAATCAACTGAAAAAACTTCCCTTTCATTTTTGAGAGTGGATGTTTCAAGAGCAACAGTGGGAATCCACAAGCTAAAGCTTTCTTCTCTTGCTTTGCTGAATGTTGGGGTGTTTGTTGACACTGTTTGGGTGGAGCAGTCAGGAATTGGAAGAGTGGTTGGGTTTTATTTTAGGTGCAGGCAGTCTATGAAGTCAGGAGACTTGGCAGAAAGAGAAGGGAAGAAAAGATAAAGAAAAGACAGAAAGAAAAGAAAAAAAGAAAGTGATAATATTTTTAGGGCCTTAGGACATTTCCCTTAGAAGACCTTTCCAAAAGCTGTGCAGATGACCTTAGAAAGGAGCTGAGGGAACATTTTAAAGGAAAGGAAAGATAATCATCTTGAAGAATTTTTGGCAAATAACACGTTAATGTGTTGTACTGAGTAGGAAATTCATCGTTCTTTTATTTCATTTTCCTTCTCATCCTAACTACAGTTCTCAGGAAATCCCTTTAATTTTAACTTATTTGACATTGCTTTTCTTTGCTTAAATTTTGTTCCAAATTTTTGAACTGCTGACTTTTTTCCCCTTGGACTGTAAAATCTACAGAATTATATAAATAAAGGTGCTATTTTTAGTATGGTGATATTTAGTTTATATAGAAAATATGGCTAATCTTCAATCTTCCCTTAAACTCTTTAGACAAAGTGCAAAATTTTCTCTATATGTCAGGACTGCTACTTTATATAGGAAAGCTAGAGGGATAAATAGGAAATTTCTTATTATGTTAGAAACTGTTGAAAGAAAATTGATCTCCAAACCTGTTGGGTCCTCACACTTTAAAGTATATATACACACAACCTAGTAAAGATATGTAATGTCTTCTTTTTTTTTTTTTTTTTTAAAAAAGAGGTTTCCTAAAATAGGCTTGAAATTATGTCTTTTTCAGAACAATCATGAGAACATTTAGCCATTGAGCAACCAATGAATTATCTTGCTTAAATACAAAAAAATGCCACAATACTAATGTTCTGCTGTAAAATCTGTTCAGGATCTCCTTTTTAGAAGAAAATTACTTCCTTTACCTCTCTTTACAGAAACTCTACAAACTTTCTTTGGAAGAATCTAGAAAGAAAGGCTATGATCTTAGAACTGATGCAATTCCTATCAAAGCTGCCAAGGCTTCAAGAGATATTGCAAGTGATGTAAGTCTGCAGGAAAGTGGTCATCTGGCTGGGGGCTTCTATTTAATACAATGACAAGGGTTGAATTCTGGAAACAATGAGTTATGGAAAGAGCCCATCCACCAAGAAGATCCTCAGACTACCTGTAGTTACTCTTATCTTTATTTTTATATTTCTCTGGTATTTCTGATAAAACTGACTGTATTATGGTACTCATAAATATCAGCTCCCTGAGTTGTGAGGCCTAGGAAAAATTGCTTTGAACTTTCTTCATCACTAACCCTGTAGAAATCTAAAGTCTTTACCAAGCATTCTTAGTGAATGACTGTTGTTACTTTTGCCTCTCACCTCTTAGAATTTGTCTTGTAAGTGTAGTGAATTCCTAGACCACATTTTAGAATATTCTGCTCTTGACTATCCCTAACTTATATTCTCAACTCTTTGATTTCTGTTCTTCATCTTCCCCACTGTTCTAACCCTACCCTATTCCTACATTGTCTTCACAACTCCAAATTATTTTTCCTCAGGCATGCTGGAAACATTTGGCTTACTTGCCGTCTATCTTCTATTTGTACACTCAAACCCACAAGGAACTAGGCAGTATAAGCAGTTCCCACCTATCAGACTCTTTTCTCCGAGATTTTTTTTTTACACCTATCATGCCAGGTTTTTTTGTTGTTGCTATGTGCTGTTAAGTATGGCTCATAGCAACCCTATGAGAACAGCGCTGAACCCTGTCCTATCCTGTGCCATCCTCATAATCTGTGGCATAGCTTGAGCCTATTGCTAGTGACACTATGAACCATAGTCAATGCAATGGCACCTAACAACAAAGGAGAAAGATCCCCACAAATATGAAGTTGTTATAAAGTGACAGAGCTTATATTATAATTGAGCCTCTTTTACCAGTGAATGCCTGGTTAGTTGATTTTTTCAGGATAATGTTAAATGATTAGAATATTCTAATTTTTCTCTCATTTGTTATATTCTTATTACATAATAATGGTCCCTTCTAGACTAATAAAATATGTGTTTAAGTCAATGTGATAAAATCAGAAGATCTGCCATCTAATTATTAATGATTTTAACAAGCAATTTGTCTCTTTGATACTCAGTTTATGCATTTTTAAGTGGGAAAGATAATAATGTTTGCTCTGAGTCTTGCAAAGTACTTTTGTGTATCAAGTAACACAGATACATGTAAAAACATGTCTCATGAACTATAAAGCTTTATTTAGATGTTATTTTTAATAAAATACAAAATATTGACACTAGCCTGATTAAGGAAATTCTCTGAATACGTATTCAATTTTTCTTTCCAGTATAAATACAAGCACAATTATGAAAAAGAGAGAGGGAAAATGGTTGGTTTCCGCAGTCTTGAGGATGACCCTAAATTAGTCCATTCCATGCAAGTGGCTAAGATGCAATCTGATCGGGAGTACAAGAAAAACTACGAGAAAACAAAGACCAGTTACCATACTCCTGCTGACATGTTCAGTGTGATGGCTGCCAAGGATGCCCAAGCCAACATCAGCAACACTAACTACAAGCGCCTGATTCACAAGTACATCCTCCTTCCAGATGCAATGAACATCGAGCTTACCAGGAATATGAATCACATACAGAGTAACGTAAGGCTCTCTTTTTTCTGCGTGATGGTTGATTTCTAGCTTGGGAAGGGAGACCATAGTCTTCTATCTAATCTGAGAAATGTTTTTATATGTAGGTCAGTAAGCTAAGGTAGAATTTACCTCTTCTCTCTATAGAATGAATATAAGCAGGATTACAACGAATGGTACAAAGGGCTTGGCTGGAGTCCAGCTGGTTCTCTGGAAGTAGAGAAGGCCAAGAAGGCAACAGAATATGCAAGTGATCAGAAATACCGCCAGCACCCTAGCAACTTCCAGTTCAAGAAGCTGACAGACTCCATGGACATGGTTCTGGCCAAGCAGAATGCACACACCATGAACAAGGTAGAAAGAACAACTGTCCTTTCACACAGCTGCCATGTGAGGAGGGGATAGCATGCTCTGGTCCTAGTTTGGGAATTTGGGGCTAGGCTTACCACTTTAAGACAGTATAAACTCTTTTAAAGCACCCCATCCCCTTTCTTTTCTTGCTCTTCTAATTGAATTAAAAATTAATTCTAATTTTAGTGTTATACTTTAAGTACCATTAATCTACTCTAAAAGATGGAAAATATTTAAAAATTTTTTTTAAATCTGAGTTTCTTTTTAATGTTTATTCTGAACCATATGTTTTTTTAGTTACTGGTTTGATCTCTTATACTTGAGACTGAATATATTTAACTACTATTGTTGTTGTTGTTATGTGCTGAGTCAGAACCAACCCATAGCTGACCCTCAATCAGGGTTTCAGCAGCAGTAAATTGCATGAGGAGAGATTGCCCATCTTTCTCCCTCCGAGCAGCTAGCAGATGGTGGATTTGAACAGCAGGATTGCAGCACAACTTCTTACCACTAGGCTACCAGCACCCCTGACTATCTGCCCATTTAATTACTATATGCTTATAATTATATCTAGCTATAAATATGTTTGTGTGTGTGTATTATTTTCATCCCTATTTTTTCTAAATAGTCATATACATTTTAAATATCTTTTTTTTTAAAAAAAAAACAACCAACTTCCTAGCATTTATACACCATTGATTGGAACAAAGATAAGACCAAGATTCATGTCATGCCAGATACACCAGATATTTTACAAGCCAAGCAGAATCAGACACTGTACAGTCAGGTAAGCTACATATATGTTGCTCTAACTTTTGGGTTGAAATGTGTTAAACTTATAAAATACTAAATACTAAAACAAAGAATGACTCCAGTGGTTAGAGATTGTGAGTGATTGTTGTCTTGTACCATCAAGTCAGAACTGACCCAGAGTTAACCTTCCAGTGGGTTTTCAGAAGCAATAAACTGCATGGGAAGAGATTGCTCATCTTTCTCTTGCTGGTGGATTCGAACAATGTATCTTTGGATTGGCAGTGCAATTCCTTACTGCTAAGTTATATATATTGTTGTTGTTATATGCTGTCAAGTTGCTTGCGACTCATAGCGACCCTGTGTACAACAGCCCTAAACTCTGCCCTGTCCTGTGCCAATCACACCGTTCTCAAATACACTCATCCCGATTACCCCAGTCACTGAATCAATCCACCTCATAGAGGGCCTTCCCCTCCTGCGCTATCCCTCCACCCTACCAAGCATGATGACCCTCTCCAAGGACCGGTCCCTCCTTACAACATGTCCAAAGTATGTTGGACTCAGAATCCTTGCCTCCAAAAAGCCGCCCGGTTTGGCCGTTTCCAGGATGAATCTGTTTTCCTAGCAGTCCATGATACCCTCAATACTCTTCTGCAGCACCACAGCTCAAAGGCATCAATTCTCCTTCTATCCTCCTTAGTCATTGTCCAACTCTCTGATGCATAACAAGTGATAGCGAAGACCATGGCCTGTATCAAATGCACCTTAGTCTCCAGAGAGACACCATTGCTCTTCAGTACTTTGGAGAGGTCCCTAACAGCATACTTTCCCATGGCAATACGTCTTTTAATTTCCTGGCTACTGGTGCCAAGAGTGTTGACTGTGGAGCCATAATAGATAAAAACAAGGGTCTCAAAAAAACCCAAAACAACAACAACAACAAAAACAACAAGGGTCTCAGCATGACTATACTTTATGGAGGCAAATACCATGCCTGTCTTTATTATCCTACTGTACACTGTGCCTAGTCTAACTAGACAAGCAGTAAATAACTATTGAAAGAAAAAGAAATAGTCTTATAGAATTGATGAGTGCAGCCTTGCCATTTAGGAATTGTTTAACATTGAACAAATAACCTCCCTGTCTAAACCTTCATTTCCTTGTAAAATTGGTACCATTACATTCCTATGACCTTAGATTTGCTGTGAGATCAAATGAAGGTCCAAATAAGGTTTTCAGTACAGAGCCTGTCACAGGGCAGTAAATACGGTGTGGCTTAGCTAGTCTTCACACAATATATAAGTGGATTTGACTTAAAATTGTTAACTCATTCATTGAACCTTGTAAAGACATCTTATCATTCACTATTTTATCACTTATTTAATTAAAATTTTGTGACTTAATTTAAAGAAATCATGGAAGCAGGAACAAAGTTCATATATACTGCTTGACTGTCTGGGAGCCAAACCCTAAAACACACACAAACAAGAAGGAACCAGGTCCTGTGATGGTGCTTTTCCTACTCAGCTAAATAGCTTGTTTCCTTTTCATCTTTATCATTAGAGATAGAGTAAAAGATGGTAGGATCTGATATCTACTTGAGGTAGACTTATGTTTAATATTCTATTAGTTTGTTATATGTGAAAAAAAATAATTAAAATGTCTTTAATTTTCAGAAACTCTATAAACTTGGATGGGAAGAAGCTTTAAAGAAAGGTTATGATCTCCCAGTTGATGCCATTTCCGTACAGCTGGCCAAAGCATCGAGAGATATTGCTAGTGATGTAAGTACTGGTTGAACTTGTATACCCACTGCTGATGAGTTGATTCAAACTCATAGCAATTGCACAGGATGGAAGACAGCTGTCCCAAAGGGTGGCCAAGGCTTTATAGAGGCAGAGAGCTATACTTTTGCATAGAGTAGCTGGTGGGTTCGAACTACTGACCTTTTGTTAACAGCACTTAACCACTATGCCACCAGTGCTCCTTTTAACTTCCATACAAATAGAATTTTACTGGAGTCAGATAACCTTAAGGTTAGTGATTATTTTTACAGCTCGGCTTTTCTTTTTGAAGTATAATGTCCCTTCTTTGTTCACATAAATTCACTCTTGTTTCTTTCTCATCATTTATAAAAAAAAATACTTTCTGATCTTAAAAAGGAACCGAAGATTTTGGATTTCCCTTACTTAGTTTCAACTTTATTTCCCCTCATTTTAAATGTACTTAACTTAAATAAACTTGAAGTGTCCAATAACATATCAAGTTCATCAACCTGTTGTTGATAAATTTTATATGCATGTAACTAAAAATTAGCTGTCATTGATTTTTGTGTCACCCATATTTTGGCTAAATGACAATATCTATTACAAAATTGTAATAAGTTACTATGGAGTGTAGAAAGGAGCAAAAGGTTCAAGAATTGAGACTTACAATCCAGAAAACTTAATTTTACCATCTGCTGGATAACTAGGGCAAAGTTCATAGAGCGAGGATGTTGCTGTGGAACGTAGAGTCAGAACCGACCCATAGCTGACCCTCTGGTGGGTTTTCAGAGGCAGATAATCACACAGGAGGGGACTGCCCATCCTTCTCCCGCAGAACCGCTTCTTTTGCATTGCAGCACAGTTTCCTACTACTGGGCCACCAACACTTTCCCAAGAATGCTCACCCTAAAAAAAGACAGCTTCTAGTTATTATTTTAAAGGATAATAAGTTTGCTAATCAAACTAGATATGATCTCTATTTATATAAAATGTTTACAAATATTTGATTCTGATATTATACATATACATGGATATTTCATTCCATTAATCCCAAAATTATCCATGAAAAATGAGTAGGTCTTGTTTATATAAATGATCATAATTTCATGTTGTTGTTGTTATGTGCCATTAAGGAATTACCATTGCATAGCTGACCCTCCAGTGGGTTTTCAGAGGCTGTAAATTACGCAGGAGGAAATAGCCCATCTTTCTCCCTGGGAGCAACCAATGGACTCAAACCCCCTGCTTTTGGGTTGGCAGCATGACTCCTTATCACTAGACCACCACAGCCGCCTCACAATTTCATAGAGAATTATGATTAATAAAAAAGTCTTTAAAACAAAACAAAACAAATGGTTTGGCTGCATATGCAGGCTGAAATACACAGTAGAGAGAAACAATATCTAAGGAAAAAATGTGACAATAAATTAAAAACCTATAAGGAAAGAATTTCTCTAATCCAATTACTTTATGGCATTTTAGAAATGTGGAAATTAATGAGATGGTGTGTTCTAACTGACTCTCTGTAAGTTGAAAATGGATTTGGAATTGGACAAGTAGTATCAGTAATTTTCTAATGACCCAATCACTGATAGTACCTAATTTTTTTTTTTTCATGTGAACCTATTGATTCACGTGAACAATGAAAGAGTTTTTCTTTTCAAGGAGAAGAGTGAATTGGCGAGAGGGAGTGGGCAGGGGAAAAAAGTGCAACAATGAATTACTGGAAACCCTAAGTCTCTGTAAACTTTCATTAAAATGAATAAAAACAAACAAAAAAAAACCAAAAAAAACCCTTTTATCTAACATTAACTATGAGAGAACTTTCCCATCATTGTATGAACAATAGACTCTGTTTCCTCTCAATGCCAAATAGTTTCTGTATCTATGAAATTTCAGAAAAATGATAGCTATTTTTAAAAATCTTGACTTAGTTAGAATCATGGAGTTTAGAGGGGGAAGATAATTTAAAAGTTACATAATCCATTCTCCCACTTAATGTCTCACCTTCTCCTTATCTCTAACAGATATCATCCAAACTGTGAGACTTTCAAATGTATTTAAGAATTGCAGTATCATTCAGGGCAGGTCATTCACATCCTTATTGGATACTCTCTTGGTATAATTATGTTTGCTCATTTCAACCTTAATTATTTTACCAAATAACTCTAAGTCTGCATTCTACAAAGCCACAAAGTAGCTTTTAAAATATTTTAAATTGCTTACTTGTTTTCTTTTGGTTTTAATTTTGTGTTATATACCTGAAGAGAACAAAACCTACTTTCATGAAGTATAACGTGTGTTCCATATACAGCATAAAATAATTTCAATTATCTTTATTTTTATCATAATTTTTAATGTTATCCAAGATTAACACATTTTTTTTCTTCCTCCAAATCAAGTTCAAATGCAGGATTTGAATGTTACTCTCTTAAATTCATCCTGTTAATTTTGACTCATCATAGCAGTATTCTGATAACTTTTTAAATCCTCTTTCCAATCTAACATACTAGCTCTTTTTAGCTACCTAAAATGATGTATGTAAGATATAAATCATGAGAAGGATAAGGCCATATGACATGATCATTTGGCAAGTCAATAAAAGTCCAGTAATAAATTAATGTACATTATTATGCCTATTCAGTAAGTCATAAATCTTCCTAATTTTTCTGCCACTGAGACATTCTGAATCATCATTCACATAAAGATAGCTGAAGAACTTTTTCAAAGTCAAGCTAGACCATATCTAGCTATACACAGGAGTACATCTCTCCATCTAGTTGAATCTGATTTCTCATCATAACTTCTCTTGGTACCCAATGCTAATGGATTTTTTTTTTTGAAACCTGCACTTAAATAAGACTTTATATTACTTGCTCAATTAGCATAGACTTCCTTTTATCATTTAATGTAGGCAAATAATATATACAAGCAAAGCAAATGAAATTTAACTTTTCTTTATGCTAATAATAAAATATGTTGCCTGATTTCAGCATAAATACAAACAAGGCTACCGCAAGCAACTTGGCCACCATATTGGATTCAAGAGTTTGCAAGACGACCCTAAACTTGTGCTGTCCATGAATGTAGCCAAAATGCAGAGTGAAAGGGAGTACAAGAAAGACTTTGAGAAGTGGAAGACCAAGTACACCAGCCCAGTAGACATGTTGGGAGTGGTGCTGGCTAAGAAATGTCAGGCTTTGGTCAGCGATGTGGACTACAGGAACATCCTGCATCAGTGGACATGTCTCCCCGATCAGAATGATGTTATCCAAGCTAAGAAAGTTTATGAACTACAAAGTGAGGTCAGTTTCTATGAAATCAAAGAATGCTTACATTATTTAAGCTCTCATAGGAGTAATCATTTGATAATAGAGAAAATAGAAACTAATAAGAGGCATTTTTACTGAAAATTTAAAATGTATTTGACTGTAACACATTAATTCACTTGAATAAAGGATCCAGGTAGAAAAGACTCTAATTACTTGCTTTGTCCCTTTACAGAATATGTATAAGTCTGACCTTGAGTGGCTGAAAGGCATAGGGTGGAGTCCTCTAGGTTCTTTGGAGGCAGAAAAAAATAAACGGGCTTCAGAAATCATCAGTGAAAAGAAATACCGTCAGCCACCAGACAAAAACAAGTTCACCAGCATTCCTGACGCCATGGATGTCGTTTTGGCAAAGGCAAATGCCAAAAATAGAAGTGATGTAAGTTACTTTCTGGAAATAAACATGTTTCTTTATCACCTTCATAAGTCTTGCTGTGTTTGAGCCCAGCAGTTTGTAGCAGTTACTATACCAATCCATCTCTTTGAGAGTTTCTTCTTTTTCAGTGACACTGTACTTTACCAAGCTTAAGGTCATGGTTCCTCCTGATAATAAGTCCAAATACACAGGATACAGTCTCACCATCCTCCCTTCTCAGTAGTCTTCTGACTGTACTTAGTCCACGACAGATTTGTTCATTCTTCTGAGAATCTGTCATATAGTCAACTTCATCTGCCAATATCATGGTTAAAAGGCATCAAGTCTCCATTCATTTCCCTTACTCATTGTTCAAGTTTTACATGAACTTGAAAATGTCATAATATAGATCAGAGGGACCTTTGTTCTCAATGTGGCATGTTTGGTTTTTAACACTTTCTAAGGGTCTTTTATACCATTGAGTCAGAACCAATTAGCTGACCCTCCAGTGGGTTTTCAGAGGCAGTTAGTCATATGCAGGGACGAATTTATCCATTCTTCTCCAGCAGAGAAGCTGGTGGATTTGAATCTCATTCATTCAGGATTGCAGGGCAGCTTCTTGCCACTAGGTCACCAGTGCAAGAAGCTTTGCTGCAGTCCCAAGGGCACGTGGTTTGAATCCTCCATCTACTCTGAGGGAAAAGGATGGGAAATCTCCTCCCATGTGATTAACTGCCTCAGAAAACCCACTGAGGGTCAACTAAAGGTGGGTTGCAACTCCATGGTATACACAACAACAAGGTTCTTTTTTGCAGTAGATTCCCCAATGCTGTCTGTCACTTTATTTCTTGACTTTTGCTTGAGTGGGCACTGGCGACTGATCTGAATAAAATTAGATCCATGACTATGTTTTCTCTGTTTACGATGATGTTGGTTATTGGCTCATTTGTGAGATTTCTTTGCTCATGTTATGTTAATATGTACTCCATCCTGAAGACTGTTTTCTTTGATTTTCCTCAGGAGGTACCTCAAGTCCTCTTAACTTTCAGCAAAGCCCAGCTTCTTAAATGATTTGTTCAGCATATAGATTGAATAGGTATAGAGAAATATTACATCCCCAGTGCATACCTGTCTTAATTTTAAACCATTAAGTGTTCCCCTGCTATGTTTAGACAGCAGCCTAGGTATACAATAATGACAACCAATGTTGTTGTTAATTGCCATTAAGTCGCGCATGACTCATAGTGACCCTTTGAACAAAAGGCCTGAAGCCTTTCTAGAACTATCGACATTTGTCAAAGTTCTTAGAGTTTCTAGAGGCATGTTATTTAGGAAGTGGATGCCATTTCTGCTTCCAAAACAACCAATAGATAATAATAATTATATGTATGTCATGCATATAGTGGAATTTTATGTTGTTATGTGCCACTGAGTTGAAACTGGCTCATAGATAACTCTCCAGCAGATTTTCAGAGACTGTAAATCACATGGGAAGAGAGTGTCCATATTTCTCCCCCAGAGCAGTTAATGGATTCAAACTGCCTGCCTTTGGGTTGGCAGTACAACATCTTACCACCAGGCCACCAAACTCCTTACAGGAGTTCATCTTCAGCTCACAGTGAGCATTTGAAAAATTGTAGCTCCTCTCTTCCCAATTAACTCCCCATAGTTGTTCTTTTTAAAAAAATCTTACTATAGAAAGCATACAATAATGCTGACCTGTTAGCTTCACTATTCATGTTTATGTTTTAATTTATTTTGTATTTTTTAATAATGAATCCAACCAGTTAACTAATAAAACAAAAATTTATGCAAAATATTTCTGCCTTGTTGGAATCCAGTTTCCTGGTTCTTACTGAAACAAGGCTGTTTTAAAAGCTCTGAACTAATAAATTGACCATAAGACAAGCTGCAAACCAGAAATTTTTTCAACATAAACTTTCTAAAATAGACCTGCCCAACAGTGTCTGTCCTTGTTACAGGGATAATGAGTTATGAATTTCCTCAAGCTCGTGCTAATACTCAGGTCCCATGGGGACCAAGGACAACTGGCATCCTTGAGTTGTTGTCATTGCTTTTGAACAAACTAATGCATCCCTCCCAGGAGAAAACACATCTCATACTTTTCAGGACTGAAAGTGCCATATGCCATTGAAGTAGTAACTTCTTGGAAATAGTAACTTCTTGGAAAATATTTTTTCTGTAATTCTAGATGCAAGGAAGAGAGGTGTTTGGTAGAGATATGCTACCATGTGTAGCTCAGTGGTTCAGGGGATTATCCTGATACATTTTTCATTGTCACAGTTTAAGAGACATAGTGACTCTCACATCTAGTGATTAGAGACTGTGGATCCTGCTAAGTAATCTCACAATATGTCACTCCCTCACCTCCAACAAAGGATCATCCAGTCCACAATGTGAATGGTGTCATGGGAGAGACACTCTGGCCATGCTTAATCAGAAAGGGAATGCAGAGCTGAGATAAATGTATGTGAAAATGAACAAACCTTTCTTAGTTATGATTCTGAAGATTTTAATCTGCTTTTCTGGTTATATTGTGGCCATGCTCAAAACAGAAGTAAGTGCCAACCTCCCACACAATACCACTCCAATAGTTAATGACAAGTCCAGGGAACCGATGAGATGTTCAAATTCAGGTGCTGTCTGTGAGGGAAGCTTTTCTTTCCTCTGTCCTTGGCTCTGGCAGAAGGTTCTTGTCTTTTCAGAGCTTCAACTCCTGGTGGACTTCATGAGGTTTAGGATCTCTCTCCAACTATGTTTATTTACTTGTTTAGTCCTTCTTTTAATTTCAAAAATTAACTGTTTTCATCATCATCATCATCATCATCATCATCATCCTGTCCAATTAGCTTAGAAAAGTCAATTGATTCCTAACTAAACACAGACATAGAAATTAAAATTTACAACACAATTTTGGAAGGCAGAATTCCATCCAAAGCATCCATTTTGATCACTTAGATTAAATGATTGAAATTTCACCATTGTCAAGTTACCATTGTGCCCTTTGTAATGAATACATTTCTTTCAGGGGAGATTCTCTGATATTGTGTAAATATCCTGTTTCTCATCAAACAGTCGACTCCAGGTTTAATAGAGTAATAAGATTTTTTTGTTTGGGCCTGCTTCTTTTCTAGGTTTTGGTAAATTCCCAGACAAAATTCTCTAGGGAATTACAATGCTCCCAAATAATTAATTATGACCATAAATTGTGTCATGTAGGAAGAAAGAATTCCTTATTTCCAGGTGCATCTTGATTATATATCCTCTTTGGAGGAGATTCAGGCTGTCACTCAATCAACTGTTGAGGGGCACTTCAATTACACAAAGATGGAGAACTGCTACTCTAATTAATGATATTGACAAAGGCTTTAGCTACCTGCGCTGATTTCTAATTGCCCAGATTATCTGTATCTTTAGTAAAATCACGTATGATCTACCCTGTAAGGTAATTGTGTCCTCCATGGGCCATGGAGTGTTGTATCTGTTTTCTGCTTCTATTATCTGTTTCTGTTATAGATTACAAGGTTTCTTTTGGTTCAAATCTATTCAGTAATCCTGTTTGAAATTAACTATGCCGTTAACAAATCTAACACCACCACTGACAACTTTATTCCTCATTTTAGAGACTTTATAGAGAAGCTTGGGACAAAGACAAGACTCAAATCCACATTATGCCTGATACACCTGACATCATTCTGGCTAAAGCAAACTTAATCAATACAAGTGACGTAAGTTTCTAAGTTTCTAAGTTCAGCTTATGTTTACAGATAATTATTATTGCTATGAAACCAACAAAATTATTTGGAAGGTGTTTTATGTTTTGTTTAAACCCCTGCATTATTTGAATAAACTACAAGGGACGCAGATTCCCTTATTTAGTATTTTTCAACTGAAACATCAAAATATTGACTTTGCCTATCTTAGACAGAGCTGGAGAGCCGTGCTTTCTGCTCCTTGCGGTATATTATCATGCCATTTAATATGAGGCTTTATATCACTCTCTCCTGTGTGTATGGAGCTCTTTAAGAGCAAAGACCATTTCCACTGGCTCTGTAGCCAGTATCTAACACAGTACTGGACACATATCAGATATTCAGTAATATTTTGAATGGATGAGCATACAGTACTCATGCAGAAGAATTTAATTTTTATTGTGATCATAACATAAACTTCTAAAAATTTTTAGTATATTTTAAAAATAAATTTGCATCTCTAATAGAATTACTTATATATTAAATAAATGTATTAGAGTAATGTCACAAAGGTTTAAGATTTACAAACTCAAGTTCATATACTCATTGCCCTCAGGTGATATATGACTCGAAGCTGACCCTCTGGCAGGTTTTTTGAAGACTGTAAATCACAGGAGAGAAAATTGCTTGGAGATGCTGGTGGATTTGAACCACCAGAGAGACACCACCTTTGGTTTAGCAGTGCAGCTCCCAATAGACTATGCCATCAAACTACGCTCCCTCATGTTTGACTTGTTTTGTACCGTGGCCTTCCAGCAGATTTTCAGAGGCAGTAAATCCCGTGGAAGAGATTGCCCATCTTTCTTCCATGTAGTATCTGGTAGATTTGAACCACATACCTCCAGGTTGGCAGTGCAATTTCTTACAACTAGTCCACCAGAGTTCCCTAGTTTATAATTCATTAAGATTTAAAACAATCTGGATTTTGGATTTAAAAAACAAAATGAAAACATTTTATTCTTTATTATTTAATGTTGCAAAACTCTGAAAAAGCTAATTATTTTACTTAAGATTTTTTAAATTTAAATTGAATTTGCCTCAAACAATTAATTTCAAAAATGAGAAAGGACTGCTGATGTGGACTCTGTGCGTTGATGTGCTCTGTGTCATGAAAAAGGACTTGTGGTGAAATGGTGTGTAGTGTATGGGGCTGCTAACTGGAAGGCTGGCAGTTAGAATTCACAAGCTGCTTGCTTCCAAGGAGAAAGAGGAATACTGTTCTTCCATGGAGACTGAACCCCAATGGGTAACCACTACATGTTGGAAGCAACTTAATGGCAGATGGTTTTAGGTTTTGGTGTATCATGAAAAGGACTGTGCTCACGACATAAAAGTGATAGCTTGTCAGAGGCCTGGCTAACTTGCAAAGAAAGATTAACCCTGTACTGTAAAACCAGCAAGACTAATTCCATCTTGGCTAGAACATCTGCTTGTCAATAAACCACTCAAAGAAGCAGGATGTTAATGAATAAGAAGTGACCAAAGGTCTCAGACCTTAGGGAATGTTATCTACCAAAACTCTTTGTTTCTTAGAGCTCACAATAAGGTATTCTGGAAACCATCTTTGTATTGTGCTGGGGTCTGTGAGAGTTGATGTTTGACCTGAGAGTCAACATCTCGGATGGAAAGCGATAATGCGATTGCTACTGCAGAGGTGCTTCAAAAAACCTATATATGCTTTTAAAAAATAAAAGTCTTGGCTATTTGCTATCAGCATAGCCTCTCTGCGTCATCATTCAATCCTAGCCCCTCCTCTCGTGGAACTGTTTCCATATATTGAGGCTGGACCTTGATAACAGCTCAGCTGACATTTATCCTCCCAAAGAGGAAAGCATAACTCTTGATTTTCAAACAAAAATATCTCACAAAATACATCAGACTTGTTGGCAACGTCTAAATGATATTTCATTTTATCTGTTAATTTTCTCTTTTCTAATTTTCCAAAGGATTTGGGAATAAAAATCCAAACCCAAATCTGCTGCTATCAAGTGAATTTCCAGTCATGGTGACCCCATAGGATGGAGTAGAATAGAACTGCCCCAGAGGTTTCTAAGGTGGTAATCTTTATGACAACAGATTGCAACATCTTTGTTCTACTGAATGGCTTGTGGGCCCAAACCGTTGTCATTTGGGTTAGCAGCCCAGAGTGTAGCTAGTTGGGAAAGCGAGGGTTTTTTTAAAGTTTCCTGATCTTGCAACTGAAGAGCTGTCAAGTTTAAAACAGGATCATCAGCAATCAATGAGCATGATTTCCAACTCATTTGAGCATCTTAGAAGGCAGATACCATCTGCTTGTGCTCTTAAAATATTAAGGACTTTGAGTCCATCATGCTTCAGTTATTTTTTTTCTGAATGTATATCTTCCCAAAGTGAATTTCTTCATCTCTTCACAGAAACTCTACCGACTGGGGTATGAGGAGCTGAAGAGAAAAGGCTACGATCTTCCTCTTGATGCTGTGTCAATCAAAGCTGCAAAAGCATCCCGGGAAATTGCCAGTGAAGTAAGATTTTATCCCCTACTTACATTGATTTGATTGCCATGTATAACTTCAAAGCAGTCTTAATTTCTTTTTAAATTGAACAAAATCTTCTATGGAGTATCAAATTAAAACAGAGCGAAATGATCCCAGCGATGCAGTGGGGGTAAGAATAAGATCAAGGATGTGTTTATTATGTAAGGAATTTGTTACTGAATTTAGCCTTTAATCCTTCTTATTAAAAATCTGAAATCTGTGGCCCTCTAGGCTCTTAATGAAATTCTTCATGTTAATATGCTTTGAAATGTACCACAACTGGGACCAATATTTCTCTTTTAGTACAAGTATAAGGAAGGTTTTCGCAAGCAGCTGGGCCATCACATTGGAGCCCGGAACATTAAGGATGACCCCAAAATGATGTGGTCCATGCATGTGGCCAAGATCCAGAGTGACAGGGAGTACAAGAAGGACTTTGAAAAGTGGAAGACCAAGTACAGCAGCCCAGTGGACATGCTGGGAGTGGTGCTGGCCAAGAAGTGTCAGACCCTGGTCAGTGACATAGACTACAAGAATGTCCTGCACCAGTGGACATGTCTGCCTGACCAGAATGACGTCATTCATGCGCGACAAGCCTATGACCTCCAGAGTGACGTGAGTCTTAAATTTTCCTTTAGTCAACACAACATTGTGTCTTTACCCCTAAGTAACAAAATGCCATCAAAGTGAGAGGAGTTGAATTTGTACAGTAAAGATGCTTCCTTTGGTTAATGCCCAAGCTCTATCCAGTCACCCACACACCTGGAGATACCATTATTCTTCAGAGAAACAGACAGTAGTGTTTTTAGTACTTGGAAGAAGTCTCTCTTAGTATGTCAACAATCTTTGTGAGTTTGTGTTTGAATAGTTTTCAAATATTTGTTTCTCATTGCAATATTTTCTTGGTTCACTAAACATGCTAGGACTTTCAAACTTCTCACAAACTTAAGCTTTGAAATATGTGATGATAATGTGATTTCTTTGGGGACATGTGCTTTTGCTTATATTAATGATGTGCCACTTGTACTTTCAGAATTTGTACAAAGCTGATCTTCAGTGGCTAAGAGGCATTGGTTGGTTACCTACTGGTTCTCTTGAAGATGAGAAGAACAAAAGAGCTAGCCAGATTTTGAGTGATCATGTTTACCGTCAACACCCAGATAAATTCAAGTTTTCCAGCCTTATGGACTCAATACCAATGGTTTTGGCAAAAAACAATGCTACTACCATGAACCATGTAAGTTCTTTCTGTGCTTAGAATAGGAGCTTTTTTTGTTTGTGGCAACACCAAAATATCTTCTGATAAATATAAATTCATGCTCTTTTCCCCCCCTTTCTATTCCAGTGACCTTTAAGCAAGTATTGTACTTCCTAATGATATAAGGCATCTAGACCTGAAGGTGTTACAAATACCAACTCAAAGAGCAAATCTCTTTATCCCTACTAAGGATGAAATTATCTCAATGTATTTATTCTTGACTGGCCTGAACTAGTAACATCTTTTTGTTTGTCTTAGCGCCTCTACACAGAAGCTTGGGACAAGGATAAAACCACTATTCACATAATGCCAGACACCCCTGAAGTTATACTAGCTAAACAAAACAAGATAAACTACAGTGAGGTAAGCAACATATTCTTGGTATTTTATATATTTCCCTTATAATGAACTTCATAAGCCAAATTTAGGATTATTTATGTCTCTTTTAGAAACTATATAAACTTGGCCTAGAAGAAGCCAGGAAGAAAGGCTATGATTTGCGAGTCGATGCTATTCCGATCAAGGCGGCCAAAGCCTCCAGAGATATCGCAAGTGAAGTAAGTACTCTTCATTTCGACTTGATTTTGGTTCAAAATATTTTTCTCTCTGTGGTTTAAAATATAACCAGTAAACTGTGAGGTTAAAACTCTAGCTAACAGTTTTGTGGTTATTTTTTTTAGTAAACAGTAAACATTTGCTATTTATAAATAGTAAAACTCAGTAAATAGTATTGGGGTAAAAGGATGGGTGAGTTAATAACAATATACATTAAAAACATGTTATCCTTAACAAAATCATTGACTATTGACTGTAGTTCCGATATCTATTTTCAAATTTATCTTTAAGGAAACATGTCATTTCAATAATTTTTACATGTACAAGTCAAGACATTGATTGAGTTTACAATGTTGTTCAATCATCACCAATATCTGCTTATAGATTTTCCTATCACCTATTATAGAAACATTTAATGGAGCATCAATTTGACTTTACCACATGTTGGGTTTTGTTGTTAGGTGCCATTGAGTCAACTCAGACTCATAGTGGACCTATACAACAAATCATAGGGTTTTTCCGATACTCTATTTGCATAGCATGAACTTATAAGGACTGAAGGAATGGCTATTATTCTAGTCAAAGTCCACCATCTACGAGAATGTTTGTTTACATCTCCATCATGAGACTGGTATTGATATTTATTTTCTTAAAAAGATGGATTCACATATATTCTAGAAATGTTTGTCTTTTCATTTCTTTTGTCCATATTTTTTTCAAATATGAGAATAATTTAAAAGTAATTGTTCAACCATCAGAGAAGTATGAATTAGGGTATACTCATAATAGGGTATCTGCTATCATGACAAATCATTTATGAATAGTATTTAATGGCAAAAATACATGCTTATATTTCCTTTACAAATGCCTTATCTTACAAATGCCTCTTGTTCTCATTTTGTTCTATCTCTTACACATAACATAAAAAGTTAGCAATTTTATCAGTAAACTGAAAGATAGAATCATGTAAAAATGTCTTATTTTTATTTTCAATTTTGCACTTAAACTTATTTATTTTATAAATGGTTTACGGATGCATGTATTATTTCTGTGTGGAAGGAAAATGTTTTTAAAGAAATAGTAAAAGTTAAGTCCAATAGCTGCTTTTTACTAAAAGTAAAAATAGGTGGTGACTCAAAGTTTTTTTCTTCTTCTAGTTTAAGTACAAAGAAGGCTACCGAAAGCAACTTGGCCACCACATTGGTGCCCGAGCTATTCACGATGACCCCAAGATGATGTGGTCCATGCATGTGGCCAAGATCCAGAGTGACAGGGAGTACAAGAAGGACTTTGAGAAGTGGAAGACCAAGTACAGCAGCCCAGTGGACATGCTGGGGGTGGTGCTGGCCAAGAAGTGTCAGACCCTGGTCAGTGACATAGACTACAAGAACATCCTGCACCAGTGGACATGTCTGCCTGACCAGAATGATGTCATCCATGCACGACAGGCCTATGACCTTCAGAGTGACGTGAGTACTGATATTGAAATGGCATGTAAAGTTGCAAAATCAGTGGATTAGAATACCTTTCAAAAAATGTACTAGCAGAAGGCACCAAGATTTCTACTGCTGCATGGATGTGATGGGAGAATGATTTCCTTCTTTATAGCACTAACACTTTAACACTCCATGTCTCTAGTAGGAGGTACAAACCATTTAATCTTGACTGTTCATGTTTAATGGTTCTATCTCATCCAGAAGTACTGAAGAAAAAAGGTCTGCTGATTTGTTTCCCTTAAGACTTACTTATTCCCTTCTGGTATCAAGTTGGAATTGATGCCTAGCAGACCTTCCAGTGTATTCCCAAGGCTGAAAATCATAGGGGAGGGTAGTATCTACTGTTCTCCTTCAGAGCTGTTGAGGGATTTGAACCGTTAGAGAGGCTCAGCCTGTGTGTTAGTAACGCAGCTCCCTACAGACTGCTACCAGAGATCCCTATCTAATGGTTCTGTGTGAGAACCACATATGTGAGATTGTCATGAGCTGTAATCAGCCTGATGGCAACTACCAAAACCCAACAACTTCTTTTGTCCACCAAATAATATTTTTTAAAGAGTGTGTTTTCACTTTAGGTCATATCCTATAATGAAAATGTTTTCTAATAGAAGGATAGGCACTTACTGATAATGTGTATCAACAGAACATGTACAAGTCTGATCTTCAATGGATGAGAGGCATTGGCTGGGTGCCCATTGGCTCTTTAGATGTGGAAAAATGCAAAAGAGCAACTGAAATTTTGAGTGATAAAATCTACCGTCAGCATCCAGACACACTGAAATTTACCAGCGTGACCGATTCTCTGGAACAAGTGTTGGCCAAGAACAATGCCATCACCATGAACAAGGTGAGACTTCAAAATTAGAGAGACTTTAAAGATGGAATCAAGAGCACCACTGAGCACATAATACATCTGTCTCTCTGTTGTATTTATTTTTTAATACTTTTAATTATTATTTTGTGCTCTTTATAACATGGCCTGTTTTATGGGGAAATAATTTGCATGAATGATGCTTTCCTTCACATTAAAAAAATGTTAAAATATATTTTAGATTATCAGAAAGTGTACATATGTATACAAGTTTCTCTAAAACAATTACTTCAAGATATAAATCTATTACCTGGTATAGGATGCAAAACTTTTTCAACTTTTTGTTGAAAAAGTTCTTATGACTCTGAAAGTCTAGTAATTTTTAACTGCATTTCCCCCTCCAAGTATTTGATATGTCTTCTTTGATAGCGTTTATACACAGAAGCCTGGGACAAAGACAAGACCCAGATTCACATAATGCCAGACACACCAGAGATCATGTTGGCGAGAATGAACAAAATCAACTACAGCGAGGTGGGAGCAGATACTAATTCACTGACATTTGCATGCTTTTTCTTAGTTCCTTTAACTTATTCCGTGGTAGTGTAATACAAGATGACAGCTTTGTAAAGAATGTGGTTCTTTCCCTCTATACGAATAACAACTCTTGCATTTCTCAACTATCATCAGAAACATCCAACTTTCAGTGATTATAGATTGTCCGTTAGAAAGTGCAATTTATAAAAAAACATTTAACTCCTCACCATAATATTAATTATACTCTTCTAAAATTTTTTGAAGTTAGGAAATGAAACTTAGACCAAATATCCATGTCTGCCCTTTATAGTATGACTGAGATGTCAAAGTACCTGAGAGAAGAGACTTGCTTCTGTACTAATTGCTATTGTTTGTTTGCTATGTGCTGTCAAATTGAAACCGACTCATAGCTGACCCTCCAATGGGTTTTCAGAGACTATAAATTGTATGGGTGCAGACTGCCCATCTTTCTCCCTCAGAGCTGTTGGTGGTTTCAAACCACTTGCCTTGCGTTGGCAGCAGCAATTCTTTACCCACTAGGCCACTAGATTGTCCACCTGAGAGCAAGCGCACTTCCTTTCCACTGTTTGAGAGCTTAGAGCTATGTAACTTGTTTAAGAATCCAAGATTCTGAAAGACAGGTCAGTTGTCCTCCAGAATAGGAATTCTCAGCTAACGCTGCAATTCTGCCTTTGCTTCAGGGCTCTTAATGACAAGAATCTTTTCACATAAATCAGTCTGGTAATTTTGGAAAAATTCTTTACAGAGAACTTCTGATGTATCGAGGTACACTATTTCTCTCTACAAGGCCACATAGTCCTCTGAAGTTACTCTAAACAAATCTCTTCCCAGAGTGTTTCTTCCTTCCTAACCTACCCTACTGGCACCCCAGATTCTTCTCCTAATCCAAATACCACACCTGAGTATTTCTTACATGTCATCTCTGATGAAATGTGACTCCCAGAGCTGAGCTGTATTACTAGATGCAAGAAGTGACCAGTTAATTATCACATTCTCTCTTGGGGGAATTTCGCCTCCATTTGTGCATTCTGTGAGTCATGGTGCATGCAGAACTTGGAATCCACATACTTGACATCGGTTTAAGCTAGGTTTCCTCCGTCCATTTGGTAATTCAATTCACAGTTCAAAGACTGATATTCCTCTCACTGCAGTTTCTTCTTATAAGATTGTGCCTGTGGGTTTAAACCTGCTGAGGCTTTTTGAATCTAAGATTCTGTCAGCTGATGGATTAGTTTTGTCCTCCAGCTGCTTGCTACCGGCAAGGAAAACATTGGTTTGGGCAATATAAATTTTGCAGCAGTATATTTGTCTGCTAGAGATCATAACTTAAAGAGTTTGTGTATAACAGCCCCCATCTTAAATAATGTTCTTTTTCAGAAGTGTACTTTTCTTAAGTAATCTTAAGGCTTGTCTAACTAGATCTTAATTATCAGAAAAAAAAATTCAAATCAAGTCTTACTCTCAAACCAGAAAGGACTGAATTATCAGCTAAACTCATAAAACATATCCAGTCTTGTTCTAAGAAAGTAATGTTTGGTATGTGTCTCTCTGAAAGGCATACAGGAATTCCCAGGGTCTAAGAGCCCCTGTACCTACCTACTCAGCAGTTTGGAAATTGCCTATTGTCTTTGCTGTGAAAGTGCGGCAGAAAACATCTGGTGATTGGCTTCTATTAAGATTCACACTTTTCATATAGTTTGGCTGGTACTCAAAGCGAGGCCCTGGAGGAATGACAACCATTAGTGCTGTCCAGTCGGCCTGCATTCCCATCTCTGTGTCTCCTATAAGCTCTGTTCAATTATATTGGGTTTCCTTTGCATTTAGGATAAAAAAAAAAACAAAACACAACACAGAAATACAGATTTAATTGAATCACTCTTTTCTGCAAAGATAACATTGTTATTGTTGTTGTATTCTGATCTTCAAGGCCCAAATCTGGGCTCTTTTTCTGTCCTCCAGCAACTTCCTCTGAAAGTTTGACCCCCTTCCGTGCACTTACACTCCCATGTGGGTTAAATTATGTCCTTCCTTCTTGCCTTTGGCTGCCATCTTGGTTTATTGAGATGTTATTTACCATTCAAGACCCGAATATAAGGACACCTCCTCTTCAAAAACTTCCCTGATTCCCAATTCAGAACACAACACTTCCTAGAGCTCTTCTTAGAGCCCTTGTAGTCCAGTGGTTGAATAGTTGGCTGCTAACCAGAAAGTTGGTGGTTCAAACCCAGTAGCCACTAGGCAGGAGAAAGATGTTACATTCTACTTCTGCAAAGAGATTAGCATTGAGAATCATATGGGACAGTCTTTTTTTTTTATTATTTTATTAACTCTAATGAACATTTACAGAGATTTTGTATTTCCATTCATTCATTCATTCATTCATTGTTGCACTTTTCTCCCTACCCAGTCCTCCCCCCACCAGGGACAGTCTTATAGGGCTGCTGTGGGTCAGAATCAACTTGACAGCAATTTATTTTGGTTTATGATCTCTTGTAATGTTATGGTTAAATGATTTCTCCTGCCTTGACTTTAGCAGGTGGTTTCATGGGATGCTAATCTATCTATCCATTTCCAAAAAAAATCTTGAAGATAGAGAAGATCTCGAACTCATGTTGGATTCCGAAGTAGCTATCTAGCAAGTCATAGGCACAGTTTGTACAGAATTGTATTAATTGTCATGGTCAATAGTTATTCTAGTCTTTTCTTCATCTCCATATTTTGTCATCATAGACCAATGGGTTTTAACTTAACTACTCCAGAATTTTAAAAATATGGTTTATCATCTTTGTCCATAATATATACATGCCTATTTAAATATAGTTCTGCAACCATAGACATAATTTCTAAAATAAAGAAGAAAATGTGTACTCTTTTGATTTGGCACCATTTTAAGTAACAATTTCAGCAAAATGTGTTGAAGCTTGACAAGAAAGGGAATTGATTATAGGTACCTTTTTGTGCAGAATTATTTCAGTCCTCTGTCACAATTTGGAATGAAGGTCGATATCTAACCTTTTCCCCCTAAAAATGTAGAGTCTGTATAAACTTGCCAATGAGGAAGCAAAGAAGAAAGGCTATGACTTGCGAAGTGATGCCATCCCCATCGTTGCAGCCAAGGCCTCCAGGGACATCGCCAGCGATGTAAGTTGCCAATTTAAGTCAGAGGATGTGATGTATCCACAGAGATATTTTCTTTGAACTAACTCATTAAAAAAGACTTTTCCAAGACCTTTGAAAAATACATCCTGGTAAATTGGATCTTTCTGTAAAACCTAATTGGTGGAGGAGAACACAAAAAATTATATGTATCAAAGAGCTCTGAAGCCTGTAGGACAAAGTTATCTTCAATGAGAAATGGACCACCAACATTTGAGAAATACCTACTCATGTATAAAATGTTAAATGTAGATGTTGGCTTAGGGATGCTTATAAAAATGACCACTGTGCTTGTAGAAAGTGTAACTCAGACATGCAAGTGTTCCCTGTGAGCATCAGGGTACTCCTTTATGTAACGTATTTATATACGGTGCTTAAAAATGGATATGGCACTTGCTAATACAACTTTGTAAGATTATGATAAGATAATTGAACAGTACTAGAATCAGCTCCATGTCCAAGCTTGTACCTCTGATAATAACTTCTGGTCCTGTAACACCTTTTATAGTAATGGCATTATCATCGTATGGTAACTCAGGGATTCTTTTTTTTAATACTAAAATTTTTATTTTATACTGGCTTACTTACAAAGTTTGTATATAACTCAAAAGCACCAGATAGCTCTCTCTAAATCCCTCCACTAGGAAACAGAGAAACACGCTGCCCTTAATATTTAAAAATAATGTTAAGGATTCACCTTAGTTCATATTTATTGACACATTTCACAAATGGATTTATTTTACAAATCATCATAAATAATAAACAATAATCTTTAAAGTATTGGTATGACCTGAACCTCTGTCTTCAGCTACCTGCACCAACTTCTGTCTGCTGGTATACAGGCCAGTTTTAGGACTGGTTACCCAACAGGGACTTACCAGGATAATTATGATAGCTCTCAGCAGTATGGAACATTCCAAATATGTACGATGATATAAACCAACAGGCAACATATGCTTATCCTGCTGATGCTGCTGCACCTATGACTGGTTACAGTGCCACCAGGAGAATCGCTAGAAGTATATGTAAATAGCTGTTTTTTCATACCTACTCTTTATATTGTGTGTTATCAAACAAGATAGTTATTTAAGAAACATGAAAAATGTAGAAATGACAGCAGTGTAGCAATAATTATGGGGCACTCTTTCACTATTTAAGTTGCATCGTTCTCTACATTCCTGAAACAGTTTTTAGGGTTATTTGATACTAGAAAATACAGGCAGTGTTTTCACCAAAATAGTTAAAATGGACAGTAATTTGAAATACAATAAATGAAGGCAATGTATGGCCTTAAAAAAATATTGAAGACTGACCCAAAATAAGGATTGGTAACATGTATCATCTCAACTACTTTTCAGTGAACTCAGTGGGGTAAATATTGTTCCATTATTCTCCTTTTGTGGATTGCTAAAGCAAATTGTCTGAAGTCACACTCCTGGTGGCTGGTGAAGTTGAGACTTCAGACACTCCTTCCTTACCATTCTACCCTACTGCCTCCTGCTGATTCACATATACTGTCATACTCAGTCATCTTTGAGAGTAGTGTCATGCGTTTTTGCAGAGTTGGCATCAGTTCCAAGGATGACGTCATTAGACATGGAATAAAAACCTGGTTGGCTCAATAGGATGAACCTATGACCTAACCAGATGGGTTACTGTACCAGCTCAGTTGTATAATCTGTCTTCAAAGTGATACCAAAAACTTGCAACTTCTACTGAAAGCATAGGGCTTTGTGCTTGTTGGGGTTTTTGTTTTGTTTGGAGGAAGGGGTTTATGAGAGAGTAAATGTGTTAATTCTGCAGGTATTCCTTCATCCAGATACTTAATGCTTTCAGGGTCACTCATTTTATTCTTTATTACGCATGCCATATCACTGCCTGAATCTTATATATGACATGATGTTAGTGTATAAAATCCAGTTCTCCAAATATACTGGTTCACATGCCCTCTTTCTCACATTGGCAAGTGAACTCACATACTCCGTGTACTCCTGCCTCAGAACCACCCCTGATTTGCTAACCATAGGCAATTTTAGGTCTAATAAAAATGACAGGAATTCTGTCTGTTATCACCTCTATAAATTTCCAGAACAAAGGCCAAGATACTGACTTGAGTTGATGTTCTTTGTTTTTGTTGTGTGCATGGAGCCAGACCTGACACACAGCTGACCCTCCAGCAGGTTTTCAGAGGCAGTTAATGGCATTGGAGATTGCCCTTCCTTATCCTGCAGAGCAGCTGGCAAATGTGAACTGCGTGCCTCAGGCATTGCAGCACAGCTTCTTACCCTTAGGCCACCAGAGCTCTCTTGGTGTTTATTAACAAAAGTTATGCTATGATAAATATGTATTGATATTTTATCTCTAAGAGTATATAATAAAAGCTTGATTTGCATGTTTTCATCTCAGTACAAATATAAAGATGGCTACCGCAAACAACTTGGTCACCACATTGGAGCCCGAGACATTAAGGATGACCCCAAGATGATGTGGTCCATGCATGTGGCCAAGATCCAGAGTGACAGAGAGTACAAGAAGGACTTTGAGAAGTGGAAGACCAAGTACAGCAGCCCAGTGGACATGCTGGGGGTGGTGCTGGCCAAGAAGTGCCAGACCCTGGTCAGTGACATAGACTACAAGAACATCCTGCACCAGTGGACATGTCTGCCTGACCAGAATGATGTCATCCATGCGCGACAGGCCTATGATCTCCAGAGTGATGTGAGTCCAGTATCTGTAATTGTAGTAGTGGGCAGAAACAAATTTTGTTAGCCTTTATGTATGATCCAGTAGCTTATTCATGCTAGGATGCATTGTTCCTAGCATGAGCTTTGAATCAGAGTATGCTTCATTTACTGGTGATGCTTTACAAGCAGGACTTTGTTTTATAAAAACGAAATAGGTGTGAAGTAATTTAGGATTTAGAGTCTAGCAGAGTGAGACACTGTCTTTTAAGTGGAAAACTCCCACATTTTATTTCCAAATAATTACTCTGGAAATTGGTTTGGGCTTCCTTAAAAAAACAAGCAAGATTGGAATTATGAAAATGTTGTTATTGGTAGTTGCCCCGATATCAGCTCTGATTTATTTCATTAGTACTTCCTGCCTCTTAGAGGGCTGACTTTGTGAAGGGGTCACATGATAAAGACAGACTTTTGTGCCTATTGCGGGTAGACACCCTATTTCAATGTGGGGTGAGAGAAGCACATTTCCTGAACTCTATCTTTTGTGAATGTTTGCAGGAATTTTTAAGCATTAGGAGGAGTTTGGAGAATTGAACAAATGAATAATAATTATACATTAATTAACTGTTCCTTGAAACTATACAGCCCACTTGTGAAACCTCCCACATCTATTCTATAGCTTTCCACACAAAGAATTCTGTTTAGTGATTCTTTGCAGAAAGAAAGGTTTTGCCTACACAAAGAAAGTAGGTAACAATGGTTGATGTCACCTATGAAATGACAGCATTGACAGACTGCTTCTATTTTTGAATGCCTTTCCTAGATTGCCTTCCTTACACTGTAATATGATCTTAATAAGTTGGAAAATACTTATTAGGTTAAAATGCACTCCAGAGAGAGAACATGTTAGGCTTTTATTTTTCTTGTAGTTTTTTAGGGAACGATAACTAGTCCATGTCGGACAATTCTAATAGGCATTTCGTGTACACTGTAAAAATATTAGTTTGCATTTTCTACTTAAGTGCTATTATAAGTAAAAACTTTCAAATAAGTTCCCATTCCACCAATGCGAAGTTGATATGAATACTTAAAAAAGTATGTTAAAATCTTAAATAGGGAAATGGTTGTAAATAAAATGAGAAAAGTTGTGGGAAATTGGCTTCAGAAAGTAGTTCATGCTTTTTTGTCCTGAGAACTTGATGGGAGAGAGCTGGGGCCTTGGATCAATTAAATGTCTGCTTATTGCCCTGAATCTTGTATAGTGTAATGACAATGAAAGATCGACCTCGAAGATCTAGGGATTCTATTTTATTTTTATCTTTTAGCTGCTGCTTTTTTCCAAAAAGAGGGTTACATCAATTTGGAAATATAAGCAAAATACATTGAAGACAGCAATAATCCAGTATGATCCATCCATTTTAAAACCCAGGCCTACTTGTATACTTTTTAAATACACTTAATTTTTTGTGACATATTTTCATTTAGTGTTTCATTGTTGAAATTTTTAATTATAATCAATACACTTAGAAAATACAGTTTGTAATAACTGCGGAGTATTCCATAGGGTGAGGTCTAACATTTATCTAAGAGAAAGCCAAGAAATCAACTGATGTGTTGCACTGGACAAATTTACTGCAAAAGACCTTGTTTAAGTGTTAAAAAGCAAAAGAAAGTTATTTTGAGGACTGAAATGCACCTGACCCAAATCAGAGTATTTTCAGTCATCTCATTTGCATCGGAGTGTGGGAGAATGCATAAGGGAAGACCAAAAAAGAATTGATACATTTGGTTGTGATGTTGACAAACAATGCTGAGTATGCAAATGACTTCCAGGAAAATGAGCAAATCTGTTTTGGAAGAAATACAACCAGAATCCTTTATAGAATAGAGTATGAAGAGACGTCATCTCGTGTACTTTGAACATACTATCAGAAGGGACTGGTTCCTAGGGGAAAAAAGACATCATGCTTGATGTAGTGGAGAGTCAGGGTGTGGGGAAAGACTCAGTGAGATGGGTAGACAAGGGCTGCAACAGTAGACTGTAATAAGCAGTCACTGCAAGGATTGTGCAGGAATGGCTGTGCTTTGTTCTGTTGTGCATAGGATCACTGTGACTTAGAACCAATTTACAACACCTAACAATTAATATCCTCTTGTTGGACAAATGGGTGGTTTCTCTCACCCTGTATTAGCTTCTGTTCTTGGGCTCTTTGACATAATTACAGAAACATTTTCTGAATTGTCTGACAGAAGATATTAGTTGGGATTGTCCCTTCCTTAAAGCCTGAAATATGTGGTCATTTTTTTTTCATTATGGGTACATGTTCCCAGGGTTTGTTTAAACATGTAATTCCTTGGAGATGTACATCATGCATGGAAGGGTGGATGGACAGCACAGGAGAGGAAGACCCTGATGAGATGGATTGATATAGTGACTGGGGTAATGGGGGTTGGTGTGTCGGAATTAGTGAGACTGACACAGGGCAGGAAAGGGTTCAGAGCTGCTGTACATAGGGTTGCTATACATCACAGGTGACCCAGTGACACATAACAACAATAACATACCATGACAGGTTTCCTAAACAGCATGCCTCTGGAAACTCTATGAACTTTAATAAATGACTGTAGTTATAGAAAGGCTTCAGGCCATTTGTTCATAGGGTCTCTATGAGTCATGCTCGACTCAAAGGCAATCAACAACAATATAGAAGACTTTTCTATGAAAATTAAGAACTACATTTGATTATTGTTGATTCCATCTGCATCTTTGCCCTGAATCTTTCCATTTTGATAAAATGCTACTGCTTTTTTTCCTTCTTTGTAGAATGTTTATAAGTCAGATCTCCAGTGGATGAGAGGCATTGGCTGGGTCCCCATCGGGTCTTTGGATGTGGTCAAGTGCAAAAGGGCAGCGGAGATACTGAGTGATAATGTCTATCGCCAGTCTCCAGACAAGCTGAAGTTTACCAGTGTCACAGACTCTCTGGAACAGGTGCTGGCCAAGAACAATGCCATCACCATGAACAAGGTGAGAATTTACTGCCTCAAGCAGAGTTTTCCAAGATGCTAAAAGATGTTATTGCCCTTTAATAACTTGTGGAGTGAGAATCCCTGACAATATGGAGCTACATATTATTGCTGTGTGCTGTCAAGTTGGTTTCAATTCATAGTGATCATGTATGGGGAGAGGGAAAAACCCCCAAACCTCATTGCTGTGGAGTCAGAACCATCTCACAGCTGACCCTCCAGCAGGTTTTACCTGTTCATGGCAATAAAGGAGAGTGTCCATCTTTCTGCTGCTGGTGGATTTGAACCATCAGCAAAACACCACCTTTGGGTTAGTAGTGCAGCACTCTACCCACTAGGCCACAAACTCCCTAACCCTGTATAAAGAGAGAAAAATTACACCCTCAGGCTGCCTAGGCCGTAATTCTTAGGGAAGCAGATCATCACGTCTTTTCTCAAGAGCTGCTGGATGAGTTTGAACTCTTTACATTTTATTTAACAGCTGTGTGCTTAACAACAAGGCATTTTACTAAACAAGGCTCCTTATTTTCTATTTATTACATACTTCAAAGGCTAAGTAATTTCTATTCTTCAAGGCTTTTTTAATATTTATTTTCTTTCCCCCCCATTCATTCATTGTTGTATATTTTCCTCCTTGCCTACTCCTCCCCCAAAATTTGATTTTCTCTTTGAAAAAAGGAAAAAATTCTTTCATTGTATATACAACCCCCCTCCCCAGTCCACTTTACTATGCAGCTCTTATTCTAGACTCTTGTCATGCAAATAATACCTAATCATATATTTCTTTTCTCTCCCTCATCTGTTTCAATGTAATGCACATTATTTATCCCTTATCAGCTTCCCCCCAACCACGATGTCAGTCCTGTTTTATATCAGTGGAATTATGCAGTATTTGTCCTTTTGTGACTGAGATATTTCACTCAGCATAATGTCCTCCATGGTCACTAATTTTGTATATTTCCTGAGTTCCTTGTTTTTCAATACTGCGTAGTATTCCATTGTGTGAATTTAATCTCGATAACTCAGCAGTAAGGTTCAATTAAATGCCTTACACACAATTCTTGTGTATTTCTTCTTTTGAAGTGAGTATCTGTTTTGATTTGACATTTTGCCATTTCCATTTCAATTTTCTATCGATACCTTGTTTTCTTCTATAGCGCTTGTACACAGAAGCTTGGGACAAAGATAAGACTCAGATTCACATAATGCCGGACACGCCAGAGATCATGTTGGCGAGAATGAACAAAATCAACTACAGCGAGGTAGGGGCAAATTCTGTGGTGTGACAATATGCCATCTGCTTGTTAGCTTGTTTTTGTTTTATTTGACTATACACAGTTTTTAAGAATTACTCAAGCCTCCGTTTTCACGGCACTTAGAGCTCTTTTCACTTGAAGCCTCAGTCATTGATCTGACCTTCCATGTCTGTGGTGAATGTCATATTCCACAGGACTGTGCAGGCAAACCAAACCAAAGTCATTCTATCTTTTCAGTTGGTGGTTGTTGCCAGTGTGGGCCACTGGGAAGTTGAGGAATACTTTTTTTAAAAAGTACAACATTTTCAAAGAGTAGAGTTAGCAGATAAAATGCAGGCCCATTTGAGACATAATTAAGCTAAAAAAAGTCTTCCTTTTTTAAAATCTGAAATTCAAATTTAACTGGATGTGCTATGAATTTATTTGCCAAGTCTGAAAGCCCTACCCTGGGAACTCCAGTAATGTGAATCTCATCCTCAACCAGGGCCCTAGTGAAGAAAACTGAGAAATAAAGCAAAAAAACTCAAAAGAGAAGCTGGGATTTTATTTTTGTTATTAACTAATAAAGAGTACATTTGCATGAGAGTCAAAAGCACCTTCAAACTGAATGCCAGGATTAGATTTCCAGCCCAGGCATAAGTCACACTGAAACTGACCCCCCCCGAAGGAGAGGTGTGAGCTGAGTTGAGCATGCCCAGGTGCCCTATCCCCATCAATTAGAGAATTCAGTAAATCATCACCGCTGTGAAAAGGCAGAGAGAGTAAAGAGGCAGAGAAAAGATGGAATAATCGAGAATTTTAAAAAGAAAGGGTGTCTCAGTCATGTAGAAGTGACCTCATTAACAATACTGTCCAATGAGTTTTATTTTTTTTAAAAGAAAGCTAACTTTCTAGAAGGATGCTTTGCTGAAACAATACAGCCAAGGTTTAAAATCTTATAGCTAAGGTTATAGTCAAATTGACCATGTTTTAAATCATATATGACTTTTTACTTAAAAAAATAATTTAAAATCTTATAAAAGAGTATATTTATGACATAATTTTAAGTAATAAAAACGCTTTAAAGGACATATATTTTTAAATGTCAGTGAGTGAATATGAACCACACTACTTTATAATGTCCTATTTATTTAGATAATATATAGATTAATACTTGTCCATGTTCATGTTCATCGCTTGATCTCATTGCTGTAGTTTGACTGTATACTATTTTTACAAAATTAATGTAATTTTATTTTCCACTGCTGCTAGATGTTTAGATGTTTTTTGGTTCCTGTGCCCCCCCCCCCTTTTTTTTAAGTGATAGAAGTCACTTGAAAATTCCCAATTGTTGCTGTCAAATGTTTTTATTTCCTTTTCTGGCTTGCTTTTTCTATAGAGTCTGTATAAACTTGCCAATGAAGAAGCAAAGAAGAAAGGCTATGACTTGCGAAGTGATGCCATCCCCATCGTGGCAGCCAAGGCCTCCAGGGACATCGCCAGCGATGTGAGTAACAGTCCTTCAGATACTAACATACACACATGGAGTGGGAGGGCGACGGAGTTCTTCTTAAACTGGAAGATGCATCAGAGTTCGTGTGAAAGCATATTTATTGACTTACCTTTCTAAATCAAAGGAAAGTTTTTCATCTGAAGAAAGCTATTAATATTTTTCATCCCATGAATCTTTAAAACACTGATCAGACGAGGGAGGAGGTGTCCTAAACATTTTTCTCAGTATAGCATTAAGTTTATGTCCATAATATTTTATTTCTATAACTATGATAAAATTATATCCTTATTTGGAGCACATTGCATGCACAAAAATAAGGAAAAGTCAGAAGGATTTAAAAATAACTTGAATATATATATATATTCAAAATTGGATAAAAATCTTGGCTAGACCAATATAAAAAGGAATGCACCTTCCTCCAAACCTACTCTATATTTTTGATAAATCTTTCTTTGAAAAAAATTACCTTGTTTACTTTTCATTTTAGATTAAAACAGAATAGCATTAACAAACAAAAACAATATTTCTTATCCCACTGTCCAAGAAAGGTCTTTGTTGGAGAATTCAGACTTAGAAATATGTTAAGCTTTGTGTGATATTTGTATTTGTGTAATGTTGATAAAATTTAAAGTAAATAGTAACAGTCAGTATTCACAACCAACACCACCAAATTTTTTTTTTTCTAGGTTCTAGGTACAATCTAGTTCATTGTATGGTTTTTCAGTTGTGGTTAAATTCAGTGAAACCTCACTCACTTTGATTTCAGTTGAAATAAGACTTGCAGCCTGGAAAACACAGGCCAGGGCAATTAAGAAGTTCTCTGTCTAAAATTGTTCTACTCAGATGACTCCGTTAAAGTCAGCAGAAGCAAGGTTGGTAGGAGTTACAGGTGGATGTGTGGAGCCAGTGGTGCCTCCAGATGCCTGAATATCATTCTCAGATGTAAGATTTGGGTTTTGATTTCTCTGCTCCAAGATGAGAACAAGCAAATAAACAAACAAATATAAAAAGCAGCACACAAGAAAAAATTGCTTTTTTTTCCAGAAGTGATTGCTGCACTAATACCAGAGACTTTCTTTCTATCTGTAAACTGCAGGACTCCCTGGTTTGACTTGGCTTCCCCTCAGAGTACTAGTAAGTTCTAGTCAGTGCCTGGGTGAAAGGAGAAGTTGGTGTTCAGATCACTCCATTTTACTGGAATAATTACCAATTTCAAGAGAAATTAGCTCTTAAATAAATTGACTTTAATTCTTTATTTTCTTTTTTCAATGACAACTTTTATTTCAGTATAAATATAAAGATGGCTACCGCAAGCAGCTCGGCCACCACATTGGAGCCCGGAACATTAAGGATGACCCCAAGATGATGTGGTCCATGCATGTGGCCAAGATCCAGAGTGACAGAGAGTACAAGAAGGACTTTGAGAAGTGGAAGACCAAGTACAGCAGCCCAGTCGACATGTTGGGGGTGGTGCTGGCCAAGAAGTGTCAGACCCTGGTCAGTGACATAGACTACAAGAACATCCTACACCAGTGGACATGTCTGCCTGACCAGAATGATGTCATCCATGCGCGACAGGCCTATGATCTCCAGAGTGATGTGAGTAACCAAAACTGGCTATTATACTGGTGCCATATTTGTGATGTTTGTTGTTGTTGTTATGTGCCGTCGAGTCGTTTCCGACTCATAGCGACCCTATGCACAACAGCCCTAAACCCTGCTCTATCCTGCGCCAACCGCACCGCCTCTGACACACCCATCCCGATTACCCCAGTCACTGAATCAATCCATCTCATAGAGGGTCTTCCCCTCCTGCGTTGTCCCTCAACCCTCCCAAGCAATACATAATAACATATGGACAGTGGTTTAGGTTTAGATAAATCCTTAGAGAGATGTCTTTCTCTCTGTCCCTCATTCACTGTATGCTACTTTTCTTTTGTAAGATAATATAATAATACCATGAGGCTGTATCATGCTTGATAGAGTGGAGGGACAATGCAGGACAGGAAGACACTGGATGAGATGATTGACCCATGACTGGGGTAATAGGGGCAGGTGTGTTGGAGACAGTGAAATTAACTCAAGATAGGACAGGTTACAGAGCTATTGTGTCTAGGTCACTATGAGTCTTAGGCAAGTTGACAGCACATAACAACAATATTTAATTTAGGGAGCATTGGTGGCCTAGTGGTAAGAAGCTGCACTGCAATCCCGAAGGCACACGGTTTGAGGCCACCAGTTGCTCTTTGGGAGAAGGATGGGCAGTCTCCTCCCATGCAATTAACTGCCTCTTAAAACCTACTTGAGGGTTAGTTCTGAGTTGGTTCTGATTCTACAGTACACAACTACTACAAAAGTGGCTCAGTAATAAGGAATTGTGCTGCCAACCCAAAGGTCATGGTGCAAATCCCCCAGCCACAGGAGAAAAATGGGCAGTCTCCTTCCATGCAATTTACTACCTGTGAAAACCCATTGGAGGGTTGAGCTATGAGTCGGTTCTGACTTGATGGTACATAACAATATATCTAATTTAGTTGTCCTTAAAAAGAAAAAAAAACACAAACATGAAATTTGGCCATCCATGTTTGCCCATCTTTTTCTTCTATTTTAGAGATCAAGAATCATCATAACATCTTCATTAATCCTTGTATTTGTGTTGATCTCTCCAGAACATGTATAAGTCAGATCTCCAGTGGATGAGAGGCATTGGATGGGTCCCCATCGGGTCTCTGGATGTGGTCAAGTGCAAGAGAGCAGCGGAGATACTAAGTGATAATATCTACCGCCAACCTCCAGACAAGCTGAAGTTTACCAGTGTTACAGACTCTCTGGAACAGGTGCTGGCCAAGAACAACGCCATCACAATGAACAAGGTGAGTTCTTAATCTGGGGAAACATTAGCCAGGCCTTCTGGCACTTGAAATATCTATGATTGTTTAGCCTGTTTTTTCTATATCTAATAATTGCATTGAGTTTTCTGTTCTACTACACTGAAATTTTGAAAGTATTTGTGAAATTTCTCTTTGACATTTCATGTGAAATAATCACTATTAAGAGTAGAGTAACTATATTTTGAGTTTGAGCTCTGAGAGTTGTATCTGACTTCTCATCAAATTCCATTCTTATTGAGGACTTTAACTAAATAGGACTAGAGTAAACAAGTTAGAGGCAAATCTCCATAATATGTGTCTCCCTAACATTTATTAGATTTTTTATCAGATGTTTTATCCAGGTGTTTTTTTTTCCTTTAAAGAAATAGACAGACAATAAAAACAATAAAACTGGGAAGAATTTGTTGATATAGCCACAGTACAGATAAAGATAAATACATAGTTGATGTTATTGTTGTTAGGTGCTGTTGAGTATGACTCATAGCAACCCTATGAACATAAGATCTGAACCCTGCTCTATCCCGTGCCATCTTCACACTTGCTGACACACAAGAGCCCATTGCAGCAGTCACTGTGTCAATCTATCTGGTTGAAGGTCTTCCTCTCCTTTGCTGACCCTCCACTGTTCCTAGAATCATGTCCTTTCCGATATATGTTGTTGTTGTTATGTGCTGCCGAGTCACTTGTGACTCATAGCGACCCTATGTACAACAGCCCTAAACTCTGCTCTGTCCTGTGCCAATCGCACTGTCTCTGACACTCCCATCCCAATTATCCCAGTCACTGAATCAATCCACCTCATAGAGGGCCTTCCTCTCCTGTGCTGTCCCTCCACCCTCCCAAGCATGATATCCCTCTCCAGGGACTGGTCCCTCCTCACAACATGTCCAAAATATGTTAGACGGAGCCTCAGAATCCTTACCTCCAAGGAGCAGCCTGGTTTGACCCTTTCCAGGATGAATCTGTTTGTTTTCCTAGCAGTCCATGGTACTCTCAATACTCTTCTCCAGTACCACAGCTCAAAGGCATCAATTCTCCATCTATCCTTCTTAGTCATTGTCTAACTCTCTGATGCATACCAAATGATAGCAAAGACCATGGCATGTATCAGATGCACCTTAGTCTCCAGAGAGACACCATTGCTGTTCAGTACTTTGGAGAGGTCCCTAAAAGCAGACTTTCCCATGACAATACATCTTCTAATTTCCTGGCTGCTGGTGCTGAGAGTGTTGACTGTGGAGCCAAGCAAACTGAAGCTGTGAACAATCTCAATCTCTTCACCATCCATCCTGATGCTGCCAATTGGCCCAGTGGTGAGAATCTTTGTCTTCTTGACATTGAGCCTCAATCCATATTGTAGGCTGCAGTCCTTGACCCTCTGCAGCAAGCGCTTCACGTCCTCCTCAGTTTCAGCAAGCAGGGTTGTATCATCTGCATATCGCAGATTGTTGATAGATCTTCCACCAATCCTGATGCCAGATTTCTCCTCATAGAGCCCAGCCTCCCAGATAATCTGTTCTGCATACAGGTTGAAAAGGTATGGAGACAGGCCACGTCCCTGGCGCATGCCCTTCCCAATTTTGAACCATGCAGTGTTTCCTTGCTCTGTTCTGATGACTGCCTCTTGGTCCAAGTATAGGTTTCTCATTATCATGATCTAGTGTTCTGGGATTCCCATTCTTCTCAGAGTCAGCCACAGTTTATTATTATCCACACAGTCAAACGCCTTTGCATAGTCAATGAAACACAGATAGACATTCCTCTGGTATTTCCTGCTTTCAGGTAAGATCCATCTAACATTAGCTACGATATCCCTAGTACCACAACCCCTTTAGCTCCAATATAGAGAGAAATATATTAATAGAAAATACTTGCTCTTAGTTGAAGGAAGGCTGCCAGTTTAATCAAACATATGTCCTCACATTTCTTTTCATGTCTTCTTCTTTGTTAACATTTAGTGACAATAAATATCCTGTACTATCAAAGCAGCTGACGACAGTGCTCTTTATGTATGCAGAACAGATAATGAGGAGACTGGCTTTCAACTTTGCCATAGTTCTTATAATTTCTATTTAAATCAGACTTTGACTTTTTAAATTCCTTAAATTTTTTTTTAAATTTTTTATTTTGTGGTTTGTTTTTTTTAAATTTGTTTGTTTGTTTGTTTCATATAGCGCTTATACACAGAAGCCTGGGACAAAGACAAAACTCAAATCCACATCATGCCAGACACACCTGAAATTATGTTGGCCAGACAAAACAAAATAAATTATAGTGAGGTAAGTTATTTCATAGGTATGACCACATTGATTTTTGATGATATAGTCATGCTATAGTTACATTTTAATCTTCTTGAGGACCAAATATCTTTGTTTAGTCTTATGCTTATTACGTCCTTTGATTTTGCATATTACTGTGTTAAAAAAATAGAAAGATAATCTATAGACAGATATGAAACTACTCCATGTAAAGTAGGAGAGAAAAACCTCTCAAAGTCAGCTATTAATGACTGAGACATATTACCACATTAATTTTTAAGATAGAGTATACTAGTTATTAATTATTATTTGCCTCAAAATTTGTTCCGTGAGTTCCATACCAATCTCAAAATGAGGTGATGCTAAAATGGGGTGAAATATATAATATGCTTAATATAGAACCAATATAGTTATTTCAAAAGCTTTCTTTTTCTCCCATTCATGTTACCATGATATTAGATTTATTTAAAATATTCAAAGTAACCTGAGGTTTACTTATAGGAACTGAAATGAGAATTCTTAAGCACACCCATTTCAAAGTTTCCCAAGGATAGGAAACTATATCATTTTATGAACTATCTCCAGCCTCAATAAATGTACATTAGAAATCTTTGCAACCCATCAATGCCCCTATAGGAAAACCTTTTTGTCAAGTTGCCCCTAAGTCAAGGATTTATCTGATTTAGTAAAAAATAATGCTTGGGCATAGTAGTAAGGGTGGAGGACATATTTTTCTTTAGTTTGAGAAGATTGAAAAATCAGATACTCATTTTCAAGACCTGATCATAATTCTATTCATATTAGTTACATTTGCCTCTAATGATGTAGATCTTAAGGGAACACAAGCTTATCTCAAATAACCATGACAAGTAAAATGAAGAGGATAGTATTTCGCTTTCTCTGCAATTATAAAATAGACTCAAGGTCAAGGAGGATCATACGTACTGGATTGGCCTTGGCTTCAGTCATCTTTGAATAAACAATTACTTTCTGCTGGCCACCAAGTCTCTCTGTTGAATTAACTTCTCTCCTAAGAGGTTTGCCTGACCCAGGCACATAAAGTTAGAGACTGTCCTAGACTTAATGGAGTTTGTAAACTCACTTTTGTTAAATAAGGTCAAATGGGTTAAGATATATCCCCTCCTAGCCTACAAAGAGGAGCTCTAGTGGCCTAGTGGTAAGAAGCTGTGCTTCAACCTTGAAGGCACATGGTTCAAATCCACTAGTTGCTCTGTGGGAGAAGGATGAGCAGTCTCCTCCCATATGATTAACTCTGAAAACCCGCTGGTCAGTTCCGATTGACGACCCACAGCAACAAACAGACTGCAGAAAGGAACTCGTCTATATTTTATGGGTTTTGTTCTAAAAATTTCAGTGGGCTTTACTGTCTTTAAAAATGCCTGATATGTTAAATTCTCCAGAGAACTGTCTTCTGAAATTAGATTTCAGAATGGTCTGTCTGAATCTCTTCTCAGCCCATTATAAGGGATACCTTTATTCCATATTTTGCTCAAAAAATATATCTTAAAAGTTTAAGACTCTTTTTCTTATTTACCTATGTTAGTTCCCTTTGGTAACAACCAACTGACTGAACAAGTTTTACAAGTAATCCAGACAACACCTAAAAGTATTTCCTCTTTGAAGAGATGCATTTTTTCCAAGTATTGGAAAAATGAGAGAAATCTATTCAGCCTGAGACCATGAGATTATTCAAACACACCCTCTTCACAAGACCAGATGGGAGAAAAATGTGAAAGTTTATCTTGAAAAAAAATCTAATGAAATATGTTTCTCTCCCATTACAAATTAAACATTTGTAGAAATTTTTAAAAAGAATATCTTTGATATTTTATTTCACAAATAATAAATTAATTCTAATGGTTACTTTTCCTCATAAAATCTCACTGTCTCATTTTAGTAATTCACATGATAAGCATACACTATGCACCCCCTAAAGCATTTTTTAGAAAAAATAAATTATTTTAAAAATAAATTCTTTAAATCCAGATACCATTCCAATATTCTTAGTTTGGTCTAAATTGTGAATGAGGCATAAAAGTAAAAGAGTTCCTTTTAATTATTTCTGCCATGCTTCTTAAAACTTTTTCTTACATTTAACATTTCTTTACATAGCTTTAACAACGACAAGTACACTGAATAAATATAAACAAGAAATGAAGCAAAAGTGCTTGTTTTTCTCTTTCAACCATAAGTGATTACCAAATTCTTTTCAAAATCTGCCTACTAGTCCCCAACAAAAATAGCAAAGTTCAATAGTGTAGCAAACAACAAATACAAGCAAGAAAGTTGAGAGACTGGAACTATTACTCACTGCTGATGGGAACACAAAATGATATAATTGCTATTGGAGGTGGTCTGGCACTTCCTGAAAAAGTTGGAAATAGAAATACCATTTGACCCAGAAATTCTACTACTGGAAATGTACCCTAAAGAAACTAGAACCACAAATAAAACAGATGTATGCACATCCATGTTTGTTGCTACATTATTCATTATAGCAAAGAAATAGAAGCAGCCCAAGTGCCATTTAGCAACAAATGGAAAGAAAAATTATGGTAAATTCACACGATGAAATATTATGCAGCATTGAAAAATAATGAACTCATAAATCATTACACGATGTGAGGGAGCTTGGATAACATTATGCTGAGTAAAATTTCTCAGTCACAAAAGGACAAATACTGCATAACATTGCTGTTATAAAATAGGATAGATGGGAGGTTGGGGAGATAATAGGAAAAGAGTGGCTAGATATTGAATACTGTAGTAGAACAGATGAGGGAAAGAACTGCCTGGAAGGAATATATGTTAGGCATTATATGTATGACAACAATCTGAACAAGGGATGAATTGTGAGGTAGGCTGGGGGAGGAGAGTGGGCAGGAAATGTGCAACAATGAATAAAAATTTTTAATAATAATTATTTTTTTAAAAACCCAAAATCTGTCTACTAGTGTTGTGTCTCCTCTCAGTCATTCAGTAAATCCTTTCATGAAGAAAGAAGAAAAATTTATAAAAATTAATCAATTATAAATGGATTTGAAGGGTTTTTTTTAAATCAGTTTGAGGACATAAAGTTGAGGTGTCTTCAAATCGCAGGTGCTTTTAAGGTTACAGTAGGTTTTCCAAGGAGTGTTCTAGCAGGGACTGTTTTAAAGAAATCAAAACACATAGCTTCAACTTCCATATGTCTGCTTTTTAAAATTCTCTCTTTGAACACACCACGGCAGTTGAAGTCGTGTTCCACATTCTCTTCTATAGTCACTCTTCTTTCACTGTTAAAAAAAAAGGCAGACACAGATAAAAGAGGAAAGAGACTAGGCAGCTGTCAGACATGCTCCTGAATTGAATTATGGATTTAAAACCCCACAATATGAAATTTAAAAATATTTATTCTATATTGTTGCTGTTGTGTGTCATAGAGTCAGAACTCACTTATAGCTGACCCTCTAGTGGGTTTTCAGAGGCAGTAAATTGCTCGGGAAGAGATAGCCCATTCTCCCATAGAGTAGCTGGTGGATTCAAACCACATATCTTTGGGAATGCAGTGCAGCTTCTTACCACTAGGTCACTGTATTTTATTAATATTAAATTTTCTGAACTTGATAAATTTATTGTGAAATAAGAAATGTTTTTATTCTTAAGAAACAGTATTGAAATATTTGAGAATGAAGGTCCTGATGGCTATAATTTACTCTGAATTGGTTCAACAATTGAAAATAAGAAGAGTGGAATAAACTAAAATGAAAAAGAATGGAATAAATAAACTAAAACCAAGTAAATGAAAGACATCAGTTTTTACTTAAGACATCATACTGTGGTTCTGCATCCAAAAGAGTATATTTTTAATCAAAAATACATGTTTACTGTGTATATGTCTATGTCTGAATGCCACTATCTCTTTTTCTCAGAGCCTCTATCGTCAGGCCATGGAAGAAGCCAAGAAGGAAGGCTATGACTTGAGAAGTGATGCCATTCCCATTGTGGCTGCGAAGGCGTCCAGGGACATTGCCAGTGATGTAAGAACTCATCCAGCTCTAATATTTGTTACCATTGGGCAGTCATCAGCATAGGAAATAATGTTAATAGAATATAAGAGGAAGTCACTTTAACCATGCTATCTTAACTTCTCAGTGGTTAAATAAAGAAATTGAGACACTAAGACAGACAGCAAACAGGCAACTTGCCCAAGGTCACAGAATCATAGTGATAAAGCAAAAGAGAGAATGTTGTTCCCTTGACTTTTGCTTATTGGTGTCATCTCTTAATGAGATTAAGTGCCTTGATTGACATTAACTGGATACTTATGAAGCCCTGATCAAACCTCATGATCTCTTCTAATGAGAATAGTTAAGGCAAAAAGGCCAGGAAAGAAGCAGGCCTGCCAGGATTCTCCTCCATCACTTGAGGAAGGACGTAGAATAGCAAAATGACTCAAAGTCTTCTTGCTATGGAATCCACAGAAATAATGCTGCTTTATCCTAAAACTCTGAACTGTCCTTTTGTCTTAAGAATGAATTAGAAAGGCTTCACGGCAGAAAGAACAACAGGGAACATGATAGGGTGCTTCCTCTTTTACTTACTGGCTTTTCTCTTCCAGTACAAATACAAAGAAGCTTACCGTAAGCAGCTGGGCCACCACATTGGTGCCCGAGCCATACATGATGACCCCAAGATGATGTGGTCACTCCACATTGCAAAAGTGCAGAGTGACCGGGAGTACAAGAAGGAATTTGAGAAATACAAAACCAGGTACAGCAGCCCGGTGGACATGCTTGGCATCGTCTTGGCCAAGAAGTGCCAGACCTTGGTCAGCGACGTGGACTACAAACATCCCCTCCATGAATGGACCTGTCTGCCAGACCAGAATGATGTGATTCAGGCGCGGAAAGCCTATGACCTCCAGAGTGACGTGAGTAGCTTTGGTTGATGTTAAACACTGAAATACACTTGAGGAGTCTTACTTGTACCAATGTGTATTTTATTCAGATAGCTGAAGAAATATAGGCCTCTCCTCCATATTTCCTTCCCAGGAGGAAAGTCTGTTCCTTTGGAGTGTAACTCTCTAATAAATCATTATTTACTTTTTAACCTTAAAAAAAAATCTGTAATGAATGACTTCTACTGGAAACCCTAGAGTCTTTTACAAGTTGTTTTCTACTGTAGAAGTTATATGTAAACAAACAAACAAAAACCTAAACTCTTCGCTGTCAAATCAGTTCTGACTCACTACATTCCATCAGGTTTCCTTGCCTAAACTTTTGCAAGTGGAGACTGCTTAACTTTCTCCAACAGAGAGGCTAGTGGATTTGAACTGCTGAACTTCTGGTTGGCACTTCAATACATTGCACACTAGGCCAATAGAGGTCTTTTGTTTATGTAAAAGAGAGAAGAAAAAGTATTATCAATTATATACAAGCACATATTTTCCTATAGTCCCTGAGTGGTACAAATATTTCATATGCTCTGCTAACCAAAATGTTGGTGGTTCAAATCTACCCAGAGGTGCCACAAATGAAAGACTTGGCCATCTAATTCCAAAAGTCAATCACGAAAACCTTGTGCAGCATGGTTCTACTGTGACATATATGGATAGTTGTGAATTCAAGTCAACTCTATATCAACAATAAAAACAAACCACTGTTTCCTAGGAGTTTTGGATATCCTTTGTTCAAATTACAAGAAACATAATAGTTTTTAACTATATATACCTACAACCTTAGGAAAAAACCCCAATTTTTGTTTTCTTTTTTTCTATTTTTTATTTTATATTGGTTTACATACAAAATTACTATAATTGTGTTTCACTCTTCCCTTCATTTACATTGTGTTTCATACAATCATTGCCCTCCATTGTGTTTTAGAAAATTAATCCCTATTGAACTATGCACACTATTACCTGTATTTTCTGGTCCCCACTGACTCTTTCCCATTTCCTTTACTCCTTCCCTCTGTTCACCAAATTGTGCGACACTATGATTCCCCCTGTCCACTCTCATCCTTCTGCTCCCACCCTTTCCCCACTTGGACCCCCATGCACATCTTAGGATTACTACAATTTTTTAGAAAGAAATGGAAAACAGGTGTGTGTCAATGGAGGGAAGTGTAGAGAGAATTGCTGTTGTTGTTGTTATATGCCATTGAGTTGCCTGTGACTCATAGTGACCCTATGTATTAACCCTACTCTATTCCTTGCCAATCTTACTGTCTCAGACACACATATCCCCGTTACCCCAGTGACTGAATCAATCCATCTCATTGAGGGCCCTTCTCTCCTGTGCTGTCCCTCTACCCTCCCAAGCATGATATCCCTCTCCAAGGACTGGTCCAGCCTTGTCACATGTCCAAAGTATGTCAGACAGAGTTTCAGAATCCTTGCCTCCAAGGAGCAGCCTCGCTTCACCCTCTCCAGTACGAACCTGTTTGTTCTCCTAGCAGTCCATTGTATATTCAATACTCTTCTCCAGCACCACAGCTCAAAGACATCAGCTCTCCCTCTGTCATTCCTAGTCATTGTCCAGCTCTCTGATGCATAGCAAGTAATTGTAAAAACCATGAGAAATTGTTGTTGTAAAGTGCTGTCAAATTAATTTTCAACTCATAACAACCTATGTGACAGAGTAGCTGCCCAGTGGGTTTTCTAGGCTGTGATCTTTACGGGATGAGATCTCCAAGTTCTACTTCCATGGTTTGATTCTCTTACATGGAGAAATAATGCATGTGAAAGTTGGACAGTGGATAAGGAAGACTGAAGAAGGATTGATGCATTTGAATTGGGATGCCACCAAAGAATATGAAATATAGCAAAGATTTTGTCAGAAGAACAAACAAATCTGTTTTGGAAGAAGTGCAGCCAGAATGTTCTTTAGAAGCAAGAATTATGAAATTTCATCTCACTTTCTTTGGGCATGTTGTCAGTAGAGACCAGTCCCTAGAGAAAGATCTCATGCTTGTTAAAGTAGAACAAAATAAATTAAAAACCAACTTGCTGGCATCAAGTCAGAATGGACTCACAGATGATCCTTCAGAGAGTTTTCCAACACTGTAAATCACATAAGAGGAGATTTCTCATCTTACTCCTGCAAAGCCACTGGGACTCAAACCACCAGAAAGACGTGACCTTTGGCTTAGCAGGAGAGCTTCCTACAGACTACATTGCCACAGCTAAGACAAAATGAGGAAGATCTGTAATGAGGTGGATGGACAGAGTGGCTGTGGCAATGGGTTCAAGCACGACAGCGATTGTGAGGAGGACATCGGATCAGACACTGTTCTGACCTATTGTACATAAGACCATTATGAGTTGGAACTAACCCAATGACACCTAACAAACACAACATTGAGGAATCAACCACTAAATCCCCATAGAGCACCATTCTACTGTGACACACGTAGGGTCACCATACGTCACAACTTCTTTACTCTTACTGAGAGTAAACTAAAATTAATATTACATTATCTTTACAATGCTGTATTTCTTTCATACCCTTGATTTTTGTGATTTTTAAGAACTTTTTTGATGTATATGATATTGTGTGTTGATTTTTTAAAGCTTATTAGAATACATTTTATGTATTTTATATACAATGTATCATATGTATTATATATTTTATGTATGCTAAAGAACCCCAACCCTATGTAGAAGTTTAACAATATCCTTAAGAGTGGGACCATGTCTTCTCCTTAAAAACAAAACAAAAATTTTCATCATTCTTAATACAATCTTGTATACCAAAAAAATATTCAACATTCAGTAATGCTCATGAGTGAGTGATTAATTGAATGAATAATTGACTTTATGCTACAAACTTGATCTGCTCATCAATACTTTTGTGTTCTTTTAATATGATCCATTTCATGGTTATGAATCTGAGAACCTGATGAGTAAATGCATTTCTTTGCTCTTGGCTTTCAGAATTTGTATAAAGCAGACCTTGAATGGATGAAAGGCATTGGCTGGGTTCCCATTGGTTCCTTGGAAGTTGTTAAAGCCAAGAGGGCCACAGAGATACTGAGTGACAATATCTACCGTCAGCGTCCAGACAAATTCAAGTTCACCAGTGTAACTGACTCCTTAGAGCAAGTGCTGGCAAAGAACAATGCAATAACCATGAATAAGGTGAGCTTTCTACTCTCACTAATACATGTGGGTATTTATCAGTGAAGACAGCAAGAATTCTGACATATAATTCCATTTTTTAAATTGCTATTAAATTTACGATGCTTTCCATTACAATATCATGGTTACTTAGTGATATTTCAAAATATAAAAATGCTAATGCTAATGTGCACTAATTATTTCCTAATTGCTTCCAGAAAGATTTGAAATGCTACAGCTTGATTATACTTTCTCAACTGTTAAATAATTTTAATAGGAAAGTGTAGAGCAGCTACCTCGCTGTGATCTATTGAAAGTCAGCCCTCGACACAAGGGTTTGTAAAAAAAAAAAAAAATAGGAAAGTGTAAATGAAATGATGAGTTAGCACTCTTGGAAGATATCTCTATGTATGAAAGGCAGAAATTGGTGCAGCTTTAATAATTTTATTTCTCATTTGTATCAAAAGAAGTGATTTTCACACAATCAGATGAAAAATAATCTGTGAACTACAAATTAATTTTTTCTCATACCTTTTATCTTAGCGCTTATACACTGAAGCCTGGGACAATGATAAGAAAACAATCCATGTCATGCCTGATACACCAGAAATCATGCTAGCCAAACTCAACCGAATAAACTACAGTGATGTGAGTAAAACCATTGATCTTGCAAAGATCAATACACTTCAATACTTAGGGAAATATATTGTCTCATATATTAAACATACTGCAAACTAGCATTATCTCCTATGATTTTGGGGCTGTGTGTTGAGTCTAAAAAGTAGGCCAGCCTTTTAAAGAGCAATTCAGGGAATGAAATGCTAATATAAAAAAATTATTCCAGTAAGTATTCTTACTCTGTCTGTCTTCCTCAATGTGCATGTCAATTCATTTTCCTTTATTCAGCAACCATTTAGTATGCTGAAAATCAGGGAGTTATCATGTCCTGTGTTATTTTGTTGCTTCAGTGTTCTCTGGTTGCCATGGAATATCACTCCTAAGCCTTTTTTAAGGCATCTTTATCAGAACCGGCATGACCCTAAGGATGATCACTCCATCATAGACTGAGGCTTGGAAGTGACCGTCCTTACGAGTCCATAACAAAATAAAATGAACAAATAAGAACAATACATTAAGTTTTCCATAAAACCAGATTACATTTTTAAGTCTTCCTTCTATAAATTTTTTTCACTTTCTTTAGTGTTATGTTGACTTTTATATTATGATGGTGATAGTAAATAGATGTTTCCTACGTGTGCTTTTTCGACAAAAGAAACAAAAACAACCCGTGAACAACCAAATGTTGACTTCTAAAAAGTAAGCAGTCAAATCCCAAAGTTGAGGACATGTGCATCAAATACCATGTTGTTGTGTGTCATTGAGTTGGAACAAATTCATGGCTGAGCCTTTAGCAGGTTTTCAAAATCTGCAAATGGCATTGGGATAGATTGCTCATTTTTCTTCTGTGGAGGCAGGACTGGAACTATCTGCCTTTGGCTTGACGGCACAACCTTAATGACTAGCTACAAAAGCACCCTAAGTGCCACAAGTACCTTAAGTTACATATGAAATGACCCAAATACTTGATTTGGTGGATGTATTTCTGTAGTTTACTCTGTAATAGAGAAAAATTTATAATAAACTCTTTCCTTTTTTATGAAAGGAGCAATGATTAATGACTCTCTTTTCTACAGAAACTCTATAAACTGGCCTTGGAAGAATCCAAGAAGGAAGGTTATGACTTGCGAGTGGACGCCATTCCCATCCAAGCAGCCAAGGCTTCAAGAGATATCGCTAGTGATGTAAGTCAGTAGATTTGTAAGAAGCATTTCTTACTTAAGAACGCTGACAAATGATGATGTTTAGATTTTTTTCCTTGCTAAGATTTCAATCATCTCTATCAGTTTCAAAACCCTTTAGTCATTTTCCTGTACAGACTTGCAAGTAAAAATAGAGAGAAAAACAAAACACTGTATTTTCCATGTTAAGCTTGTTTTTCTTAAATATAAAACTTTTCTTGACATATTTTGACACTTAATTATTTTTATTATCAAAACATATTCCAGCTCTTAGACTGGAGACGCTCATGCTTTATAACCACTTGATAATGAAACAGATAAAAATACTGGGTTTTTTTAAAAGTAGATGAAGTCTATACTCAAGGAATAACTCTCATATTGACATTTCAAAGGCATTGGCAAGCTAATAAGACAGTGACAATAATCTGAATGTTTATTTTTCTAAATGTAACACATATATAACTCAACCAGAGAATTCATCATACGTTCCAGAAGTAAGATATGTTCTGAAATATTATTAATATTAAAAAGAGTTTTGGAAGGGGGGGGAACCCACTTAAATCTGTTAGGTTTTACTTGATGTTTTGCCATTGCTAAAACAACCAAATATAAACTAGGTAGTATAGGTTAGAAGAAGAGAAAAACTAGGAATTTGCAGCTTTCTGTTTATTCTCAGCCAAGTTCCCTACTTGATGTGATGTGACCTTGTCCAAATCACTTAACTCATTATGTCTCAATTTCCTGCTTTATAGAATGGGATTATTAGAGTAATTAATAAAATTTTCTTTTCTCACAGGCATGGTGAAAAAAATAAAAAGATGTAATGTGTGTGTATGCACACTATACATTTGCATGTTTGTGCACATGCAAAACTATAAAGTGCTATATAAATATTCTTATCATAAAATTTCTTTTCTGTTTCATTTTTATAGTACAAGTATAAGCAAGGCTACCGCAAACAACTCGGCCACCACATTGGAGCCCGGAACATTAAGGATGACCCCAAGATGATGTGGTCCATCCATGTGGCCAAGATCCAGAGTGACAGAGAGTACAAGAAGGACTTTGAGAAGTGGAAGACCAAGTACAGCAGCCCAGTGGACATGCTGGGAGTGGTGCTGGCCAAGAAGTGCCAGATCCTTGTAAGCGACATAGACTACAAGCATCCCCTGCATGAATGGACCTGCCTGCCAGATCAGAATGATGTCATCCAGGCTCGGAAGGCCTATGACCTGCAGAGCGATGTGAGTGGATGGAACACTCTATCTTCAAGGATTTACACTGAGAGCTTTTAACATTTTTGTACTGTGAACTTTTTAACAGCTTAGCAAAGATTAAGGACTCCTTAGGACAATGTTTTCAAATGCATACAATTAAATAAGACTTCAAAAATAATTAATTACATTGAAATATGCTTATCAAAATATTAGCAAAATAAATCTAAGTTATAGCATTATGGGCTTTTTATGAGCACTTGTATAAGAATGACAAAAGAAATAATGTAAAAATGTTTTGCAAAAATTCATGGAAGCAGTAGGGAAAGGAATCTTCCTTAAAAAATTTAAATTCAAAGATAGAAGTGAAAAGGATAAGTGTCTTTTTTTACTTGAATTACAACACAAGAAAGGGGGATATGTATAAAACACAAATAAGGAGTAGTGGTGGTGGTGAAGTCAGTTAACTAGTTGCACCACTAAACTCAAAGGTGGTACATTTCTGACAGTTCGATTCCACCAGTGGCTCTTTGAGAGAAAGATGGACAGTCTCCTTCCATTCCATTTCCATCTTTTGAAAAACCTGCTTGAGGGTCAAAGATTAAATACATAAGAGCAATAAAATATTCTGTGAGCTACAGGCAGTGATGTCTCTAGGGTTGATGCTATCTCGTGGTATCATTCATGGTATCATTCCCTACCTCACAGACTTCCTTCCACACCAGATTACTGAATCTGCAGTAATGTTTATTATTAATTTTCATTATATAAAAGTCGATGATAAATATACTTGAGTTTCTTAAATGTATTATTTCTTTGATTATTTAATTTTTTCCCAATTGAATTATATTATTAAGTACAACATTATTAGTGACTAAGTAGAAATCTTTTTAAAATTCTCTCCTTTTTCTTTAATTAGTACTTCATTCTCAAAAACAAAGTTATTGATGTAGTTCTACAAATACTCCTTTTTTAGTTGTAACTAAAGCACTCAAAAACTGGAAAATATGTGAATATAAAAACACCATGAGCAACATATAGAACAGAAGGTGCTTGTAAACATGCAGATAAACCATGGTATTCAAAATACCATTGAAACGGTATAATGATGACAGACATTGCGCATCCTTCAATTGTGGAACAGCTGGTTGATTCAAACCTCCTAACTTTGGGTTGGCAATGCAACTCCTTACCCCCCTAGACCACCGAGCTCCCTTAATGTAACTAAAGTGCTTTGTTGTGCTATTGTTTACCATAGAGTTAGAACCAACCCATAGCTGACTCTCCAGAGGGTTTTCAGAGGCAGTTAATCACATGGGAGGAGATTGTCTATCCTTCTTTTGTGGAGCAGCTGGTGGATTCAAACCATGTACCTTCAGGATTATAGCACAGCTTCTTGCCACTAGGCCACCACAGTTCTCTAAAGTGTATTAAAATATTTTTTAAATTAATTAGAATTTAATTAGAATACATATAAATTGGGCTTTCAAGAACTGTTTTTGTTGTTCTAATTAACTACATCAATATTTTTATTAAAATATAATAAATTCCTGCTGAAACAGTACACAGAAATTTAATAGACATTCATTTTTGTCACCATCTCTGACTATATTATACAGAGGTAATTGTATTGTGAAGCCCCTCGTGCCCTTGATTAGAAGGATGTCAGTAAAATCCCATAGGAAAAGGTGCCATTTAAAAAGTTTTGCCAAAAAAAGACATTGATTCATCTTGAAAACAACAAGTGGTTTTCATTCTTTCTTTTGATCACATGATCGACTGTGAATGTGATCCAAATGGATTCAGCCCAAGCATCATCAGTTCCATATAATAAGATATGCAGTCAAATCAGAGAAGAAATATTTCAGGAGAGAGTTTGTGATTTCCACAAGATGATTTTATGTTACTAAAGTGGCATGCTAGTAGATTTTATTGGTTTAATACAGCAAATACTGGCTCCATGCAGGCATTTGACTAGTCATGCCTGCCCAGATTAAAACAACCCTGTGAGTTCACCCAGAAATTGATACAAATGCAATTCAGACTTAACCCATCTGTATATGTTAAGTCCAGCTGAAGTTTCAGCCTGTCTAACAAAGTTTGCATCATTTCATTTTACAAGGCTGTTTACAAGGCTGATCTTGAGTGGCTGAAAGGCATCGGATGGGTTCCCATTGGCTCTGTAGAGGTGGAAAAAGTGAAGAGAGCTGGAGAAATCCTGAGTGACAGGAAGTACCGCCAGCCTGCAGACCAGCTCAAATTCACATGCATCACAGACACGCCAGAAATTGTCCTGGCGAAGAGCAATGCCCTGACAATGAGCAAGGTGAGTGTCTCACTGTGTTATGCTGCCCAAGCCAGACCTTCTCTGGACTTGGAATGTCCTGAAAAGTCCCCAGAGTGAAACATTTATTGACCGTAATTATTGTGCCAGCCTTCAACACAACATCTGCTTGAGTTCTAGTTGGCCATATATGCTCTTCTCATCCACCTTGTCTCCTGACTGTGCAACATACGCTTGTGAAGAGTGGCTTGTAACCATCTACACGTACACGTCTTCTTTTGTACATAAGAACAGCTCAGGGCTTTGCAGTCTCTTTGCCCATCCAGTAAGGAACATACAGCCATTTAGTATTTCATTCTGATGCCAGGGGAATGCCCAGTCCTCTTCTGCCTTAGGTTGCTGAAATCTACTTTTGAAAGTGAGCTGCTATTTCTGCCTTTGTTTCTAAAATGAATGATCACTTCTGTCTTCAAAAGTTCTGCTAGCTAATTAGTAAACTAATTTGTTATTTATAAGTAGGTACTTACTACACACATTTAAAATTGAATCTAACTTAATTGAATTCTCATCTGTACCTGCCAGGAAGTCTTCCAAACATTTGAGGAGTGGATTTGAGTGTTCAGTATAGAATATTAAATCGATCTCAGATATCAAGCTCCAGAGTCTGGGATGTAGAACTTCAGAATTTCTGTTATACCACATCTATCAACTACCATGAGAGTAAAAAAGAAAAGAAGCATAGAATTTTTGAGCACCTGGTTTTAATTGTTTTGGGTCAAGCATCCTTCTAAGTGGTACAGACAGCACCAGTCTGTCCACTTGCCATACAGAGGTAACTTGTGGTTGCTGTGATGCTAAACACTGGCACTGATGTGTCAAATGCGATGATGGTCACCCTTGGTGGACAGTGTTTGGTGAAGCTCCCCAATTAAAACAAACTCGGAAGCAGGAGTGGCATCCACTTCTGTTATAGCTTGCCTCCAGAAACCCTGTGAACTTAGAGAAATGAAGAAAGTTATACAAGTGTTCAGGTCTTTCATTCAAAAGGTCACTATGAGTCGTCTACAACTCAACAGCACTTAACAACAACAACTAAGAAAAGTGGTGGGGAAGAGAAAGCAAGGAGGCCCTTCAACAATATGGATTGACACAGTGACTATAACACTGAGCTTGAGTATATCAGAGGTAGTGAAGATGGCACGGGGAGGGCAAGGCTTATGTCTGTGGCTTGTGGGGTCTCTAGAAGTTAGATTTGTTAACTCCTAGCAACAACAACAACAACACTATGACTCAGGTACCTAATACACATTGTAGTTTTGTTAATCTTCCAAAAAGACCTCACTAAATGTGAATATCCCTCTCATCAAACTCTGATTGTGCACTGCTTAAAGCAAACTGCTGCTAACCAAAAAGTTGTCAGTTCAAAACCACCAGCCACTCCAGGGGACAAAGATGAGGCAGTTTGCTTCCATAAAGATTTGTTTCCTTGAAATCCTGTGAGCTAGTTCTACTCTGTCCTACAGACTCACCCCAAATCAGAATTATTTGATGACAGTGAGTTTGGAGATGATGGGGAGAAGGACTGAGTACCTTTCTCAAGGTCACACAGTTTGGAAGTAGTGGATTCTAGTTTGAATTTGAGATGTCCAGGGATTTATGCTATGTTAGTCATATGATTGAACTTCATCTTTGTAAGCCTTTAAAATTTTTTTTAATTCCCATTGTGTTTCTTATGATCATTCTAATACAATGTGTCTTACTGACAGCATTTTTAAGCTTAAAATTCACTGGAAAGAATAAATAATAGAGACTACTGATTTGTTCCATATTAGTTGTGAAAATGCTATACCTCTTTTTTAATACTGTCTTGTTTCATTCTTGCTGTTTTGCTTTCCTCACCTTCAAATTACATATCACGTGGACTGCCGAAAGAATAAGCAGATATGTCTTGGGAAAAATATAGGTAGAATGCTTCTTGGAGGCAAGGATGGTGAAGCTTCATCTCACATACTTTGGGTGTATTGCTAGGAGAGATTATTCTTTGGAGAGGGACATCATGCTTGGAAAGGTGGATGGTCAGAGGAGAAGAAACCTTAAAAGAGATGGGATGACACAGTGACTGCAGCAGTGGGTTTGGGTGTGTCAGAGATTTGAGGATGGCACAAGGTAGACAGCGTTCAGATCTGTTGTTCAGAGGGTCGCTCACTATGAGTCATCTATAAGTCATATTTGACTCAATGATACCTAACAATACCACCTTCAAATGTCCTAGAAAAAGGCTACTTTAGAATTAAATGTAAATCTTGTACTGATGATGACTGTAACAGTATAGATGTTAACAAAGGCCTTTTCTGCCCCCCTCTTCCACAGCATTTATATACAGAAGCCTGGGATGCTGACAAAACCACTATCCACGTCATGCCAGACACTCCTGAAATCATGCTAGCCAAGAGCAATTCTGTCAATATTAGCCATGTAAGAGATTTCCTCATGTTCAAACCTCTCTAGAAAGAATTCTTTTTCTCATCTTACCAATCTTCTTTTTGGGAATTGGCAAATTTAGCTTTCTGAAACACTTATTTTCTTTTGTCCTCTGCCTAGAAACTTTACACTAAGGGATGGGATGAATCAAAGATGAAGGACTACGATCTGAGAGCTGATGCTATTTCCATCAAAAGTGCCAAGGCCTCGAGGGACATTGCCAGTGATGTGAGTATTGTCCATGAAATTTGACTGGGTTCCTATATTGAGAAACAGCTCAAGGCATTCATTGATGGTAGACTATCCTGTGTAATTGCTTCCCTTACTGTTCCTCCATTTCTACATCCTACCTGCCAAACTCTTTTTTTTTTTTTGCTGTCACAGAGAAGAAAAATATCAAATATAATTATGTTAGAGCTGCTGCAGGAACAGATTTCAGCAGTGAAGATATGTGGTTGTGTTAGCTTCCCCCCCCCCCATATTTTTTGTGTTAGTTTTATTTTTATGACACTATTAAATGTCAATTTTCAATCATTCAGAGATACAAAAAAATTATGTTTGGGGAATTTCATGCTGTCTGTGATTATCAGCATATATGTAACCTAAACCCAGTTTACAAAATGGAATTTCTGTCGTTTTAGTACAAATACAAAGAAGCCTATGAGAAACAGAAAGGCCACCACATTGGAGCCCAGAGTGTTCAAGATGATCCCAGGATTATGTGTGCCATGCATGCAGGGAAGATTCAGAGTGAAAGGGAATACAAGAAAGATTTCCAGAAGTGGAAGACCAAGTTCAGTAGCCCGGTAGACATGTTGGGCATTTTGCTGGCCAAGAAATGTCAGACACTGGTCAGTGACATTGATTATCGCAATTACCTACACAACTGGACATGCCTGCCTGACCAAAATGATGTCATCCAAGCCAAAAAGGCCTATGAACTGCAGAGTGATGTAAGTAACAGTCTTAGTATGTGAATTTTGGAAAGGGTAAAATGGGGGGGTCATAGATTAGTTGATTGTCCTCTTAGTACCTCTGTGGTCATCTGTGGGTTTTACAACACTTAACCCAATGGGTCACCATTTGTATCTTGAGTGTAAAATCTGTATATGGGAGTTATATCATGCAAGGGGCAAAAAAGTGAGATGAAAGATCCTGCTTCAGGCAGCCATCTGATTTTTTTTTTTAAAAAAAAGGTTACCCATGGTAGACAGTGTTTGGTGGAACTCCGTGATTAAAACAAGCTTGGAAGCAGGAGTGGCATCCACTTCCAAAATATCTTGCCTCTGGGAACCCTATGAAGTTGGAGAAATGATGAAAATTTTACAAGTGATCAGGTCTTTCTTTGATAGGGTCAATATGAATTGTCTACAACTCCACAGTACTTAACAAAAACAGCTACTACTATATCAGAAATGCTAAACAGAATTTCCTTAGCTGTATAATGGTAGAATTAAAATGAAATGAGATTTGACATTTTTAAAAATCTTTCCATCATGTGATTTTTAAAAAACAACAGCCATTGAAGTGAAATTCAATAATACTGTATTTTTCATTATTCATGAATAGAATGAATAATTGTGATTTTCAGATCTTATTTGAGGACTACATCATCTATGTTTATAAGCTCCTGGAGACTTTGTACTTAATTCTTTTGATCCATGTGGAACAAATTTTGTGTCCCACCCCTTTATAGAATGTGTATAAAGCTGACCTGGAATGGCTACGTGGTATTGGCTGGATGCCAGAAGGCTCCATAGAAATGACCAGAGTGAAAGGGGCACAGGACCTCCTGAATGAAAGGCTCTACAGAACTAAACCAGAAGCCTTGAAATTCACTTGCATTGTTGACACTCCAGAAGTTGTCTTGGCAAAAGCCAATTCTCTGCAAATGAGTGAGGTAAGGACCATCTTTCTACTAAGTTTTCTTTTGACTGGACTCTGGTTTCAGATGGTGTCACCCAAACATACATGGGCTGCTCTTCAAGGATCTACGATGACAACAGCAACTCTAAAACTCTCTTGACTAGACCAGTGAAGACACATGCAAAAAAGAAGATGACTACCAAATGCCAGCATGCCTTTCCTCAACCACACACGTACACTGAGACACTGCAATAAAAAATATCCCTTCATTGCAACTTGAGGGCACTATTTAACTGCTGTCATTAGTTGTCCTCAAGTTAATCCCACTTATGTGCATTAATCTTATATATGGGTTGGTATTATATATACATAAGCATTTTTCTAGGTTAAGTAGTTGCTAAAGCTTATGTTTAAGGTACCCATTTTCTGTTACTATATTAAAATATTCTCTCTCTTCTCTCAACAGAGGCTTTATCAGGAAGCCTGGAATAAAGATAAGACCAACATCAGTATCCCTTCTGACACACCGGTCATGCTGCAGGCCCAACTCAATGCCTTACAAATCAGCAATGTACGGAGCATGAAGTATAAATGTCTTACAGGATAATATCTGTCAGTGCACGTGCAGTATGTTATAATGGACAGATTGCGTACTTTAACAATATCTATGACTTTTGGTACTAGTCATTTTCTCTTTAGCTGTCCTTCCCAATATAATATGGACAGAAAATTATATAATACTTTAGATAAAATTAGGCTGCAGGAAATGGGATACCTGAATAATATTCATATCCTCTTTTCACCTTGAGGGTTTCAACCGCCCCCCCCCCCCGCATTTATATCTCCGTTCCATTATCTGAGAACTTGGAGTAATGAAATCAGTAGTCAAAAATTATTTCACTAGAAGATGTAGGACAGCCTTTCTTTAGGTGTTTTGATTGATCCAGAACTTTCTTGTTTGGTATTTCAAGACCATAAACCATTATCAAAAGCCAAGTTTTAATTTCATGCAAGAAACAAAATATGTATTATATCTCTATCACATTCCTTTAGCTGAGGTCTCTGAATATTGAAAGAGTAAAATTAAGGGAAAACATGTTGACAAAGATATCTTGGTGAAAAGTTCTTTAACATTTCCTGAACAGAGTGGGAGAATAATATAGAACAAAAACTCAAATTTTCAAACAAATTTACAATCTTAAATTTATAGACTTACTGGTCTGAGAAAGGATGGAAGAATTCCCAAGACTGTGACCCTAAGGCACCCTTCAGTCCTTCCCAGAGATCACCTTTCAGACAACTAAGAGATCCATCCATTAAATAGACAACAGCTTCTAAGAGAAAGGTCTTCCTCAGAACAATTAACTCTATGAGACAAAAAAGGCCAATATTTGTTTAAAAGCAAAGATGAAAAAGCAGGAAGGGCTCAAGCATTCAGATGAAAGGAAAGGAGGAGCCCAGGGCAGAAACACATTATTGGAATACAGCCGAGCCATGGACTGCTTCACCTACAAACTAGCAGATGGGAAACTAGTTTGCTCTGTAAATTTTTAGCTAAGTCATAACAACAAAATTTTTTAAAACAGTTTTAGAAAAATTTCTCTAACTTTATACTTGAGTTTTCATTTCCTTCTACTGTGTAGTGCAATATTACCAGACATAACAGATTGCAATGAATGCAAAGATTCACTTATATAGATTTAGATGTTAACTAAAAAGTGATCATCAGAGTACCATGAACCCCACAAAATAAACAACCAACAACAACAATAAAACTCAGAAATGAATGTTTGTTTCTCAATGATGTCTTCATCTACATGAAGGCTTAAGATTTATATTGTGAATACTTTTGATACCTTCAATTATTTTTCATTCTTATGTCAAATCTGTTCTTTCTATCTATAGAAACTCTACCAAAAAGACTGGGATGAAGCCAAGCAGAAAGGCTATGATATCAGAGCTGATGCCATTGAAATCAAACATGCAAAGGCTTCAAGAGAAATTGCCAGTGAGGTAGAGTTCCATCTCTTTTGTTCTAGTGTTTCTCCTCCATAAAGCAAATATGGACAGGATTTCCAATGATATGTCTTATCCTAAAGGCTTAATGTATTTAAATGAATTGAAATAGGACAGGAAATTAATGTATCATAGATGAGATATATATATATGAGATAACTTCTAAGTAAAGATGAAGAGTCTGTATGAAATTCTTGGAAAACATTCAGAAAAAAGTTATACTATTCCTAACGTTTTTCTAAATGCTGTAACTAATAATGATAGTTTGGTTAGAGACCTTAAATTTAGATTAGACCTTTAAATGTAAATGTAGATTTTATGTACAGCATACTACATTGGAGGCTTATGTATTATATCATATATCATTTTTAAAGTTCAATTAACACTCATTTCAAAGCTTACCAACAACTTCAATAATTCATTTTCAAGCCCCTTGGTGACCTTTGGTCATTGACTCTGGGTTCTCTTTTCTCTCAGTCTCTCTCTTGTCTATGTTTTCATGTTAAGGTCACAGGTAGCACCCTTCGAAAACATAGGAAAGAAACCAAATTCCTCTACTATTAAGACATTCATCAGATAGAAACTTGTTTCCACCTTCTGATTCAAATCAACAATGTTGTTCACCCTTGAAACGTGCATCTTTCTTGTCTGTCTCCTAACCCACAAAACTTCTCCCTACCTGGGGTGCCTTTGAAACTCTTAGAAGAGTATTTGACCTAATGTTTTGCTATTTAACTGTAAGACAACATTAGGAACAAAGATTACCTTCATTGTAGCTTTTTTTTCCTATACAAAACATGTACTAATAATAGCTACCCCATAGAAATAGTATGAGGATTAATAACAGCACTGTTTGACTCTTTTTGACTCAAGACTCAGCAATTTCACTCTAATACATTTGAAGCATTCGTAACACCTGGTTCATAGTGGTTGCTCAGTAATTGTTGCTGTTGCTAAGTGCCAGAAGTAGAGCACAATTCATAGCAACATTATGAACAAAAGATTTGAACCCTGTTCTATAACTATCATAATTTCTCTAGTGTTCATAATTTCGAAAGGCATGTTGTTTAGGAAGTGGATGCCAATTCTGCTTCCAACTCTGTCTTAATCTGAGAGCTCCACCAAACACTGTCCACCATGTGTAACAATAATGGCATTTGACACACCAGTGGCCCGGTGTTCAGAATCACAGCAACCCCAACTTATCTCAGTACAGCAACTGACAGACCAATGCTGTACTACTTAAGAGAATGTTCTTCCCAAACGCACTTTACACCAGTGGACTTTTAAATACAAAGGCCGGCTGTTTGTTAACTAAATCCAGTAAATCCAATCAGCTCACACATGATTACAAATGAAATTAAAAAAAAAAACACTGAACAGTTTACATTCAACTTTCAACTAAAAACAAGATAATTTACCCTCCAGAATCCAACTGCTTCACACATGAGCCTCCAAACTCCAGTAAACGTTAATTATTACTTTTTAAATCATCCTTCTTCACCAAACCATTTCCCTCATGGTTTGAATCATGTCCTGAGATATAATTATTGCCAATGTTGATTTAATATACAGTAAGGCTAGCAAAACATTCTGAAAACCTTTCCAAAGCAAACCCCTTTATAAATTAACTTCATTTCTGTTTATCTGATTTTTCATAACTTTAGTACAAATACAAAGAAGGTTACCGTAAGCAACTGGGCCACCACGTGGGTTTCCGCAGTCTTCAGGATGACCCCAAGTTGGTATGGTCTATCCATGCTGCCAAGATCCAGAGTGACAGAGAATACAAGAAAGCTTATGAGAAGTCCAAAGGAATCTACAATACACCACTGGACATGATGTCTATCGTCCAGGCCAAGAAATGCCAGGTCCTGGTTAGCGATGTTGATTACCGCAATTACCTGCACCAGTGGACTTGTCTGCCAGACCAGAATGATGTGATCCAGGCAAAGAAGGCTTATGAACTTCAGAGCGATGTGCGTATAGTATCAGCAGTCTCAGAAGAGATGTGTGCATGTATGTTTAACCACAGTGTGTTCCCTAGGGGTGCAGTGAAATTGGCAAACTT